AGGCATGATGTATTACCGTAAAGCTTTGGAACTCCAGGCCTTCCTTGATATGGCAACAAATGAAGGTACTTAGTAGGAGCTCTCTTGTGTTGCAAATACCTCATCCCTTCTACTAACAGAATGTTTGAACATCTTTTCCTTTAATCAGAACTGATGAAAGGCTACAAGGCTGCTGAATCAAGTAGTGAGGAGCAGTCAAAGAGTGAAAGGTCATTATGGGCGCAATGTCAGGCAGTGGCTGATATGAAATTCACATACGTAGTGTCATGCCAGCAATATGGCATTCACAAACGATCAGCTGATCGTCGGGCTAAAGACATTCTGAGGCTCATGACAACGTAAGTTTCACTCCACTCTTATTTCAGTGATGCACAATCCTAGACATCAAATATCTTTTTGGAATATACACAGCTTGTCAGGAACTGGTGTTATTACTTTCTTGCTTTATTTGGTCCAGCTATCCATCTCTTCGTGTTGCATATATTGATGAGGTTGAGGAAACTAATAAAGAGAAATCCAACAAGATGGTTGAGAAGGTTTATTATTCAGCTCTTGTGAAGGCTGGTCCTCCAACTAGGCCTATTGATTCTTCTGAGCTGATTCAAAATCTAGATCAGGTACAAGTCCTAAAATTTTTGGTTTAAATATTTGAGTCCTCAGCACTTTGATTTATTAAAAAAATGATTTGACACTGATAGTACTCTTATAATCTGGTAAGTTTCCTTATAGTTTTTTTATATGTTTTAACTTTATTTCCCAGATTATAATACTGCAGTGGTCCAATCCTTTCTCCTTTTAGCACAGGAAAAAAAGTGTAGATTGTTTTGTTTGAGAGGAATTCTTGTGCAAATCCTTTTAATTGCATGGTAAATCTATGCATTAAATATGATAATCAAATGTAAGAGAAAAAGGGATATTACCACTATATTCTCAGAATTTCACCTTCAGATATCTAAATCTCAGTTGGAATACATCGTGGATAATAAGAGAAGAATTATTGTGCACTTTGTTTGAACAGTTTGGTCATTTAAGCTCCCATCATTTGATATGTGCATCAATGGTCCTATGATATGGGGTGTATGCAATTTCCATTGATAAGCATTTACATGGAAATATACTTGCACACGAAACATACACCCTCAAACAAGAATATCTGGGTCTAACCAAAGATGTTGATTCTTAGGATAAAGCTTCTAACTGCCTGCTTGAATTTCTTGCGTAGGAAATATATCGGATAAAGCTTCCAGGACCTGCAATATTAGGTGAGGGAAAGCCAGAAAATCAGAATCATGCTATTATATTCACACGGGGAGAAGGGTTGCAAACAATAGATATGAATCAGGTAACGGGTTTAATGGATAAAGTTGTAATTTGGAGAAATCCAACCTCTAAACTGACTTGAAAAAAAAAAAAACTGCACAGGATAATTATATGGAAGAAGCCTTCAAAATGAGGAACTTGCTTCAGGAATTTCTTGTAAAGCATGATGGTGTAAGATGTCCAACAATACTCGGACTGAGGGAGCATATATTTACTGGCAGGTAGGTGTTGCTTGGAAACTAAATTAAGGTAGCAGTACTTCTCACATATGATGATTTATTACATGGATTCATTGTGATGCTTTTATTGATCTGGTGCAGTGTTTCATCTCTTGCATGGTTTATGTCAAATCAGGAGAATAGTTTTGTCACAATTGGGCAGAGATTATTGGCTAATCCTTTGAAGTAAGATTCCACTTTTCTGTTACTTTGAAAAACCTTTCTTGATCTCCTTGTTAAAAAATCATATCTTATCCCTGTTATGCTTTAGAAGTAAAAAGATAAAAAAGAGAAGTAAATATCACATTGATTAGTAGGCTTGTTGACCAAGGTGAATAGCATTTTATGAAGTATTTGAAATACCAATTTTAGCACCCAACATAATAATCCAAGTGGTATGAATCAAATAAATTATTTTGGGAGCTGGCATTGGAAGTGGAGCACCACAATAAACATGGGTATAGCTGTAAGCAAGCTTAATTGTGGAAATGGTCTGCGTTTGTAATTTCAACAAGCTATAGTGATAGCAGTCTGGTGTTTCCTCTTCCATCTTATTCTATCTTCTCATAATGATGGATTTCATATAAAACATTTGTTTTCAGTTTTATTTACATTGATATCTCATGTCATGTGCTAAATTAATGATTTTTCTGCTCCTCATGCAGAGTTCGATTCCACTATGGTCATCCAGATATTTTTGATAGACTGTTTCACCTGACTAGAGGAGGTGTCAGCAAAGCCTCTAAAGTCATCAATTTGAGTGAAGACATATTTGCAGGTATTATTGTTGCTTTGTCTTTATACTGATAGATGTAATTTTATCTCGTTATGAATCCTTTTCACGTTTCTTGTGAATTTTTTTTCAGGTTTTAATTCGACATTGCGTGAAGGCAATGTTACTCATCATGAATACATTCAAGTTGGTAAAGGAAGGGATGTGGGCCTTAATCAGATTTCAATGTTTGAGGCAAAGATAGCTAATGGGAATGGAGAACAGACGTTGAGTCGCGACATTTATAGGCTTGGTCATCGATTTGACTTTTTCCGAATGCTATCCTGTTATGTTACTACTGTTGGTTTCTATTTCAGTACCTTAGTACGTGTGAATTATAACTCCTTTTCTGAATATGAAATCCCAATTCAAAATGCTCTGGTTCTTCTTGGAATGTGTAGTATGTCCAACTAATTCAAATTTCTTTGGTTCTTATTTGACAGTTAACTGTGCTCACAGTCTACGTATTTCTTTATGGCCGCCTTTATCTTGTTCTTAGTGGGCTTGAAGAAGGCCTGAGTACTCAACGAGGTATCAGGGACAACAAGCCTCTTCAAGTAGCTCTTGCTTCTCAGTCATTTGTACAGATTGGTTTTTTGATGGCCTTACCCATGATGATGGAAATTGGTTTAGAAAGGGGATTCCGTAATGCATTAAGCGATTTCATATTGATGCAATTGCAATTGGCCCCTGTATTTTTCACATTTTCTCTTGGAACAAAGACTCATTATTATGGAAGGACATTGCTTCATGGGGGTGCACAATACAGAGGTACTGGTCGTGGTTTTGTAGTGTTCCATGCCAAGTTTGCCGATAACTATAGGATGTATTCCCGCAGCCATTTTGTCAAAGGGCTTGAACTTATGATGCTGCTGCTTGTGTACCATATTTTTGGGCTTTCATATAGAGGTGTAGTTGCATACATCTTAATTACCGTATCAATGTGGTTCATGGTGGGGACATGGCTTTTTGCTCCTTTCCTCTTCAATCCATCAGGGTTCGAGTGGCAGAAAATTGTTGATGACTGGACAGATTGGAACAAGTGGATAAATAACCGTGGAGGCATTGGTGTACCTCCAGAAAAAAGTTGGGAATCCTGGTGGGAAAAGGAGCAGGAGCATCTACGATATTCTGGGAAACGTGGTATTATTGTGGAGATATTGTTGGCATTGCGCTATTTCATCTTTCAATATGGCCTTGTGTATCATCTCAGCATAATTAAGAATACCAAAAGTTTTCTGGTATATGCTTTACATTCATTTTGGTTGCCATTTACTGTGCTTAAGTTGTGATATTTATAAAGCAAGCAGAATATTTGGTCTTTAACATTTTATTGGAATTACAGGTTTACGGTGTTTCATGGATTGTGATCATTGTAATATTGCTATTAATGAAGGTGAGTTATATAAATTTTCAGATTTCTAATACATATTCTGAGTGTCAACTGCCCCACTGCTCCTCCCACCCCTAACAAACCACACCCCCCACCCAAATGCAGAAAAGAAAAGCCACACTTACACGCACCCATGCATGCAACATTTTGCATAGCAGCCTTGGTTGCAAAAATCTCAAACCTGATTTGTATAATGAGGTTATATATGTATTGCTGAGCTAATCTAGTAAACCTTCATTCCTGAAACCGGATTAATATTAACAATCACATTGGATACTACAGGCCATGTCTGTTGGAAGGAGAAGACTCAGTGCAGACTTCCAATTAGTGTTTCGGCTGATTAAGGGTCTAATATTCTTGACATTCGTTTCCATATTCATTACTTTGATAGCAGTCCTACATATGACAATGCTTGATGTTTTAGTCTGCATTCTTGCGTTCATGCCTACTGGATGGGGACTTCTGCTGGTCAGTGATTTATGATGCCCTTACGCTTTTCCTGTTTCCTTTTAATATTAGATATTTTGTGGGAATTAATATGTATATTTGATTTTTTTTAGATTGCACAAGCCTGCAAGCCTTTGATACAACATGCTGGATTTTGGGGATCAGTGCGGACACTTGCTCGTGGTTATGAAATAATCATGGGCTTGCTTCTATTCACTCCTGTTGCATTCTTGGCTTGGTTCCCATTTGTTTCTGAGTTCCAAACTCGTATGTTGTTCAACCAAGCATTTAGCCGAGGTCTACAGATTTCCCGTATTCTTGGAGGACAGAGGAAAGACCGATCCTCTAAAAACAAGGAGTAAATGGATCATAGAGAGGGATCATTATCTGTAATGTGGAATTTTCATAGAAGTCCATATTTTATACCTATTACATAAAAAAATTAAGTTGTTTACATATCTTTGTATATATATAGATATAAATATGACTATATTGTACAGTAAAATACTTAAATAACACTATGTTTTAGTCGCTGGAAGGGATTATGTATGTGTTGTTTGAAGTACTGTTAGATTAGTCGATAGGGCGTTGATCTGAATTGGTACAAGTTGCTAGTTTGCTTCCATGTTCTTTTGAGTTGAAGGGATATAAATACACGAGTCTATCAGATGGTTTGATGGTGTCATTTCTTGTACTTTATTATTGTCCCTTTTGTTTGTTTTTTTATCAGGTAAAGGATCAGTGAAGAATATATTTTAAAGCAGGGAATAATGCATCTGTATTCTACGTGTAATCTTTGCAGATTTTATGAGAGTCATACTGAGTTTGCTCATCCATATTGGATTAGAAATGATAAAGGATGTGTTTATTCAAAACATGGATTTTGCAAGAGGGAGGACAATACATTGTCAAGGCGAGAAGTAACTAATAATACATACTATATATGAAGAAAAACAGAAGTCGAAGCTGCATCCTCCATGAGTTGAAGAGGGTTCTATTGATCAGGAACTGTACAAGCTAAATCAGTGCCATAATCACAATCGGGGCAATAGTAGATCCAGTGGCTATGAGGTACCTCTTTCTTGCAAGCATCACAAGTAAAGGTCGTGCACCCTCTTTCTATTGAGGAGGAATAGAAAAGAGTAAGTAGGTGAGTGTGATCCACATGTTTGATGGTTTGGGGCAAGAAAGCACATCCGACATGGAGATTGAATTGGCAAGTGAGGCAGTGATAGGTAAAACCAGTGCCATAATCACCACAGGCATTGCAAGTGAACTTGGAGTCGTCGTTAGGAGGGGAAGCGACAAGGGTGAGCGAGTGGTTGGAGTGAGAATTGTGTTGAAGCTCCCTTGGCAATTCAAAGCAGGACTTATGGAGAAAGAAATCACAGTTGGACTTGGTGCACCTGTAACCCGAACCTGAAAGGTCCATCTCACATCCGCAGCAAATAACTTCATCTTCCTCTTTCACAGCAACCGGACGCAAGGGATGGGAATGGCTGAAATGCTTTACGCATGGACGCAGGAAAAGAGAATTCCTGAATGTTAATGGCGTTGCCATTTCTCTCTTTCTTTCAAGGTTGTGGTCTTAGGGTGAATCCATCCTTGTCTCTCAATGATTATTTATATGCTTTATTCGCAGATCTCTAGGCCATGCCAGCATATATATATATATATATATATATAATATATAATTAATATGATTATATATTATAATAGATGGCTTAGAGGTTTAAAATACCTTTATAGGCTTTGATGCATTGTTTAAAATAAATGTTTTGGAGCAGAGTTGATTTACATGTTCTTCCCTGCATTCTTCTTTTTAACCCTGGTTAAAGAAATTTCATTTTTATAGATTTAGAGTTTTAAGTGTATATATATATATATATATATATATAGATGGCTTAGAGGTTAAAATACCTTTATAGGCTTTGGATGCATTGTTTAAAATAAATGTTTGAGCAGAGTTGATTTACATGTTCCTTCCCTGCATTCTTCTTTTTAACCCTGGTTAAAGAAATTTCATTTTATAATTTAGAGTTTTAAGTGTGTCCTCATATTACAAGCTCAGCAATCTTTCTCCATCAAGAATTTTTTGAAGTAAACTCTCTGAATAATAAATGAAGGACCAAAGAAGTGGTAATTAACGATCGAAGTTTAATTTAGCATTTTCTGGTTTTTGTTATATAAAGTTGGTGTAAGAAGTACATACATGCATGACGCATGCAAGTTGCTTGTTCAAGATAACCGGCGTCAGGCACTCAAACTCTTGATTTCTCACTTTCACTCACATGCACGTTATTAGTGCTGCGCGGTTTACTCGGATTCATTGATGGCTCACTTTTGTTTTCGTAATTTTCTTTTTCTGCTGGCTCTTTCTCTCACCTCGGAGAATTTGAGTATCTACAAATATGGAAGGCTTAACTCCTCAAAATCAACAGGGCTAAGTTCCGTGGACCAGGAATAAAAAATTTTAACGTACTTCGCCAGCGAGGTTGCAAATTTCTGAAGTAATTCATGAAGAAACTACCGAAGAAGGAAGCACTTGAATTTAAAATTCTTAAAAAATAATAAAAATAAAAATTTAGAAAAGATTGAGATTGTAGCTTTGCTCCAATTCCAGGACCGTTATAGGACTAACATAGTCCTTCACCAAGTTCAGCTAACATGAACTTCATGGAGAATCACCTCATTGCCACCCTCCCGTCTTTCCAGAATTCTACTTTGTTGCTGTTGATTTCTTTTTCAGAATTTTTGTTGCCTTATTTTTGTTAATGGTGGTGGTTGCACTTTATATTTAATTATAATTATAATTATAATGGCGTTATATAATTCAATAATAAACATAACAATAAAAATGCTTCTCTGAAAACCAAGTTGATTAGGTTTAGGTTAACTACGTAACATTTCATAGACGACTGCGCCCAGAAACTCGTTTCTAAAATTCCCTTATCTGCTAATACACTTTTTAATAGGTTATTTTTGCAATTCAATACCCTCATGAAAGAAATAAAAGAAAACCTAGCCGTTTTCTCCATCAAAATCGGTTGAGTACATCACTTCCTTTAGAAAAGATGATTGCAAGGATTTATATGGTGTTGAGCCGTCATTCTGAGGAAATGGCTATCTCAATATATGCAATGGACATGACAACAGATGCCGAACAGGATGCAATTTGGAACCCATTTATGAATTTCCTTGCGCAAAATATCCCATTTTTGGATCTCCGTGCGCAAAATATCCTCGGCATCCGTCCAGTTCGAGTCTAAAATCTACTTTCTTGGTGGGATTTTCAGGTACTCGGAGTCAATCCATTCGGAGATCACCGAGTATGGTAGATCTGTTGATGCTGTTTTGTGTCCAAACGATGTGCGTATCTTTGACCCTGTCCAAGTTTGCTTAACAAGCGGTATGCCGATGAACACCGAAAAAGCTGATCCGGTTGCTACTGTGGTTGAAGGAAGATTTTCGTTCTTAGTTGTAGCATTAGCACAGATACTGACACTGAATTTAATTATAACTCTATCTGATTATTTGAATGCTTTGACTCTAAGAATAAAAAATGGACAATTCTTGATGATCCACCAATCCGTACGTCGATTTGGTGAGTTTCCGCATCTGTTGTCGGACGGAAGATTCTGTTTACTGCCCTTGATCCGGCCGAGGACTATGCATTTTACCCCTTTAATTATGACAACTTTGTCAAAGTTAGACCAAAATTCATTAAGCATTTCAAAAGCCGAGTACCCGGTCTTGCATATATCAAAGGATTCTTCTGTTCGTAAGTGGCGTCAGAGCCATATTATTTGTCAATCAGGGAATGAGCGTTACTGTTATCTTAACACTTGGACTCCAATGTGAATACATAGTTGACTTTCCTGTTCTAGATAGAGAGATCAATCCTGTTGAATTGTGCGTTTTCAATGGCACCGACACCTACTGTGATGAATATAAATTGAAGGCAGAAGTTGTTTATTGGACCATGTTTCTGATCAGAAATTCACCCCCTTGTTATAATACAATCAGGGCCTGCTATATCATTGACTCAGTAAGTTTTTAATTTTGCTTTTTGTTACCAATGCATCCAAATTGTTTCCCTTCCTTCAACTATTTTCTAAGTGCTGACGCTATCATTCCCTTGATTGCTCTTTCTTTTGTTTTTACTTGGCTTGATGATTTTGTAGTTTTATTTGACAACCCTCTGTGTCCATGAAGCCAGAAGAAGATAACACAAAGTAAGATGAGATTTTTTATCCTTTACCCTGGATTTGTTTCCTTTGTATGGATGTGGATGGTTTTCTATCTCATGAGTTTCTAATATAACAGCTAAAATATCAATTTTTGTTACTCTTTTAGGGAGGCTTCAACTTCAGCAGTAACAAGTGCTCAAGAGTGATGTGATGGTTGCGAAGCACGCAACAAACCAGGAAAGGTTTCGGGAAGGCTTCTTGAGGAAATTTGGTCTCAAGTGTCTCCATGAGAACGACATCTAAATTGGTTTTTCTATCCGAACATGAAAATGTTAATAAGTTTATGATACTGAATTTTTTATTTCAGTCTCAACTCGATCGTTTGTACTAATGGATCATGTAGTTAGTGAGATGCAGACTCGATTGGGGGAGCTAAAATAAATAAAGTGCCTATATCCACTCGATTTTCATAATGCAAAAACAATAATTATAATGTATTTATGAATTAGGGTAAGTTAATATACAGCTCCTTCAAGGAAGTTTCCCCGGTTAAAATTACATCTGCCAATCAAATTACCTATAGTACCTAACGATAACAATTCAAAATAAATTTCTTAATAATAATAATAATAATAATAATAATAAGCAACAACAATAGAAAATTCAATTTTCTAATAAGAAATATAAAGGTAATTAACAAGCTCGGGCCATTCCATGCAAGAACTTTCGGGCCCAAAAATTCAAAGGTATACTCCTTTGGTTTAAGAAGCTCTGTTCCGGGCTGATATCTTCTGTATCTCTGACGGGAAGCTCATATAGGGTCTTCCAGACGATAGTTTAAGGTCTTGTGGTTGATAACTTCTGTTTGTATAGGATCTTCTAGGCAATAGTTGCTTGACAGGCCATTTCGAGACTATAATATCACGTCTATTGATTTGTAGAAAGCGTTAAAATCAAGCTCAGACAATTCTGTGACGGAGCTTTTAGGCCCAAAAATCCAAAGGTATACCTCTTTGGTCTAAAAAGCCTTGTATGAAGGCTTATTCTGGAGCCGATATCATATGTACGTCTAGCGAGCAGCTCGTATAAGGTCTTTCAGGTGATAGTTTGGGATCTCATGGTCATTCCGACATGCCTATCTCGCATGCTTGATGCGTCATTAAGGATTGCATGTTCAATATAAATTCATGCACAAAATCGGTGCTACTAAGAAAGCATTCGACAATTTTTGCACAATATCTTTCTATCTGTTGCTTCACATGCCATTTCAAGACCATAATATTTTATCTATTGACCTATAGAAATCATTAAAATCAAGATAGGGCATCACGTGCTAGAGATTTCAGGCAAAAAAAACCAAAGGCACAAACCTTTGGAATAAAAAGCCCTGTATGAAGGCTTGTCCCAGAGTTGTTATCTTCTGTACGTCCCATAGGCAACTTATATAGGGTCTTCTTAGTGATAGTTTAAGGTCTCATGGTTAGCCTAACATGACTGTACCGCCTGCTCGATGCGTCACTAAGAATTGCATAATCAATATAAATTCATGCGTAAATTTGGTGCCACTCTAGAAGAATTCTGCAGTTTTGGCCCAATATCTCTATATTTGTTTCTTGGCACGCTAGTTCAGATCATAATATTTTGTCTTTGACCTATAAGAAGCATTGAAATCATTTTTAAGTCATTCTGTGCCGGACCTTTTGGGACCAAAAATCCCAAGGTATACCCCTTTGGTCAAAGAAGTCCTGTATAAAAGCCTATTCCAGAGCCAATATAGTTTATACGCCTGACAAGTAGCTCATATAAGGTCTTCTAAACAATAGTTTGGGGTCTCACGATCAGCCCAACATGCTTATCTTGCCTACTCGATGCATCATTAAGAATTGCTTACATCATAAAAATTCATTCGAAAAATCGGTACCACTTCAGAAGCATTCAACAGTCTCGATACAATATCTGTATATCTATTACTTGGCACGCTATTTTGAGACAAAATATTTTGTCTAATTACACTTAGGAAGCATTCAGATCATTTTTTATCCATTCCGTACTGGAGCTTCCAACCGAAAAATCAAAAGGTATACCCTTTTTGTCTAAGGAGCCATATACGAAGGCCTATTCCAGAGCCGATATCATCTGTAGGCCTGATGGGCAGCTCAAATGGGTCTTCTAGGCAATAGTTTGGGATGTCATGGTCAGCCCGCGTTGCCTATTTTGCCTACTCGTTACGTCATTAAGAATTGCTTGTGCTATATAAATTCATGCGTAAAATCAGTGCCACTCCGAAAGCATTAAATAGTTTTGACCCAATATCTCTATATCTTTTTCTTGGCACAACATTTTGAGATCATAATATTTTGTCTAAGACATGTAGCAAACATTGAAATCATTTTCAGGCGATTCCTGCCGATGCTTCTGGGCCTAAAATCTAAAGGTATACACCTTTGGTCTAAGAAGTCTTGTATGAAGATTCCGCAGTCGATATCGTCTGCATGCCTAAGGGGTAGCTCATATAGGGTCTTCTAGGTGATAGTTTGGGGTCTTGTGGTCAGACTAGCACGTCTATGTTGATTGCTCGATGTGTCATTAAGAATTGCATAATCAATGTAAATTCATGTGCAAAAGCGGTGCCACTCCTGAAGCATTCGGTATTTTTGGTACAATATCTCTTGTGTGTTGCTTAGCATGCCATTTTGAAACCATATTATTCCATCTATTTTCGTGCTGGAGCTTCCGGCCAAAAATTCCAAAGGTCTACCCCTTTGGTCTAAGAAGCACTGTATGAAGGCCTGTTCCAGAACCGATATCTTCTGTATGTCAAAGGGGCAGCCCGTAAACATCTTCTAAGCAATAGTTTGGTGTCTCGTGGTAAGTCCAACATGCCTATCTCACCTGCTGGATGCGTCATTAAGAATTGCATGAGCAATATAAATTTATGTGCAAAATCGGTGCCACTCCGGAAGCATTCAATAGTTTTGGTACAATATCTCTATATCTGTTGCTTAGCACGCCATTTCAAGACAAAAGTATTTCATCTATCAACTTGTTGGAAGCATTAAAATCAATTTTGGACTATTTCGTATTGGAGCTTCTGGGCCTAAAAATCAAAAGGTATACCCTTTTAGTTTAAGGAACCCTAAATAAAGGCCTGTTCCAAAGCCAATATCGTCTATAGACATGATGGACAGCTCATATAGGATTTTCTAGGCAATAGTCTGGGATCTTGTGGTCAGCTCACTCTACCTATCTCGCCTGCTCGATGCATCAAGAATTGCATATGCCATGTAAATTCATTCACAAAATCAGTGTCACTCCAAAAGCATTCAGTAGTTTTGGCCCAATATCTCTATATTTGTTCCTTGACACACCATTTTGAGACTATAATATTTCGTCTAAGACTGGTAAGTAGCATTAAAATCATTTTTGATTTGTTCCGTGCCGAAGCTTCTGGGCATGAAAAGCCAAAAGTATAACCTTTTGGTCTTAGAAACCCTATATAAAGGCTTGTTCCGCAGCCGATATCCTATATATGTGTGATTGACAGCTCATATATGGTCTTCTATGCAATAGTTTGGCGTCTCATGGTTAGCCTAACATGCCCATCTCGCCTACTTAATGTGTCATTAAGAATTGCATACGCATTATAAACTCTTGTGCAAAATTGGTGCCACTACAGAAGCATTTGGCAGTTTTGTCCCAATATCTCTCCGTTTGTTGCTTGGCACACCATTTCGAGACCATAATATTTTGTCCATTAACCTATAAGAAGCATTAACATCAAGCTCAGGCCATTCTGTGCCGAAGCTTCCGGCTAAAAAATTCGAAGGTATGCCCCTTTGGTCTGAGAAGAACTATATAAAGGTTTGTTTTGGAACTAATATCTTCTATACGTCTAATGGGCAGCTCATATAAAGTCTTTTAAGTAATATTTTTAGGTCTCATGGTCAGTCTGGCATGCCCATCTGCTTGCTCGATGTGTCATTAAGAATTGCATATGCAATATAAATTCATGCGTAAAATTGGTGTCATTCCATCTCTTGATTGGCACATTATTTTCAGACCATAATATTTCATCTATTAACCTGTAAGAAGCATTAAAATCAAGCTCAAATCATTTTATACCGGAGCTTCCTGGCCCAAAAATCCAAAGATATGCCCCTTTGGTCTAAGAACCCTCTTTAAATGCCTATTTCGAAATCAATATCTTCTATACATCTGATGGAAAACTTGTATAGGATCTTTTAGGTGATAGTTTGGGCTTTTGTAGTCAGCCCGACATGCCTATCTTGCCTGCTCGGTGCGTAATTAAGAATTGCATACACAATATAAATTCATTTGCAAAAATTGATGTCACTCTAGAAACATTCGACACTTTTGGCCAACATCTCTCTGTTTGTTGCTTGGCACGATATTTCGGGACGATAATATTTCGTCTATTGACTTTTAGGAAGCATTTGAAATCAAGCTCAGCTCATTCCATACCGGAGCTTCCGGGACAAAATCCAAATGTATACCCCTTCGGTCTAGGAAGCGCTCTAACTAGACATGTTGTAAAGTTGATATCTTCTTTATATCTGATGGGCAGCTCGTGTAAGGTCTCCTGTGCGATAGCATGGGATCTTGTGGTTAATCAGAATTGCATATGCAATATAAAATTCATCCCCAAAATCCACGTCACTTGTGCAGCATTCGGCAGTTTTTATCAATATCTCTCTGTCTGGTTCTTAGGCACAATATTTTGAGACTACAATATTTCGTCTATTAACCTATAGGAAGCTTGAAATCAAGCTCAAGTCATTTCATATCGGAGCTTCCTTGCCCGAAAATTTAAAGGTATGTCCATTTGGTTAGAAGCCCTATAATCATACTTGCTTTGGAGCCGATATCTTCTGTAAATCTTACAAGCAACCCGTATAGGGTTTTATAGGCGGTAGTATGTGATCTTGTGGTTAGCCGGACATGTTTATCATGTATGCTAGATGCGTTATTTAGAATTGTATATACAATATAAATTCATTCCCAAAATTCACCCTATTCTAGGAGCATTGATTTCATAATTCAAGAAGGGGAAATTGGGATAGAGAGAGAAGAAGGAAGAGAAAGAAAGAGATAGGAAGAAAATACTATAATTCCTTTCATAATTCAATATTCTTTGCAACTCATATAAATCATTGCCACATTAGTTGAAGAGCATGAATCGGCTAGTTTATTTAATTACAACTTAAATATAATATAAATAAGGAAATTGCCAAATAATTAAAAAGTAATTGTATATTAGAGGCTTTTATGTGCCAAAATAACACAATACTACTAGCAACATATTATGGGATGGGGTAACGTTCCCATTGACTTATCAAATTGGTGAAAATGCATGTGATCGAGAGGATTCAAACTCGAAACCTCTCACTCCTCGTATAAGTAAGAATACTAATCAAACTACTACCTGATTAACTTATACAACTTTTTTTTAATAAAACAAACGTCATGCTAATTTAATTTTAGAAAAAAAAATAAAAACAGAGTAATTTAGTGGAATGTTGTATTTGCAATTGCAAGTATACATGGCCAGAAGACTACAACTAAGTTAATTAATCCCAACAATTAATAATTTAGCATAATTGATAGGCGGTTTGGTTTGATTCTCCCACGTCCCCAGAAACGACATCGTTTACGCCCTGCTAGGGCCCTACCGAACCCAGTCAGGCCTCAGCGGACAAAAGCGAAGCATAACACAGCCATTTATCATCTCCCCGCGAATGAAAAACTTGCAACTATCTCGCGCCACTCTATGGAAAATAATTATCGCTACTAAGGTGACCCTCCTTGAAGAATCGAAGATCCTGAGCTCATAATCTGGATCTATTCAGGTTCTTACGAATTCTTCTTCTCTTCTTTTTGGTTCCTTGATTGTTTTTATTCAGATAGTTTGTCTGCTTAGAATTTATTAATCATGTTCTCAATTAAAATCTCTGGTCCTCAGAATTTAATGGGTCTGTTTTTGTTTGCTGAGAAAGGGAATCCCATATATTATTAATAAGCTAACTTAGAGATATCAGGAATAAAGAAATGAAAAGAAGAGATTTTTCCTTTCCATGGAAAAACAAGGGAATTTTAAATTTGCGGTTTTCTCAAATGATGCACAGATTTTAAATAAGCTAATTCTGAAATTTATGATTTTTGAGAAAATTTAAGCTGATTTAAAAGGACGGGAGATTTTGGTTTCTGGGTAAGATGCTTAATAGATCAGCCATTTGGAAGGCGTGATTCTTACTTAACTACTGCTTAGCCATAATTGCGTCGATTGAGTTTATCATGGCATGTTTTATAATCAATAGACTAAAAAAGGCTAATACTGGCTATGTAATTTAACAGGTCTCTTCCCGAAGAAAGATGCGATATCAAGACATTATCGTTTCAATGATAAAAAGCCACTTGATCTGAAGGGAAGGTATCTGAATCAGTCAAGATGGCTATCCACATTGTTTGGTAGAGGCGGGTTTTATTCAGATTGGTTCCAGTTTTGATGAGATTATTAAGTCTGGGAAGAAAGAATGGACCTTGATTTGAACCAAGAACCTTTGGATTCTTCCAGTGGCTCTATCTTTCGTATAGGATCTTTACTGAATGAATTAGAAACTGCGCATGGCCATATTGAAGAACGAATCAGACAGCTTGAAGCAGTCACTTCTAGAGCTAGACAACGCCAGAGATGGAGACAAAGTGAAAATATCCCGCAAACATTGAACCATGCTGTGGAACCTACAACCATTGCAGTTCACAATGATGATACATCAGTTAGTGAGAGAATTAGTGTTGCAACCCAAGAAAGGACGTTAAGAGCTAGAAAAGTTGTGAGAAGGAATAATATGCATTTGGTAGCTAAGGCACTAGACATGGCTGCAGACGCAACAAAGACTATAAGTTGTAAAGGGGGCTTTTTTGATTGTAACATATGCCTGCATATGGCAAGAGATCCAATATTGACCCGTTGTGGTCATCTGTTTTGTTGGCCATGCTTCTATCAGTTGTCATATGTTCACTTAAATGTGAAGGAATGCCCTGTGTGTATGCAGGAGATTACAGATACAAACATTATTCCAATTTATGGAAGTGGGAATCAGAAGTCCTGGTTGAAGGAGTCTGGCTTGATGATCCCTCCTAGGCCCCATGCACACAGGGTTGAAAGTCTTAAGCAGGAACTCATTAATCACAGAGCAATTTCTTCTGTAATTGATCGAAATATTCGGCTATTTAGTCTGATTGTTGCAATGGAGGAGAATTCTGCGTCACGGGATGTTGATGGTGGTACTTTCATGGCTGAAAGAGCTGGTTTGTTGGACAATCAATCACTTGCTTCTCAGGTGCCACCTGCCAATGCGACTGAGGACAACCAGCACCATCATCCCCTCCAACTTCCTAGATTATCGTTGCAAGGAGCTGCATCATTTTCTTCTCTTTCATATGCACTGACCTCTGCAATGGATTCTGCAGAAAGATTAGTCGAGGACCTTCAGGCGTCTATTCACAGCCTTCATATGAGAAGAAACAATCAACCATCTTTTAGTGTTGCTGAGATACGAGATAGAGAAACTCTAGATAATGCTACCGATACTGATTCTACTGTGGCCCATCCTTCATCTTTCAGGAGCGATGGTGCTGCTGCTGCTGTGCAATTAGAAAACCAGAGAACAGATACTGTTGCAGAAAGCAATAACATTATGTCCATTTCTTCAACATCTTCTAATGAAAGACATACTGTTTCAAGAATTTTAGAAGTGGAGAATAGAATGGACGTCAATCCTACCATGCTGCATTCTTCTTTATCTTCCAGGCGAAGAAGTGAATTTCCCAGAGTTTCAGATGTAGGCAATGGACAGTACCATGAATCTAGAAGGAGAAGGATGTCTTGATATAGATTTCCTTGGCTTACTGTAATTTTTATTTTCTGAAAAAAATTTAGATATCCTTATTTCTTTGAGTCAATGTTTAAGCATTAATGAGACCAGCATACAGGGCGCTGTGTTCTAGTTGACAGATTTACTGGAACTATAAGATAGTAAATAGTTGCAATTTTTTTAAGTTGTTTAATGGTAGCATCTGATGAAGTTGTTGCTCTTTTGACTTGTGTTTGTGTGTGTGTGTGTAGTCTTGGAGCAGCTATTTAACTGACAAGTATATGAGTTGCTGGTGCAAAATTAAAATGTTTCTATTCATTGTTTTTTTCTAATGCATATGTAATAGCTCTGAAATGATTGATGATTTCCTTTCTTTTTTTCACTTCCCATGATGTCCAATTCTTTCGTTTTTGTAATCTACAAATGTTTCAGCCAATGAGTTTGTTCTATTTGTTACCTGCTACATTTCATAGTGATGCAAACTATCATATGGTTTCAACTGGGGATCTTGTCAACCAAATAGTTACAGGCATTACTCTGCCAACTTGACAAGGGACTTCTACTTTCCTCATGCAAATGGCACTCTTTGATTACCATGAAATATAACAACGAATAGGAATAAAACGGCTATAGCTCCTATATAAACTACTGGGAAGATCATAATGGAGACGTCAAGACCTAACAATAGAAGTAAATCTGAAGAATGGCGAAAGATTAGGATGGTCAACAAAACGAATGTCAATTCTAAATAATCACTTATGGTTTTAAATGTTTCTTTCAGTATATTTTTTGTCGAGTCATTATATAAATCACGATGCCCCGGCAACCGAGGTCCCGGGATCAATCGCCACTCCCCACTTCTTGCAATATATATATATATGCAGCACTGTAACAATATCCTTGTATCATAGTGTCTCTGGAAAAAGAAAAAGAAAAAAGAAAAAAGAAAAGAAAAGGGTGCTTGATTATCATGGTTGATGATTGATCAAGTACACACGAGGCTGTAATAATTTGATGAAACCTTAGGCTGACAATATGTGATTTTGGGTGATGATCATGTTGTATAATAATATATGACAGGATCAGGTTGTCCTGATATAAAATAATTGTTCATATGAAATACACAATAGTACTAGATTATAAAATTTTTGTGCATCTATGAGTTGGCTGATCATGCATGCATGTATATATTGTCTGTTACTGTTATTTCATTTTCTAAACAGAGCTCTAAAGGTGCAAAGAAAATAATTAACTATGTGTGCCCTACAACTGTGCCGATAGGAAACACTCTATAATTACAGATAGGAATTGGCATTAGCAATTTTGGTCCAAGCCATGTCTTTGTGCCCAGCAACTTGTATTGCTGGGCCCAGCAGAAGGTATCTGATAATGGATGATGATGATGATGATGATAATATGAAGGTGATAGGGCTGACAATGATAAACCCAAAATTAAAAATTAAAAAAAAAAAAAAGGAAAAAGAAATTATACTCTCTCCCAAGAATGATTGCACCAGACAATGGCTATGATTGTGAAGCCAAAACAAGAGAAGTATGTTCCAATCTATCCTTCCTGTGAACCCCTTCTGCTTTCAATTTATTCTTGGATAGTCTCCTTTGTGTTGTATAGATCTAGAATTATACATATATATATATATATATATATGAAATGAAGAATTTTAAAACTTGAATACACGTGAAAAACCTAAAGACTTGGAGAGGAGAGAATGGTTTTACTCATGCAAGTCTTCTCTTTTCATGCATATAAAAAGAAAATCAATAATCTCTCTTGCAGCGAAGGAATTGCCAAGTATTAATACTTTAATCTTAAGTTAAAAATAATCATTTAATTTGAAAATAAATCACGCTAATTATTAAAAGCAAAATACGTAAAATTCGCTCATATATTTTAATTATGTAAAACAAATTTTATGGCATACTTAACATTTAATTTGACTTATTAAAATACTTTAACTTATAAGATCGTATTTATTAAATGCTTCAATTTACAAAATTTTTTTATTAAATATTCAACTTATAAGATTCTAGTCAATTAAATTATTATTAAATAGTTAAAAAATATAAAATTTATCATTTCAAAAATTATAATAATCACAGTTAAATTAGTATTTTACATATAAACATCAAAATATTAAAAGTCATTGTTGGTGTTATCAAAATTCATCATTTTAGGGACATTGTAGATCACATGTAAAAATGGCAAAAGATAAAACCAGATTTTGAATCCCAATTTATACATGAAGCCAATTGTTAAATCATTTTGAGAGATAGATATATTGAAATAGAGAGAGAGAGAGAGAGAGAGAGAGGGAGAGATGCATGCAATGATGAGGATTGACTGTTAGTCATATGCACGCCTAGCAACAGGTGATGTGACCAATGTGGGAGAAAGGAGAAAGGAGAAAGGAGACACGAGGCCCTACTTTTTCTCTATTAGGATTAGAAATTAGAGATTAGAGATTTCCTCTCTCTCTCCCTCTCCTCTCCACCCCCTAACTTAATTCCATATGTACAGTAATTGTAGGGGAAGGTCCCCCCCACCCACCATTTTTAAGATACTTCTATGAAGTATTTAGTTTTATACCCATGTATATTGTTCACGATGAATTCGACTAATGCTCAATCATTCTCGAAAACAAAAAGTTTGGTAAGTATTTTTTGTTGCTGAACTGTCCATTCGGATTTCCTCTAAGTGATCTTACCAAATCTATTACCATTTTTATTTGTTTTCTAACTTTGCTAATTACCAAGTGAATGTATTAAGAATCATACTAATGAACCAATGAGGTATAGTCAGGTTGGAAAGAGTAAAAAGTTTGAAATTCGAGTTCTATCGCTCATAAGTGTTTTTAGGTTTCAAATTCGAATTTTTTCTGTCATATTATTATCTCAACCCATCGGGTCTTTTAATAAATAAAAAATAATACTAATAAATATTGTATTTAATATTAATTTTAAAATGAAAATGAATTATTATTATTATTATAAGACAAGTGAATGACATTTTTCTCTTGTGAATAATAGCCCTACTACTCCCCAAACAAGGCAAAAGGAAAGAGACCATACCATCAATCACTGCTATGTCCTCTTGTCCTCTTCTCTTCTATATATTTCATAAGGATTCAATCACTCGCGTAATAATTGCATACTTCTGTGGACCCCCCCCCAACAATAAATATTAATTAATTAAATAAATTTACTAATTATTATTATTATTATTATTATTTTCACGAGAGAAATGCCCGTACTAATGATTGCAAGTGCTGGGACTTGTCTCCTTCACACGCTGCACTGTCCCTCCCCCCTCAAACCTAACCCTTCCTTCCGGACCCATTTTATCTATTGTTGATTCAAATATATACAATTCAATCCAAAAAATGACTCACTAAATAAAACTTTAAATTTTTTTATTAATTGAAAACTTAAATTATTAAGTCAGATAATATTTTTAGTGAAAAAATACACTTATATTCTCAATTATATCTTAATTAACGCTTTTATTTATACTTATTTTTAGATCATTCTGCTGTTTAGACTATTTTCTTTCCCATTAATTAATAAATTATTATTCATATATCTTAAAAGTAATTCTACCTATCAATATGTATAAATTGACAATATAACTTTATTCTATTAAGAATGTTGAATTGACTAATCGTATAAGGAGTTGAAGTGTTATCTATTAATTAAAATCAAAGAGTAGTTGCTGATTAGCAATCCAACCAACCATACACTCACAATATTAATATTAATTTAGGGTTCTAACTAACTCAAACGAATCGTAAATTAATTGAAACTCAATTAAAAAAAAACAAAATGATTCGGAAGAACTTAAATGGAGTTTGGTATATCAGAAAAGTCAATCATGAAATTTAACATACACTTCTCTTATATATATATATAATTAGAAAGTGTAATTTTCTTCGACCTGTAGAGCGTAAAGGTTTTTCACCTAACAGCAAAGTGCACTTCTCGATAATCAAATTCATGTTCTCACTTTTACAAGAATTAAAGTCTTTTATCTCTCTAACCGAAATCTTATTAGTCTTTTATTTTCTTTACGTAGAGAGAAAGGAGGAAAGAAAAAGAAAAAGAAAAAGAAAAGGATACCTACAGAGAGGAGAGAAGTGAGATTGAATTGGGTTTGAGAGTAAGTTTCTTACAATATGCAAAGAATTGGTGTTTAATTGCCAATTATAAGAAAAAAGAGGGTTTGAATGTGGTAATTAAATGATTAAAGTGAATGCATGAGTTTCAATAATTGCAATGATCCTAAAAGCAAGACAAGTGTTGGCATGCCACCCCATATCTACCGGGCACTGCCTTCACGACCTATGGATCATTAAAGTCACTGCCCTTTGCCTCCAATTATTGTTGTGCTATGACCCCCCCATCCCCATAAAAGCTTAATTAGCCCATCTAATTTACAACTTTTCGTTGATTCAAAATTTTTATTATGTTATATTTGGCAATTTCACTACAGAATTCTATTCACTATAATAAGTCTTACGATCTAAAAAGTTGTGCATGGTTCGCATAATATTTTGGAACTATATATGTATGCATATGCTTCTTATTATGGATTGTGATTCAATATATATTTTTCCTTTCTGTTTTTAGATTTTTGAACTTTTTCTTATGAATATTTTAATACTTTTTCCGGATATGAAACTAATTTCATTTTTAGGTTCGTAGTTATCTTTATTATAAGTACTTTTTTTTATTGAATTTTTAATTTTACAGGAATTATTTGGTTAATACAAATATATCTTATTACTTGAATTACTTCTTGTAAAAAGGATTTTAGGGTTTTCATCTTTTGTTATATATATATATATATATATTTAAAATGATAAATGAAAAGGGCTTTCTAATTTTGAAACATTACATTACCTATATTCTATAATCTTTTTACCCATGCATGAAAAGGTTTTCCAAATTACACGGGTAAAGAAAATTGATTACATATCTTCATTTGCAAACAACATAATCGCGGCAATAAAGTTTATTACAGATTAAATAGCTCAAGATTAATATCTTTTTACACCTTAAATACTCTGATATCCTTATATATATATATATATAGCACATATCAACCATCTGAGCAAAATACAATTGAGTTTGAGTTTTGCTCATATATTATATTAGCACTATCAACCTCTGAGCAAAATACAATTGAGTTTGAGTTTGCTCATATATATATATATATATATATACTATATATATATAATATATATATTATATGATATAGCACATATCAACCATAATGATATATAGCACATATCAACCATCTGAGCAGAATACAATTGAGTTTGAGTTTTGCTCATTTATTATTAAAATTAAAAAGTCATCTCATCTAAATAAATATCGATTTCACTCACGAATAGTTTCACTCACTCGGAATTAGAATTATACAAAAGCTATGTATATAATGTGAAATCAAAATCAAATTTTGAAATTGGAAAACAAAAAAAGAAATAAAAGATAATATAAGCTAGTAATTACTCGGTATAAGCTAGTTTTGATTAATTAAGCATCATAAATAAAAGATAATCCATAATATATAAAGAGATTAGTGTGGGGTTGATAAGTATGGGTGAAAGTAATTTCTTGGATACGTTAAAAGGGAAAGGCAGCTACAAAATCTATTGGATTTGACAAATGCCTGATCAAAAAAGGGTCAAAAGTCAAAACACAAATCCAATGATCCTAGATCCGCTCTTCGGCTCTTCCCCTTTTCATTACATGATCCGTTAATTTCCAACGGACCTAACGGTTCAAATTCCAAGTAGTTTCTTATGCACCCAACTACTCTATGACACGTTTTATTTGGCAAAAGAGAGCGTTAAGTTAGTTGGCCCTTAATTACTATGAGATTTGACATTTTCTTGCTACCCGTTTTAATTCATTGGCCCAATCAACATGAAACAGACGTATCCTTCCCTAACTCGATCCCATTATTTATTTATTTTTCTAGAATTGTTTTCTGATAGCAAATTGATCATCATCCATTAATGTATTAGGACCAAAACATGATGATGATGATGATAATTTATCACCAACTACGAATAAATGATCATACTTGAGTGTTAAGAGTTAACGAAAGTTGAAAACCCACAAAAAAAATTTTCAAATGATTCTCTCTTACTTGGTATATTATGCTCATGATGCTTCCTTTAGATGTGGGGTAGATATGCATTAAACAAATGATCATCGAAACAAGAATATGTAATAATGTTGTGTATTGCAAGGGAACTACATCATAAGAGAAAGGAAATTAATTAAAATTGTTAAAGATTGCATACTTATTGTTTGCCATACCATGTGTAGGCAAAAGAGTGAAAGAGTATAATTTATTTATATATAGCTAATTAATTTATTTATTTATCTATCTATTTATATGGTTAAATTGAGGGCAAATGAACATTATATATTCTTAATTAAAGAAACAAGTCATGGTTTGTGCCCTAGTCAAAGTGGTGAAGAATTTATTGAAATCATCAACTAGCAAGTTAGACATTTATAGTGATCTCAATCATGCATGTTTCACAATAATGAGTTGCAAAATAAAAAAGAATGAGTGATGTTTCACTAAGCAAGCTAGCTAGGGTAGATATGGATTTTTATCTATACACATAAAAGTAAATAAGTTACATGCGTCGCTGATCAAACATGATCTGCACGATCTTTCCATTTTTTGTAGAAGATGTGGAGAGTTAGAGATATCGAGCTCAAATTCTTTCCATTATAAAAATTATTACCTTTCCGGTGAATGTTATTCAAAAAGAATAATTATTTTTTACCGTTCTGTTGGGTCTCGAAATATGAAAACATAAGTGATATGCGTGTGAATGTAATAACTTTAGAATATTTATATTGTGCACGCAACTTATCCTTATTTAGTGATAGTAAAATCAAATTAATCACAAATATAGAAGCAAATTAATTAATGCTGTGTGTATAAGGTTTGTCATTGTGTGAATCAATGGCATGAATGCATCTTTCTTCAAATGGTGCATATATAGCATATGTATCTATTTTAATTTCCATGTAAGACTATTTGCTTTGTAGATGACAGAAGAGTCAATTAATTTGACTATTGCAATCACGTACATGTGCATTAAGTAGGGTAATTACATGAGTGACGAGTCCTATCTCAACAAATCTTTAAATACCCCTCCATTGATGGATCTTCAAGTATTTTTGACAGCATAATGATGCCATTCAACGTCATTTATTTATTGGTTATGATAACTCCACTCAATATGTACATATCAGAGATGCAAAATAGCAAGCTGCTTTGCCAAATAAAACAAAATTTAATGTCTGTAATTCCAGAAAGAATAAGGACGTGGTGAAAGCTTTAATTCATAATTCAAAGAGAAAAAAAAAATGGAAGTACAAAAATAGGAAATTAAATTAAAGAAAATGAAAATATTTCTTCACATGTATCGCATGTGGCTGTAGAAGAAAAGAAAAAGGCTTACATTTGAAAAACGTTTAAGTTCATAAATTCAAGAGCTCAACTTTGCTTTTTGATCATGTTCATCGCATTAGAGATAGTGTTAAGGCAAGTCCTTAACACATATCAACATGAAAACAAAGAAAAACTATATGTCTTTGCTCAAAATTGTCAAAGTCTCCCTTGCCAATTATTAGCCTCTCAATGATTTTCTTTTGCAATATCAACACGATGTGCGTCACGCGCTTCTTAACTGAGAATGAGGATTGTACCCTACCAAAAATCTTCAAGAAACACAAAAAAAGAACACTCTCTCTCTCTCTACCAATGAAAAATAGGGTTTCACGGGTATTTGTCAACTTGGGATTGTCGGTCAAACTGGTTTCTCACAAGCCTAATATTAACGAAAACAAAAGAAAGAGAGAGGAAAAAAAAAACCACTACTCAAAAAAAAAAAAAAAAAAAAAAAAATCGCATTTACGTTATCTGAAGGTGAGGAATATGACGCCTAACCTATATATTCTCTCCTCTAAGACACCACATATAAAAAAAGAGAACACATACTCTCTCTCTCTAACAGAATAGACTAAATGAGTGTGTTTACACTGTGGTATTTTGATCATAGCTTGGATGTGTCGTGTTACAATAACTGGTCTCATCTAGCAAGCATATTTTATTACTGAATATAAAGACCAGAGAGAGATTAAAAAAAAAAATCCTCATTCTATACATAAATAAAAAAAAAGAAAATAATTACAAAAACTAAACTAGTATTTGCTCTTACATAAATTATTTTATTATGATAGTTATCATATTTATAGTGGATTTCTTCTCTACAAATAGTGACTTCTTCTTTTTGAGCATTCACTCGCGCAAAATACTGGCATAGAGTACCATTCATACTCTTTTTATAGCTTAGTTTCTCTTTTTTCCTCCTCTCACATGCAAAGAGGGACAGAACATGGGAGCTTTTGGTTGTTTAAGATATATAGGAGAATTTGTCTCGAGAGCCATTTTGAGATTCATAAGACTCAAAAGCTTATGATATGGATATTTCCAATTACTAAAAAAAGACCCAAGTGAAGTCAATATTAGGGTATATGAATCGTAGGAATTATAATCTTCGATTCGGGTTCATATCTTCAAGAATGTATAATCAGGTCATACGTAAGAGGAACTTAGGAATCATAAGATATAGGAGAAAGGGAAAGAATAAAAAAAAAAAAAAAAAAAAAAAAACTAATAGAATTTGCTCTTACATTAATTATTATTTGACAGATGGGATCATATTCATAGGATTTCTCTCTCTATAAAGACTCTTTTTCTTGAGCTTTCACTCCAAAACGGCAAGACCCTTCTCTTTTTCAGTTTTCTCTTTCTTTCTCTCTCACATGCAAAGAGGACAGACATGGAGCTTGGTTTAAGCTTAGGAGATGCTTCGAAGCCATTTGGATTCATAGACAAAGCTAGAGATGCCGAAAACAAAAGCAGATTAGGGTTTTGCATGGGCTTATCGATCGGTTCAAATTCAAGAAATGATAAGCAAGAGGAACTAGAACAAGAAGAAGAAGAAGAAGAAGATAAACATAGCGATATCAAAGAAAATAGTAGAGGTACAACAACAATAACTGATCATCATAAAAATCCCTCCGCCGCCGTAGATCCACCTATTCTTCAGCTTAATCTTCTACCGAACACTCCTGTTGTCCCTCGCAACCACCACTATGGCGCCCTTCCTTGGCTCTCCTCCGACAACAACGGTAACTTTCATCACCTACTATATATCACTCTGTTTCCGTTTTGTTTGTTATATATTTCTATCTGGTTCATGAGCCAGACGTCTCAACCAACTATTAATTTCCTTTTGTTTTTGTACAGATGCAAGAGGGTTAGATGTGAATAGGGTCCCGGTTGTTGAGGAGGCTGATGATGGGGCGGCTCTGTCTTCTTCGCCGCCAAACAGCGCGGCCTCGTCGTTTCAGATGGATTTTTGCATATACACAAGTAAGAGTGGAAATAATGAAACTGAAGTGGAGAGAGCTTCTTCAAGGGCTAGTGATGAAGATGAGAACGGTAGTACAAGAAAGAAACTCAGACTCTCTAAAGAACAGTCTGCTTTTCTTGAAGAAAGCTTTAAAGAACACAATACTCTCAATCCCGTAAGTTCAAGAATGACATGATTAACCTTGATTTCTTTCTTGATTCCTTGGTTTTTATTATAAAACGTTAATTGATCAATTAATTTCTTTGGTATTAATGGTTATATAATGTTGCAGAAGCAAAAGCTTGCTCTTGCCAAACAGCTCAATCTCCGTCCACGCCAAGTAGAAGTCTGGTTTCAAAACAGAAGAGCAAGGTATATATATTTTTTCTTTGTCTTGATTTTTTGAGACCAAGAGAAGAAAATTTCTTGATTCTTGTTTTTTCTTTTCGGATTAATGACTTAATTTTTTGGTTTAATTTATTTTTATATAGAACCAAGTTGAAGCAAACCGAGGTGGATTGTGAATACTTGAAGAGGTGCTGTGAGACATTGACAGAAGAGAATAGAAGACTACATAAAGAACTCCAAGAATTGAGAGCTTTGAAGACTTCCAATCCCTTCTACATGCAACTGCCTGCCACTACTCTAACCATGTGTCCTTCTTGTGAGCGAGTAGCCACCACAACCACCGGCACCGCCACAACCACCACCATCAAACCGACCAATACTACCATCACCAATATTAATAACAGCAACAAAACTGACCCTACATCTAAAGCCACAGGGTTGTCACTGGCCAGACCCAGGTTCCATCCATTTTCTCATAGCAGTACACAAGCTTCTTGAAATTAGAGACGTCTACTGGTTTTGATAATCTATACACTACATATGATTCTGTACATATACAAGTTTTCGAGAGAAACTTGATAGCTAGGTTAATAATTTTGTCCATTGATGAGAGGTGGGTTGGCTGGTTAATTAATCACTTGGTTTCATGTTCTTGGAGGGGAATTCTTAAATTAAGTTTGGGTTTCTTAAATTTTTTTTTTTTTCCTCTGGTTTTACATATCTGTAGCAGAATCAGAAAAATACGCTGTTAACAGAAACTTACAAGAAAAAAGAAAAGAAAAGAAAATATTGTGGAAAATTTTATTTTGATAGAAATGATTGAAATAAAATAAGTTGGTGGAAGTAAATTAAAGTTGACTGCATTTGCAGGTGTGTAATTAATAAAAGAAATAGAATGATTAATTTCAAGTTTGGTGGGGTTTATTATAGGGGGCGTGGATTAAGGGTTGCTTTAAGAAAGGGTAGATTTTGTGTCTGCTGCTTTTGATGATTACGTTCAACGCCAACATTGATTATTCATTTTACAAAAAAAAAAAAAAAAGAAAATGGGGACAGGACAGGACAGAGATGTCATATTTATGAATATGTCCCTTAAAGTGGGGTACCCTTTTTGGGTTTTGGGGCAGTCCCAATTATGAGTACACACGAGGGAAGTACATTTGTGCATAATTTTTCGGTTGCAAGTCACGTGACTTCTCACGAGATGTGAATGTTGAGGAGAGGAGAGGAGAGACGACTGCCATTATTTATTTCTTTCTTTATAACTACGACAGGACGACCTGCTCCTCTTGCTCCTTTCGTATGTACTCTTTTTCTTTTTTCTTTTTTTTCTTTTTTTATCTGGAAAAGAAAAGAATGAAATGGTTTATGCGGATATGGCATCCTTTATATCCATTTTTTCATTTCTTGAAGAATGAAGAGCAACTCACTATAAGCATTTAGGTTACATACTGCACGACGTAACGTAACCTAATTAAGTATATTTTTAATTTAATATTTATCTTAAAAGCTAAAAAAAACCCATTTAATTACATTCATTATATTTTATTATGGCTTGGTAATTATAATCTTATATCACATGATATGTATGAAGTATAACTTGTTCAAATTATATATTAGAAATATAAATAAGGTTTTGTTTGAGGTGATTAGCGATTTCAATCTCCGTAAAAATAATAATATAAGTTTGATTTCCGAGAAAAACATTTTATTGAAAGAGTCAAAACCCGTTTCGCTACTGCTCGAGAGGATTAAACTTTACTAGTAATTAGAAGAAACATACAGAGTATACCATAATTTGATGAATTTCTGGTTGCAGAATTGTTTATTACAAGATATGGAGGTTACGCATGGCACGTATGGGTCTAGCCATAATGTCAATAACGACATTCTTTCATACACCAAACACTGCATGTCCGTTTTCCTTAACTCCAAAGCTATGTCCAAAATAATGACTCAGATCGGATTTCTCTCTTACCAATAAATTAAAGAATATGATCTTGTCTATATTCCTTCTTAAGAATGGAGTTTAACATTTCAAATGAATCAAGTCTTTCTCAAACATTTTGAGATTTGGTTCGATAAAAACTTAATTTAGTTCGAGTTGATGATTTCTAAAGAATCGATCTTTTTGAACTTCGATTTTTAGACGTGTTTAATACACGAGTTAAGCGGGAGTCTAATGAAACTCGACTTGTTAAGATTTGTCTAATAAATTAACTATATCTGAATTTTTAAAATTCGGTTTAATCTCCAACTTTGATAGCATGTAATGATTAATCCCAATTTTAGAAAAATAATAGGAAATTAGGAACTACAATTATATTATTAGTTTGTTCAATTATACAATTATATTTTTAAAATTAGCGTTATAACTATATCTTGTCTCTAAGCAGTTCATGCCATGGGAGGTCAGAGAAAGAAAGAAACAAAAAAATAAAATAAAAAATAAACACAGCAAAAGAACAAAAATACATACATGTTAGAGTAGTTAATTATATTTAAAAAATAATTGTTATGAGTAATCAAAAAGATTAATATGAAATGGATTATAATAAGAAGAAGGAACCGACCACGGACCCACCTCCAAATCCTTAATGGAATTATATAAGGTAAAAGAGAACGTGACCTAATCACTTAAATAGAAAGTTCAACTACATTATTATATGTCATCCAATGATTTGTGCTACGTTTTGTGTCTATCTCACTGATGATTTCATAAGCATGCATCCTTTTAATTAATTTCAGAAAAAAATAAATTAATAATTTCCATGGAAATATCCATGATGTTTCTTAAGACATTGTTCCTGTCAAGTTAACTTTTTGTGACCTTTTTTTTAAAAAAAAAAAAAAAATTTTTTTAAAAAAAAAAAAAAAAAAAAGAAAAAGAAAAGAGAGGGTCATGGAGTGGTTTATCCAGTTCATGTGGTGGAGGAGATTTCCTAAATTTGCTAGGTAAACGAAATACCCATTTGTTGTTTAATTAAGATTAAGTGGATCCTTTCAACTATTTTCAAAGATTGTGAATTGATGGCCTGAAGAGGAAACAACGCGGAAAACGCTAAACGCTATTTTACGTAGTATTTGAATTAATTTTTAAATATTAAAATAGTATTTTGTAAAAATTTAATTCATTTAACGTTTAAATTTTAATATTTTACGTCGTTTAAATTTTAGTATTTTATGTAAAGCTACTTAAACAGCTAATAGCTATCAAAATAGCTAAATGACTTGGCCTCTTCCCCAATGAATTATTCTCCATGTGTATGTGAATGTGAGACATGCAAAACAAAGTTAATTAGCCAATGCCAATAGATATTACAAATATTCTAAACTATATCATTTATAAAAAAGAAGAAATTAAATTTACTAGATGCTATAAAATCCAAGGTGAATTATATCTCCCGATTATCTCAATAAAAAAAGAAAAGATTATTCTTATTAATAATTCGCATTTTAGTACTTGAGAAAATATAATAATTAAAATAATATAATAAAATGTTACAATTTTCTTAATAATTAAATATAGAATTCTTCAATTAGTGGCGTTGACAAGTAATTAACGTTCAACATTTTAAATCAAGCAAGTAAAATAGTAAAAAGAACCAAAAAAATTAATTAAACCACTTTTACTTTAGTGCTTTTGTGTATATAAATATCCCTTTCATAGCTTTATATTATTCTTTCGATGCTTATCTAATCACTATTGTTCAGACAAAGTAAAAACCTTTTTATTATATGCTCATGGCTTTGGATAGGGTTAAGGTTGCATGAATTGATTTTCCACACCAATGATGGATTAGATTGCCCCCACTCGTTCAAAACTCAACCATTCCTAACTAGTCAATTTCGGATTACTCATTTAATATTTAATATATTATAATTAATTATCATTTTTTTCTGATAAAATTTCAAAAATCAACATCGTTTACCACTCTGATCAATTCTTTATTGATTACTATTTGCATATTTAATTATAAACTAAGAAAATATTTCTCTTCACATGAATTTTTTCTATTTTTGTTGTTAATCTTTTAATAGAGTTTTATTTAATTAGTCATAATTAATATTTATATAACAATTTATGGATGTTAACCTAAAAAGTGGGAAATTGTAGAATATCTTTTTATATTTTTTTTTTCCTAAAATATTACATGTTAAGAAAGAAAACTCTAGTCCGTCTATTTCACACGGAACATTTTTCACAGAGTCAAAATTATTGCACTTGTTGAAAAAAGAAAAAAAAGGCAGGTGTGTTACATATTCTTATGAAATATTAATAAAAATTACCAATATGCTATTAGATCAATAATGTTTTAAGTGAATTTTATCTATAAAATTATCAATTTAAAATTATTATATATATATATAAATCATTTCTTTTAAATACATTAGGAAGTTCAATCCAGTGAAATAATATTATAAATGACACAATATGAAAGAGAGTAATTTTTATAATAGAAAAAACTCGAATGCAGACCAACCAGAAACCTAATCGGCATTTTTTTTAATTATATGTGATGAAAAAAAATGAGAATCATCATTTATTAAAAATCTTGAAGATTATTAGGAAAAAAAAAGATTAGATTAGAAGAAAAATAATATGGTGACCAATTTTTTAGTAATTAGAGGAGGAAATGAAATACACGTGGCAAGGACCCACATGAGAATGGTGCCAAATAGCACACGCAAAATTGCAATCATATGAAATGTGAAAGCTAACATTAGCTCTCAAAGGCGTTGAAGTTTGCATAAAAGAAATGCCTTTTGACTAAAATCAAACCTTTCAACCCTCATTCTTATCCCCTCAAATCCAAACCCTAAAAAAATTAATAATATAAATTTGGATTTATAAGAAAAAAACAAATTAAAGATGAATGGCGGTCGTTAGGTGGCATTAATCGAAGCATGATTAGTATTATAATTGAAAAATTATTGATGATTAAGAGATTGAAATAAATGTAGAAATAGGAATTTTGGTGTGGGTGTGCTTCATGACATTAGTGACTCTCTACCAACTTCCTTGTTGTACCCATCACCACACCTCATTTTCATTCCTTTCTTTTTTTATTTTATCTCTTGCAGGCTGATAAGTCTCATCCCAAGAATTATTTAAAAAAAAAAAAAAAAAAGAACTAGTCATCATTATTTCAGAAGATAAAAAAACATAATTAGTTGTTGGGTAGTTCTATGTTGAGAAGACCAAGGTTTAAGACAATTCAATGGACCGTTTGTTCAAAAATTAATAAAAAGTACATGGTCATACCTGCCCATTATAGTTGGGGAGTTTTGGTCATATGGATATAATATGACCGCGTCCGACAACAGTAAAATGTTAGCTTAATTTTTAAAAACTAACGCTACGAGACTCATGTAATAATTAACATTAAAAACTACTCAACCGGTTGACAGCTAAACACTATTAAAACAGCTAATTTTATCGTATAAATCTTATAGGTCAAAATGTTAAACGCTATTTAAAAAGTTTTCACAGAATATGTATTCATTATTCAAAAACCAACAACATAAATAAATGTTTTCAGTGTTAGATGAGAATGGGTAAAATGTTTTGTTATTGCAAGTTGAAGCAGAACATGTTTGACACAATAACATAATTAATGCTGTAGTGATTGACTTGGAACTTTTATGTTGGGTTGAATCATTGTTGATTTGTCTTTCTAATGAATCTTCATTTGTCAAAACTAATTATCATTATAACTTGGAAGGAGTCAATTCATTCATAATCTAATTTAAATTATTTTGTTTAATGGGATTTGTCTCCCTTTCTAAACACAAATAATGTCACTTGTGCATATCTCCTTATGCTTGATTTTTTTTTTTTTTTTTTTTTTTAAATGACATATCTCCTTATTGCTTGATTTTTGTTTTTTTTTTTTTTTAAAAATTGAGATATTATTTTGCACAGTATTCAAAAAAGACTTGCCTTTGACAACAAAAAAAAGAAAGTGGATAAGGATTAAATGTATTTTTTTTTTTTTTTTTTTTTTTAAATTGAGATATATTTTGCACAAGTATTTCAAAAAAGACTTGCTTGACAAAAAAAAGAAAGTGGATAAGGATTAAAGTGTACTTGATGTCAAGGCTATCATCTTGGAACACAAAAATGCTTCAATTCCTTAGCAACAACTCCATTGTAAAATTAGCATCTGATCAAATTCAACCAACCATCACATTTTACAGCAAAAATCAAAATGGTAAACTGGCAACCTTGAAGTATTACCCCAGGCAGAAATTGTGGCATTTTTTATTCACCCTTTTCCATTCCAGCCCCATGAAGCAGTAAAAACACCTTACAAATTCTCTCTTAATTTTCAGGCTGGATAATATTAGTTCGCCACATAGTACTGTAAAAAGATCAACTGAATTAACTTTTTACCCTATTGCGTCCAAGTGTGATCCAAATCCTTCAACTCTGGTTCCAGGGTGGACTGCTTTAATTCCCCCCCTCACTGATTTCATGAGAAGGTGTACTAAGATAAAGATGTCTCATATCATCATTGTGAGGTCAGTTTCCAGCAGCAGTTTCATTTCTTAACTGTTCTACATGCGGAGGAAGGAGAAGAGCTAACCTAGTTTTGTATCTTGCAATCCGTTTCAGCCGTCCTTCCCTTAACCTACAAAGTAAATTCAAATGCAAAATGGATGCCATTCAACTGATCAAATAACAATAGAACTTCAGTTACCATTCAACCAAACACTTTAGTTTCAATATAAGTTATAAATGGACTAAAGTGTTATGAAAGAATCTTACCGAGCCCGGACCTTTTTAGCACGCTTTATATGTCTCTTTAAGAGATCTTGTGCAGATAAATGATCTACAGATTCCTCATCCTGAAAGCATTAATAGGAAAAGATAGATGATAGTAAACCGAAAATTCACTCAATTTCAGGTGTTAAGACATCAGTAATCTCAGCTAACAGATCCTACAAAGTCACTTATGTTCTAAACTATCAATATAACATGGAAATAAAATCTCTCAAAAGAACCAGCTTAACACTAAGCAAGTAGAAGTAAAAAGATACATAGAAGTATGCCACACAACTTCATGGGAGGATCTATAAATATGAAGATTAGACTCATAATTGAACAATGGCAAGGAAATATTGGATAATAACCTCCTCATCTTCTTCAACTTCTTCTTCACCTTCCTTTTTTGGTGAATGAGTGTCCACAACAGCTATAGGCAAAGGTCTTGGGAGAGACTTCACAACATCTCCATAGTGTGGCTGCCCCAATACAAGAAAAATCAAAGAATAAGGAATAATAAGCAATATAGATAGGACCTCTCCCAGTTTCCAACATTGCAATTTTTATATACAGCACGTACTTCATGAGTTGAATAAAATGGGCATGGGGTTTGAGGATTCAACAAAATGGGAATTCTCAACAAACACCTAAAATTCACAACCATTTTGAGCATTATTTTCTCTACCATAATGATTTCTTGATACGTTCATAATTGTATTGTACAAAGCAGCAACCTTAAAAGTACATGTGCCCCAACTAAACATGACACGAACCTGGCTTTCCTCGGTAAATCCATTTCTCAACCATGATCGACAAAGTGCATAAAGAGAAGCCTCATCTGATATTTTTACCTACATGCATAAAACAACTGTAACCAATATTGAAAATGATATCATAAACAAATGCCATAATTCTGTTGTACAGCATATTCATACCATAATCTTCAGAATATCCAAAATGATTCTATAGAAGCACACTGCAAAATGCAACTGACTGAATGAGACGATAAAACATAGCAGGTGCAACTTCTTGTTCTTGGATAACTAACACCATCTCACATGTGAACAATGGAGAAAAACAGATGAAATACCAAAAGGACAATTTTCGCAGAAAGCAATTTTTTCTAACAAACAAGAATGAGATAGATTCTGCAGAAAAACAAGTTCCACTGACTCTCTCCTCTCTCAAACACACATGGTAAAGTCATACATAGATGAAATGAGGATCCCTCCAACACCAATGAAGGCAAAATATTTGGACAAACTAACACAATTAATATCACATTTATACAGACAGTGTTCCAACTATAGATACAGAATAGCGATTAGCCAATACCTTCAAAATTCCTCCTACAAATTGGGAAACATGAAATTTTAGAGCACTGAGCCCCAACAATTACTATTGACACTTGGGAGGCTCCCATGTTATATTTATTTTTTAATACAAAAATAATTAAAATAAAGAATGAAAAATTGTACAGCGGAAAGCTCTCCTAAGCAGAAACAATAAAATCAAAAACAAAATAGATGTCTAAATCAAAATAAAAGAACTCCAATATCTTTGCATAGCTGCTAAAGAAACCTCCCTCATTAAGGGAGAAAAAGATGAGTAAGAAGAACACTACAAAGAAGCCATGAACACTATCTTGCACAACAAGTGAGGTTTTGGATTATGTGCTTAAAAAACTATGCAGCAGCCATTTATGACTCAAAACGAAGCTCTATCAGAAGCAAATGTAGCCATTTGACATCCAGTTCTACCTTTTTATACCTAGAATGCGATCTTTTCCAACATCTCCTGTACCTACTAATTTGTGTTCCTTTTTTCCCCACACTTGCCCTGGTAAAATAAAACCCTTAGATGCTCAAGGAAATTAAAGTTTTAATCTTTCTGTTCTAAATACCTTACAAATTATATGAAAATTAAGTGCAGAATAATTGAAATATCAATATTGAACCCACTGTATTTTTTCTCTTCTACTATAAGCTAACCTCATGTTATGGGAATTTGATGATTATTAATCATACCAACTGCAAAAATGTTAGGTTATCTCTGTCCTTTATGCATTGTTAAGCCTATGCAACATTTTTAAACCTGAATTGCATGAATGTTAATTGTAAATTGCTCCAGAAAAACATATGGTTGATGCTCAGGTATGTATCAATATAATTCTTCAGAAACCAACCATAAATGAGTTTTCAATAATTCCTCCTACATATATAGTAAGTCATTCAAAATAACTTTGCATAGAAGTTCCCAAAAAGAATAATAAGAAGAGACATTCTTACTTTTCGATCTCTAAACAAAGTAAGAGACTCATCTCGGCCTCTATCCCTGTATAAGAAGATGTGAAAGAACCAGAAACATTATTGCATACCCAGATGTACTTCAAAAGAGAGGGGGAGGGGGGGTTGGGGGGGCGGGTGTTTAAATGCAACAGAAATAATAGGATGATATAACTCTGCACAGATTTACCTCAAATTTTTATAGCCATTAGAATCTGAAACTGGTGACAGAGCTGGAGCAGCCTAAACAAAGAGATAAGCAACAATTAGGATATGCAATAAAAGAAACAAGGCAGACCTAGTAGAAACTGCAATTAGGTTAAAAAAAAACAAATTGTATGCAAAACACCAACTGCAAATGCAGATCAAACTTACACTTTTGAGTTTCCAGCAAATGTAGTTATGAACCAAGATGAGTCAGTATCATTTACTAAAAGGCAACAATTATGACAGAACAAGAAACATGCACAAGTTTCTATAACTAACACAATCGAACTCCTAAAATTGGTCAACCAGTAGAATTACTAAACCATCACTGTAAAGCAGTTCACTCAAACTTAAGTTGAAAAAGGTAAGGCTATTAAATGTAAGCCAAAACTTGTGCGTAAACAAGCAGGAGAGCAAAAGCCATAGGTTGTATCGAAATGATGTTGGAAAAGGAACATTAAAGAACATTCTATAATATATGTGTTCATTGGATACTTTTCTTTCCTCTCTAATGACATTATCTCTCTAAAACAATCATACCAGCCAACAAGTATACAGTACCATCCTGTGACAATGTCAATTCTAAGATCTTTGGTTGTGGTTTGTTTAGAAGCAATATTAACAGCAATCACCAAATGATGTCAGTTGGAATTGATCTAGGATATGCCATTGATATTTCTTTTCCATGGTGAACTTGGGTATGGGTACAGGAAAAAGTAATAGGTTGGAAGTTGAACTTTCTTAATTTCAAAAATTTTTAAATGTTTACTTACCAATTTTTCAATGCATCATTTTCCATCTTCAAGTATCCCTATCTAGCATGGGTACTTCACACTAGACAAAATCTGATTATATATGTTCTCTTCCTTTGTATTCCCAAATGTCTAGTATTAGAGTTGCTTTATGCCAGATAGCATTTTTGGAAGGAATCACTTTTTAATAAACCCACCACGAAAGTTTAACAGGGTAGATAATAATTTGCATAAAACCATCAATTATCATATGTCATATGAGCACCTAAGCCTTCAGTTGCATGTTTTTCCAATACTATGTTTGGAGTGAGGGTAAGGAAAGGGAAGTATAAAGAGAGTAGGATACAGGTTTATTCTTGCTTTTAAGAGAAGTCTCATTCGAGGGCAAAGGATAAGGAAAAGTAAGGCTTACCCCCTCTTCATTCTCCAAATCCTGTAAGTTTTTACATCCCAATGTACATTATAAAACAAATGACCCATTAGAAGATTAACAAAACTATCCTCATACATCTTTAGATTTTTTTTTAGAATAAGATATTTTTGTAATTTTAACATTTTATTTGAATGAACACTCCCTGCTTCCTTCTAAACAAATGGAGATTAAATTTTTAACTTCTCTTCCCTTTCCCTCCCTTTTCCCCTTGTTCCATCCAAACAGAGTGTCCGAGACATAGGTTATGCAGTGGTACAGTATTCCCATCCATCCTTAACATCACACAATAATCCCTGGACAATTGTACCTTTTAATAAGCAATTTCATCATTCTTTACGATTGTAATTCTAATCCTCAAAAGCCAATATCTTGCATCAAAATTAATGAATTTGAATAAGATATCTTGCAAAGACAAATCTTGCTTTTGCTAAAAAATGGTAATACCTAACTGTTTTCAAGATAAAACCTAGTTACTATAACTACTATCATGGCAAACCTTTCTTTCTCGTATTCCACAAGTGTTGAAAATTGATGCTCAATTTTAAATTTCTCAAATATAACTTGTTTAATTTAGTGAAGAATTGAAAATTATTTTTACTCGAGCTCTATTACAGGCAGAAAAGAAAACGAGCTTGCTTCAAAATAATCAAAATAAATAACATAATGCACACCAGTTAATATGCTAAAAATCAATTCCACCCCTCATCAAATGATTCAGAAAATGTTGATAGCACTAAAATTTGCACCCCATAACATAAAAATTCAAAACAGTTGCTACCACAATTACTATGCAAACAAACACTGTTCAAAAAATTACGAAAACAAAAACAAACAAAAACTTCACAAATGAAGTCCCTCAAAACAACTTTTTCTTAAAAGGAGAAGAAAAAGGAAGGCAACAAACCTTGAGCTGCCCAGTAACCGGAATTCCCTTGATTGGAGCCAAACCTGCACCACCTGCAGCACCTAAATAATGCTGTTGCTGGTGATGTTGCAAGTGAGTTGGGTGCTGCCTAATCAACTGTACCGGGTTATACGACAAATGAGATTGATGCGCCAATCCAGAATCCAAATGTAGATGAGAGCGTGGAGAGCCAGACCCAGACCGAACTGAAGGTCTATAAGGGACTCCAATTGCACGTGGACGGTACGCGCCAGGAGTAAGGTTTGGGTTATTAGCCACCGTAACCGTCTGATCTGGTGGACGAACAGGCCTGGGAATAAAGCCACGGCCAGATGAAGCAACTGGGTAAAGGATCCCCTGCTGCTGCTGCTGTTGCTGACTCGATGAAGTCGGGTTTGGAGCTTGGGTTTGAGTTCTAATGGGAATGTTTTGGGATGAGTAGAAGTGGTAAAGTGGGAATGAAGAAGGGTGAGGAGTTTGAGGTCTTGACGGGGATTTTGCAGTGGTAGTAGCGGCCGTGGTGGCGGCCGGCAATGAGCGCGCGGTGGTGGTGGTGGTGGTGGCCGTGGTGGTTGATGTTGGAATATTAGAAGCGGTGGCCATGGGTTAGCGGTGGCGGGGAATTTGGAGGGTTTTGTGAGCTTGTTTTGAAAATTGAAAGGAAAGCTGCGCTTTTGTTATTCTCTACTTTCGCTTTTTATTGGAGAGTTTGAATTTCACAATTATTCAATTACCGAAACTAGACACGTGTGAACCGTACGTGAAAGTTTTTTCTTTATTCATTTTTTTTTTTTCCTATCTTTTGCTTCGCTAACTCTCATCTCCCACACACTCTCTCTGCGTTTGAACAAATTGAGGATCAACTAATCATGATCTTCGTTGATGGAGTTCTACTTTCCACCGATTCCTCTCAGGTAGTCACGCACTTTCTACCTTGTTGCTTTCTTTGCTTTTTAACTCCTAAGCAATCTTTGTGATAGTCATCTGCCTGAGCCCAGTATAAAGATTCCCCATCATTTGGGGTAAAGCTCTCTGCTTGGTTGCCCAGAAAATGTAGGAAAAACTCAGTCTTACACCATGACGCACATAGTACTGCTCTTTCAGCTCAAGCAGTAATCTGATTAATCGCGTTTTGTTTGTTTGTTGAGAAAAAGTAGGAAAAAATGAGGAGTAACCACCAAATGCTAATCCTTTATAAGTTCATGGATATTGATTGGTGATGCCATCTTTTTTACCTTTTATCACCTAGAATTTTGTGATCGACCCTGAAATTGTATGGTAACCAATAATAGTAAAGCAGACGTTATATGTATCTGTGGCTCCACTGCTGCTCATTCTTAGTAATGATTGCAATCAACAATCGGAAGATGACTTGTAATTTTTGCATTTTATCAATTCTTTGAATCTGGGATCTAATTGGGAATCCTCAGTGAGTTTGACTCCTTATACCAGTTGTGCTCCATTGCCTTGTTCTATAGGTAGTTTTTTGCGTCTTAATAATTTCTGTTCCAACAAGCAAGTCATCTTGATTCTATTACTGTAATCCGAATTATTTTCTGGTTTTATTTTTCCCAGTTGTTTAGCCAATGGCTGACAAATTGGAAACTTGTGTTTGTGATTAGGGGAGCGATACCTTAGCAGCTTTAATGGAACACCCAGTACTGTTGTCTGCTTCACTTGCTTTGAAGGAAATGCAGGAGAGGAAGTTCTCTATCTCTGAGTTGGGTTCACAAAGATCAACACAGACTCAATTTGTTTACATCTTCCAAAGAGAATATGCAACTGTCGACCCTGCATTTGTCAAGGTATGCTCTTTTTCCTTACTATTCATTCCTTTATGAAAATGTGTATGACACTCCTGACTTTGGAGGTTTTTGCTAGATGGAAAATGTATCTAGATAATCTTCTTCTCTTTTTCCTATTTTATCTTAGGGGGTTTTGCACTTCTCTAGTTTAACATGCTGAGCATTTTCTAATTTTTGGTGGTGGTGACAGTAGGACTGGGCCTTGGACAATAAGCACATGCAATTACCTTTGGGAAAAGCTGATCCTTGATAACTTTGCATGTGTCAATAGCATCCTGATCTTTTGTGCGCTTTAGTACATTGCATATTTGATTTCTGGATTCTTCCTAAACTTATATATGATGGTGCTTGATAGCGTGTGAAATTATACCTTGGAGTTGTGTGAATTCTGCCACATGTAGTAGTAATTTGGCATTGTAGCCTGTTGAGATTAAGTTTTATTCTTGTTGTTTGGTCTTTTAAATGTCTAGACCTCCTTAGAGATCAACAATTTTGCCATTGTTTATGTTCCTTATTCTTGTTTCCTTGTGTTGCATGTATAGTTTGTTGGCACTGATGAAGCAACAACTTGTGTAGGCCTTGTTATTCGGAACCAGAAAAATGGAATGTAAGATATCAATTTCATTGCAAATAGGAATTGATTACAAATTTGAAAATTCTTATATAAGTTCTGATATTTCTGAGTATGAGTTTCTGATTCTGCTATTCAACATGCAGGACATCTGTTGCTCATCTTGATTCTCCACGAGTTTTGGATACTGGCCTTAACCAGATGTTGTCACTTTTTGATCAAAGTATTGATGTCGACTTGGATGTATTCTTCCATGCTTATTTCCCCAAAACATCTTTGCATAATTGATGCTTGATCTTAATTGAGTTAAAGTAATTAGTTTTCCAAAGCTTGAGCTCTTATCATAGTTGTAAAATGCAGGTGCACCTAATTGGTGGTTTTGCAGATGTTTCACTAAAAGTCTGGTCCAAGAACTCCTGCTTTGTTTTTATGATATTCTAGAGATGTTTCATATTCAGAGGGGGGTAATTTAAAGGAAATGCATTGACCTTTATTTGCATTGCAGCATGCTAATGGCACCACTTGGTCTGAAAGCCATGCAAAATTGGATGGTTATTCTTTTCCATTGTGCACCAAAATAATTGAAACTTTGGAGAGGAGGCAAGAAAAGTTTCACATTCGAACTCTCCTTGTTCTTGGCCATAACACCAAGAGGGATTCCCTAGGCAATGCACATCCGATCTTCAATGGTTTCCTGGTTAGATTCGAGCATTAATTCTTCTCTTTTATCATTTGCATTGAAATGAATGAATAATTATTAATGATTGTTGACATTTGATTAAATATCATTCATGGAGCAAATATCAATTCTTTTGTGGCATAAACTGAGGAGCATAGGAATTTTTTTAATCAAATGTTTCTTAAAATCCACCACCCTTATTACTCATCTAGCCTCAATTTATATGCAAGCCATGGTGAAGAGGTTCTAAATTCATGATCAGATCATGGGGATGCAAGGGCCAGGTGACATGCATAAATACATCATTCTGTTGATACTAGTCGTATTGGACCAAGCTTGTAACACTGCTATTGAAGTCCAAGCTGAAAATTACAGACTACACAAAAAAGAGAGGCCAAAAGTTTAAAATTTTAAATGAGAAAATAAAATTATGAAGTGTTAATTAAAATAATAAACTATCTAGATACATTAAGAAGTATGTGGCACTCATGATATGAGGACAAGTAGATTGAGTAGCATTCTATTGCAGTCTTAAAACTTCCAAACATAGTTCCAAAGGAAAAACTGTCTTGGATTTTAACTGTGTAGATTCTAATTTCTTTTTCCACCTTGTCAGGTTGAAACATCCACTGGCTCTCTCATTCCTGCTAGTTTTGATAGAACTACAAGATGTCCAGATGAAATTGTGAGGAGAATTCGAGTTAGCGTATCCTATGAAGACCCAACTTGGAATGACAAGCTGCTAGAGACATATGATACTCAAGCTGATCGATTTGTGATTGCTCCATGTTCTTGGTAGTGCTGCTTCACTTTGAATAAGTACTTGGCTTTGAAAATTTTTAAAAAGCAGTTGCTTTGATGGTGAATTATTCTAATGGTCATTATCGTTGTATATATTCCATCCTTTTTCCAATGGCAGTGAAGCCAAAAATTGAATTTGGGGGGAAAAATTACAAATTTTGGGAGGCTAAAATCGAAAGGATGAATAAATTAAAGACATTATTTAGAAGTACCTAAAAAAAAATTGGAGGCTGCGGGAGGCATGGCCACTTTGCCCCCTCCCCTCCCTTCATCACTGCCTCTTTCCTCTGCCTAGATTAATAACTAAAGCTTTACTTATAATCAGTAATATTGATGTTTGGTTTCTTTTTAACTACTGATCATGCAGGACTCTATACCAATTGCATGTTGCTTTGGCATTGCGACATCTTTCAGATGCAGAGATCCTACATACATGCTCTACTTCACCGTCTGCAGAGGGTCCAGATTTTGTTGATAATGAAAGAAGGTAAATATATTTTTAAACAAGGGCAATTCTCTGTCTGTCTTTATCCTGTGGGGCATAAGCACTTATTTGATGTCTATTAATTTCCAGTCACTAGACTTGGGATTTAATAATACTTACAGTGCAGAACCATGATATTTTACGATTGAAGAGTTGAACATTTTTCTTTCTTTCCAGGATATGGGACTACTTGATTAAACACCCAGACTGGCAATATACCTTTCCTATGAGGCAGCCCCGCATTTTTGAAAGGACTGCTGATGGAGGCTGGAAGAGGCTTTTACTCTCACCTGATGACTTTTCGCCATGAACCTCTAGCTGAAACTTCATTATAGATGACTGGAAATTCATTGAAGAATTTGCTATGTTCAAGGTTATGGTAATTAAATTTAAACATCTCCGCTTATCGTAAATGTACTAGCTGTACTCAACCAGGGAAGCTCATTTATAATTCTTGTGACAAGCATACGCCATGTAATTGGATATGTATTCCAATTCACTTGTGTAATTGTTAAATACTGTCATCTGCTATTGAGCTCATCGTTATCATGTTCTCTCCATCCATTCTGTTTACTCCTAGCCTATCCATCCCTGCAATATCTTTTCTTCTCCCTTATCAACTGAGTCTGAATTTCATATTTCCGTATGTGAAAAGAAATGTAAATATCTTCATATACTATACTTTCGCTAATGAGCGCCATATCCTAAAAAATGTAACCCTCTCATGACATATAAGCTACTAATACGTTTTGCCCAAGGCAAGCTCGGCACCAGCTGTAGCGGCACAATCCGCTAAACTTGTCACTTTTTAATGCATTTACCCTGCTGAACCTGGGTTTTTCTGGTTCAAAATCAAGAATACCAACGAAGTAACTCTACTGCCGGTCTAATATCGTCCACACCGTGTCTTCCTGTTTGGAGGAGAATTCAAGAACGGCAGTGCCGGTGAGACTCAGGTTGAACTTGAAGTTTCAAGAGTGTGATCCAACGGGTATGATGAATATTTCTGGGAACGTGGCGGGAAATGTAAATAAGTGGGACCCAGAAAAGAAAGTGCCGGCGTGGCAGAGGAGTGTTTGCCAGTTTAAGAAAGAGAAGGATTTGTTGCAGGAGGAAAAGATTTAGCAGTCAGTGGGGATGAAGGTTTCAGGAGGGAGAGTGAAGTAGAGAGGAAACTTGAATTTAGTATGATGCAAACACGGCCATTATTAAAATCAAAACACGTTCTTTTTTTTACTATAGAGATAAAAATGCATATTGCTAGCAATGATTAATTATCTTCTGTTAATTTGATGATTTAGGACACATTATTTTTAGTTAGTTCTTAATTATTTTTTTGAGAAATTTTGTGATAGAAAGGAAAGTGTTCAATCATAGAATGAGCAAATGATGGAGTTTACTTTTCCTTCTGTCGGTCATTATTTAACCTTAAAAATTGTTCTTTGATTGATTTTTATGGTTCCAATTCTGTTTAGGAAAAAAGAAATTTCAATTTTGAATTTTTTTGGTTAGATTTCCCAAATTGATATTTTTTTTTCAGTTTAATTAAATAAGGACTTCCTTTTAATAAAAATAAAAGTTAAAGAACTCTATATAACAAATAAAAGTTTTAAAACTTAATGGGTAAAATTTAATAAATTCAACAACTTAAATATGTGTTTTTTACATTAAAAAAATCAAAATTCAAAGACAACCTTCTCCTAATATTCTCAAGACAAATATTCCATTGAAAAGAAAATTGATAAAATGATAATTGAGCAAATATTTATATTTTCTGAGTGCAAATTTGACTCACAAGAAGCTGAATTCCAAGATGTCTTGAATATAGATGGTTTGGGTGTGGGTGCTAGCAAGATTATACATGGTCCACTCATCCACCCTCCCCTCCTTTCTTCAACCTAGAATTTTCTTGCCCTGCTCTACGAGCGCCGGTATTCATCAAATTAATTAAAAATATATATATTTTTTTTAAAAAAAATATCATACTTTATACATTTTTTGTGTATAATAAAAATATATTCATTTGAATTAAAGTTCTATTTAGCTCTATTTATAATTAATTTAGTGTATAGACGAGTCTGTACACTGAATATAGATAAGTCTTTTCTCTTTCTATTACATAGAAATCGACCAATTAGACAATGATATCCTCTTAAAACTCAAGATGCCCAGTGAGAAATATTGACCTTGACAAAATAAACATAGGTCTCTCATTCTCTTTTTGATTTTTAATCCAATTTCAAAATTAAGTATATTATAATTTTGAAATTTATAAATATATAAAAAAAAATTTTAAAATTACATAAACTTAAGTTTTTTTTTTTTGTTAATATTATTAACAAAAAAGGGGGGCAGTTTGGTACATTAAATTTAAACCCAACCGAAGAAACAGCGGCGAACTCATAAAAGAAGGATGAAAATTTCATCTAACGCTCCAATCATCCTATCCAAAGTCCAAACTATAAGAGCAGTACTAGAGCAATCAGGATCATATGTTATGTTATATTTATACAAACAAAATATTCTAAATAAATAAATAATAATATTTGGAAAATAAAATAAAATAAAAAGAGTAAGCCCTAGCTTCGTTTAGCTGGTTTTTTAATTTTTGAAAACAAATGGAGGGACGAGAATTAGAATAGAGTTTTAGTTATAGACCCTTTTCCTCAATCGTATGGAGAAACAGAACAACAACCATACCCACACATGGGGCACATGGGAAGAGCTTTTGTTAGCCTGCGCTGTCAAACGACATGGTTTCAAGAACTGGGATTCCGTCGCCATGGAAGTTCAGACCAGAAGCTCTCTTCCTCACGTCCTCACCACGGCCGAGAACTGCCAGCAAAAATACAACGACCTCCACCGCCGCTTCACCACCACTACCATATTTAACCAGAACCAGGAAGACAAGGAAGATATTGTAAAAACCAATAATAATCATGGTAATAATATTAATAATAATAATAATAGTGGTGATAAAGTGGCTAACATTCCCTGGCTTGAAGAGTTGAGAAAACTCCGTGTCGCTGAGCTCAAACAAGAGGTCCAGCGATACGATATTTCCATCCTGTAAAATTCTCTCTCTTATTGTTGTTTTTTAATTTTTAATTCCTTTTTCTGTTAATAACGATTTAGATCTGGAATATTTGTTAACAGGTCTTTGCAGCTAAAGGTTAAGAGATTGGAAGAGGAACGTGAGAAAAGCGCGCAAAGTAACCAAAACGACGGTGGACCAATACCAGATCTACAACGAGAGAGCTCCCAAAACGACAAAAAGTACGAACCGGAAAAGAAAGAATCGGCCTCCGCCGGCGACGAATCTGACCGAGAAAATCGGTCGGTGAACGAGTCGAACTCCACCGGCTCAGGCGATAAAACGGGGAAGAAGGACGGATCGAACTTAGAAGCTGAGCCGGTTCGAGACGTTCCAGGTGAGACAGCGCCCGTCTTAAGCGGTTCTAATTCAAAACCGGTACGTGGAGGCGAGGAATCGCACGAGTTGGGTGACTCGGCGACTCAACTGAGTAGTGAGGTACAGAGCTCGGCGAGTTTGGGGAGTAAAAGGAAGAGGAAAGGAAGGAAAAGGAGAGAGGACGTAGGAGGCGATGGGATCAAAGGAGCCACCGTGAAATCCGAGCCGTTGGTTACGTTGATGGAAATTATTCGGTCCAATAGACACGGCTCATTTTTTGAGGGCCGGCTCGAAAGCCAGGTGAGCCCAATTTGCTTTTTTACCCACTTTCCTTTTTTAACTGTTTACCTAATCTATTTTTTTTTATGGCTATTTTTGGTATTTCAAATTTCTTTATAATATATATATATATGATATTTGAAAATATAAAAATAACTTGTTTTTTATTGATATATAAAGCTTGTTCTACATGTACCAAGTCTTTTTTTTTGGTTTCTTTTGGTAGTTTGTATATATGATTATTATGAAAATATAAAACATAACTTTGTTTTTATTGATAATAAGCTTGTTCTACATGTACCAAGTCTTTTTTTTGGTTTCTTTGGTAGTTGTAGTAAATCCTTATTTTTAGGCTGCTTGTTGTAGAAGGATCTTGATTTTTTTTTTTTTTTCTATTGTTAGAGTCCAAAATTGTTCAGGGCTGGGGACCACTCAATCAATCCCTTTTCTTTCTTTATTAGTCATTTTATTTTATTTTTATTATAATTTTTAATTGAATTAGGTGCTAATTATAGGACTTTCAGAATCCAAAACTCTCCTTTGTCTCATAATTCATGTCAAGAGAGGTAGCTTAGGTGGAATCCACATCAAAAAAATCCAAGCAGGATTGTCTTTGAAAAAAAAAAAAAAAAATAGCAGTACTCTTTTGAACTGGTGAATTATGGAATTCCTTGTAGAAACATAATTTTTAGTTTGTTGAAGAAGAGAAATGTGAATACTTGGTTTGATTTTTCAGGAAACTGAGGTGTATAAGAACCTGGTCAGGCAACACCTGGATTTGGAAACAATACAAACAAGGCTGGAACAAGGATCCTACGCTTCTTCAAATCTCTCATTCTATCGAGATCTTTTGCTTCTCTTCAACAATGCTATTGTGTTCTTTCCCAAAACCTCTAATGAATCACATGCAGCTTATGAACTCCGATCGCTTGTCACCAATGAAATGAAAAAAGAGACTCAGAAATCTGATTCTACGGTTGCACCACTGGATATTCCACCTCAGCCCAAAAGTGAACCGGAAAGATCAGACTCATTGCTCGCTAAGCACAAGGCTTCGGCTCCTATTGTAGTCTGTCGCAAACGAAGTTCATTGTCTGCTAAGCCTTCCCCTTTGAGCTTTGTACAAAAGATCGAGCACCAGCAGCAAAGCAGTGACAATGAACCGGTTAGCGATTTAAAGCCACTCGCTGTTGAACAGAGTTCACTGAAGATAGAATCGAAAGAGAAGCCTGTAACTGGCACGAGAAGCTCAAGAAGAAGCAACAAGAATCTCGTGAAAAGTACTAACACCCCAAGCAAGAAGCCAAATGTATCCCCTGTCACAAAAGTTAGTACAGCTGATAAGCCTGAAACTCCTAAAATTGATAAGAAGAAAGCTGAACCATCATCATTGGATAAGAAACGAAGTGCCGTAGATTTCTTGAAGAGAATAAAGAAAAATTCTCCGGTGGAGGTATCAAAGAAAAATACTAGAGGAGCTGCTAATGGTGCTGGAGAGCGAAAAAGGGATAGTCCCGGGAAGGGAGAGAAAGGGAAAGAAAGAGTCTCGAGGAGAAATGGTGATGATAAACAAATGGAGGAGAGTAGTCCTTCGAAGAAAAATCTTGGGAGGCCAACAAAGAAGGGGGCAGAGGCAAGTAAGGTTTCTGGAAAGCATGGGAGGGACAGTGGAGGAAAGGAGGTAGCGAAGCGGCCAAAGAAGCGGTCTAGAAGGTAGATATTGCCTTAATGTAATCGGCTCTGTATATTATGTAGTATAGAATCTGATAACTGGATCGGCAAGTAGTTTTTGTTGAATCTTTTGATCTCTGTAACATCTATCATCAACACTTCCAATTCTTTTTTACACGTGCCATTAGTTGAAAGAAAAATTGTGGTTCACTATAACTATCATTTCTTTAGTTCTTTGTGTTCCCACAACAGTTTCATCAGAGTATAAGCTCAAATTGTATGTCGTTACTAGTTAATTGATAGAAACAGGTACAAAGCTCTCACTACATACAACAGATATTTGAACCTGTACAAAAAGATAGGAGACTGTCTAAAATTTATAAATCACCAATCACTTGTATTATCTTTCACCTCAACCTGCAACAATAGCAATGTCAAGCTATTTAATTTTCTGTAAGCTGATCATTAAAGGCTCCCACTTCCAACTGATAATCTGCTACTAAAGCTGTCTACATTTCACTGAACTCAGTTCTGGCTTCATGAACTTGAAAATTAGTCCTACTTTAACATCTGTTTCTATGAAAACAGAACTAGATGTTTATATTATAACATAAAGTAGCATTTCCAATAATCTTACCCATAACCAGCTATCATCCAAGTCATGAATTGTGGCAAGAAAATTTGCAAAAGTATTCGTGCCACTTGCAAAGATGGTTTCGTTATCCTTGTGGTTGATAGACCCTACAATAACAGCTTAAAAGTGAATCACTTAATAATTTAAGCAAAGATATATTTACTGAAGAAATAAAAAACTTACAGACAAGGGACCAGATCGAAAATATATATAAGGTTGGTAAGAAGTGAGCACTTTTGATGCCATTCTGCTGGCTGCATGGACTGTACTAACGCGGAATATTCTTTTCTTCTCATATCTATTTACAATAAAGACATATCAGAATGTAGTTAGCGTTGTTTCTGGTTGTTTCTGGATATGATATCATCTTCTCATTGTTTGGATAAGAGTAAATCCATGGAAAACAATCAATATTTGCTCCTATTATTATTTTGATTGACATATTAAACACGATAAATAAGAAAAATGTCAATTGAAATTGCAAATGCGATGAGCTGGCATTTTTTTTGCATGCCAGAGACTGCAACATGTTGTCAGGATATTAGCATTATTTTCATGCATTCTGGGAAAGTTCCATTTCAGCTCTACAATTTACCTTCTAAGTGCAGAAGAAATTTCGGACTGTTGAACATCTAAACCACTTTTGCTGAACTTATCAAGCTCAAGTACAAGTTGGTAACAGTCCTGCACGTGTTATTTCCAGCACAATGAGCCTATGGGAACTCATACAATGCTCATTTTACAATATTGTTTTAATTATTTCTGAACCCCGATGGTAAACCAGTACATATTTCCAAATATGTGATACTGGTTGCAATATCTGAAACATACACTGGTCAATTACCAGAGGTCACATTAGGAAAAGAAAAGGTAATGTGAAAAAATTAATTGTTCTTCCTGCATTTCCAAAATCTGCCATTGCTTATGATTGTGATGGCTCACAAACTTAAAATCCCAAATGATTTTTATGATATATGCTTGATCATGAATGACCATACCTCAATTGCCATACAACCCCCTTGCCCCAGATTTGGCTGCATTGGATGTGCCGCATCACCTATCAGAGTCACACGTCCAATCCCCCATGTGTAGATCATGTCTCTGTCATAGATATCTCTCTGCAGAATCATTTCTTCTGGTGTTTCTGATATTAGTGCAGTCACTTCCTCGCACCAGACTCTGAACAATTCTAGCAGATGCTTCTTCTTACCTGCAGCATCAATATCAAATATGCCAGTTGAAATCATCACATTAAGCATATCAAAGTCACTATTCTACTATATTGTTAACGTTCACAGGAGAGAGTTGCCTGTTGGAGGATCAGTATTCCTATGGGGCTGCTTGTGGAAAGCATACCATTGCATCTTTCCATTTCCGACATCTGAAGCAACAAAGTACTGGTTCAATCCTAAGAACACTCGATACCTTCAAACCAGACAGCAACACAAACAATCCCAACATTCATACACACTGTCTAACTTTATCCATTGATGTGTCATTAACCAAAAGGCTATTGGCAAAACCACAAACAGTTTTCACATACCCAACAGTATCAATATATGGTGGAACAAAGTTTACCAGCCCACTATAACATGTATAATCAGAATACTTTGCATCTTCTTGCCCAAATAACTTGGATCGTACCTACGGTAATCATGAAAAGTAATCGCAGAATGTTCAGATATAAAAAGTATAAATTGAAGTCTTGAAGAGAGGTATCTTACTTTTGACCATATTCCATCAGCCCCAACTAAAACATCCCCATTATATCGTCGTCCATCCTCAAGGATCACTGTGACCTGATAATCCATGTGGCAAAAATGTCTCTGATCACTAAATGAGCACATTGGTACCGGAAATAGATATTCATACCTTGCTAGAGTCTTCGATAAAGTCAACAACTTTCGATTTGTTGCTTACAATGTCTAAACCTACAGCATTTAGTAATATGTCTTGCAGTGCCATCCTACAGATTACTCTAGTGACAGGAAGCGCCCTTTGTAAAGCAGGAGTTGAAAGATCAAACTGGGTAAACCTGAAACAAGAACGAGAAACAATAACCTTCAGTCTCAAGTCATAAAATAAGAATTTTTATTGCTCAGAAATCGAGGTACAGCAGAAAAAAAAAAGTTCTTGAAGAGGTTCTTAAACTGCTGAGCGAAGATTATAACCAAAAATAAACCCAAAGCTCTTGCAAATCCAAATGCATGGCTTATCAAAATCAACAAGGACAATTGCTAATCAAATCAATGGACTATCAAGAAAAGGAACTGATTAAAACAGAAGGTAAAATTGAAATCAAGAAACCAGAGTCACAAGGGAAAGTCAATTAAGAAACCCTTAATTACAGCAAATAACCATGATTAGAAGTCTCAATCAATGGAAGCAAGCAACATACCATTCCCCTGAGACGCCATCAGCAAGTCCATTGATTCTATCACCAGTAACACAACCAGCTTCCATGATTTGCTCAGCAACTTGTTTGTCAATAGCTTGCAGAACTGCCAAAGCACTACTTAATAGTTGAATCGGACCTCTGTGCTTACCCTCACCTCTCACTGCGCTCAAATCTTTCTCAAACACCTTCACATCAAATCCTTTGTGTTTTGCTGCCAAAGCCAAGACCAACCCTCCTATCCCCCCACCAGCAATCAACATCCTAAACCTCTTATTTTCATATCTCTCTTTACAAAAATCTTCATCATAATCACATCTCACCGTATATTTTCTTGGATTAGATGTTTTAGATCTAAAATCAAGAATTCCATTGCAATTCTTATACCGATGATGCAAAGGACTAAGAGAATGAAGTATAGCCATGGGTGATTGATCAAAAGAAAGAGAAAAGTTGGCGACAAGTGCTTAGCGGGTTTTTCCCTGCTTATGCATGAAAAGGATGTGAAAATGTTTAAACGCTTATGAGAAAAAGTAAAAAAAAAAAAGGGGGATATTTTATACTGCTGCATTTATTGGGGGTATAGTATAGCACTTTGTAGTCTAGTAGTATAGCTGTTACGTAAAGATTAAGATGATACATGGAATGCATAGAAAGGTAGGATGCAAACCCAGATGGAAGTGCAGCTCTATCTTTTGTTGTGAAAATTGGGCTTTTTCTACCAAAAGCAATTTGTGAATTACTGTACTTACTAACTACACTAAGTAAATTCCCAGATAAGTGGAGGAGTCACAAATGGAAACCCACTTGGCCTAAACAAAATTTACCTAGAACTAATTAATTAGACAATAACCACCAAAAATATTTTTGCCCAACAATAGCTATTAAATAAATAAAGACAAAAGCAATAAATAAAAGAGAACACCAAATTTAACGAGGTTCGGCCAATTTTGCCATAAATAAAGACAAAAGCAATAAATAAAGAGAACACCAAAATTTAACGAGGTTCGGCCAATTTTGCCTACGTTCCTCGGACACTACCAAATTTATATTTCACTAAAGAATATACAAATTGAGAGAGGAGAGAAACTTGTCTAACCCACTTTAAGAATTGGAGACAGTTGGAATGAATTAAACTTCAGGAGCTAAAGGCTCCTTTTATAGCCAAACAAACTTCCCTATTCCCTTCCCTTTCTTTCGATGTGATTTGCAAGCCACCTAACAACTAATCTCAACCTTTGGCGAAAAATCCCACCAATGCAAGCTTCTGCTCTTTCTCCACCAAAGTTTGTAATGTCTTCAAATGTGCTTGGCAATATGCCAAGCTTCAAATTTTTTAACGATATTGATCAAAGTCCAAACAATGTTTGAACTTGACAGCTGTCACACTTTTGTCAACATATCAGCAGGATTTTCAGCAGTCTGGAATTCTTCTGGAGTTGAACCTGTCTTTTCCAGAATTTCTCTGACAAAATGAAATCGAACATCGATTATGCTTCGTCCTTGCCCATGATAAACTTGTTCTTTGCCCAAGTGAATAATCACTTGACTATCGCAATGTTACAAACAATTGTTGCTATTGCAATGTACAACAATGTTGTTTTGCCTAATTCCCAATTCATCAAGCAATCCTTGAAGCCAAATTGCCTCCTTAACAGTCTCTGTAACTGCCATGTACTTTGCCTCTGTTGTAGACAAAGCCACTATTGACTGTAAAGTAGACTTCCAACTAACTGGTGCTTTTGCAAGAGTAAACACATAACCAGTAGTTGATCGACGTTTATCCAAATCACCGACATAATCAGAATCACAGTATCCGACTATGCGTTGACCACTATTCTTATATTGCTCAAAAATCAATCCAACATCCACGGTGTTCTGAAGGTACCGCAGAATCCATTTCAATGATCCTTGCCAGGAACATGCATGTACCTGCTCATCCTTGCCAGGATCATGCATGTATCTGCTCACAACTCCAACTGCCTGTGAAATGTCTGGTCTTGTACACACCATAGCATACATCAAGCTACCTACAGCGTTTGCATAGGGAACTTTTGACATGTATTCCCATTCTGCATCATTTTTGGCGACTGAGCTGCACTGAGTTTGAAATGAGGAGCAAGAGGTGTACTAACAAGCTTGGTTTTATCATCCATTCCAAAACGCTTTAGTATCTTTCTCAGATATTGCTTCTGATTCAGACAAAGTCTCCCCAATTTCCTATCACTAGTAATTTTCATGCCGAGAATCCTCTTTGCTTCGCCCAGATCTTTCATTTCAAATTCTTGATTCAACTGATTCTTCAAATTCTCAATTTCTTGTTTATTCTTTGAAGCTATCAACATATCATCAACATATAAAAGTAGATAAATGAAAGAGCCATCATGTAGCTTGCGCAAATACACACAATGATCGTATTTGCTTCTTGTGTACTTCTGTCTTTACATAAACTTATCAAATAGCTTGTACCACTGCCTTGGAGATTACTTCAATCCGTAAAGCGATTTCTCAAGTTTGCATACCATATTTTCCTTTCCAACAACCTTGAATCCTTCTGGCTGAGTCAGATAGATTTCCTCTTCCAGATCTCCATGTAAAAATGCAGTTTTTACATCAAATTGAACTAGTTCCAAATCAAACTGTGCTACCAAGTCTAACAAAATCCGAATGGAGGAATGTTTTACAACTGGAGAAAATACTTCATTATAATCAATTCCCTCCGTCTGAGCGTAGCCTTTAGCTACCAATGCCTTATAGTTGAACACTGTCTCTGTCAGGGAAATTCCATCTTTCTTTGCATATTACCCATTTGCATTCCAATTGCCTTTCTTTTTCCTTTTTGGTGGATCAACAAGTTTCCACGTCTTTGATTCTTATAAAGGGACTTCATTTCATCTTCCATAGCTTTTCCACTTTACTTTCTTCTGAAACTTTTTGACAGCTTCATTGGAAAGTGGATGGGAATGCTATTATCTGCAATTTGGAGATGCATAGGCCACCATATCATCAAAACGAGGAGCAGGCTTTCTTATAACTCTTCTTGGCCTATCAAGTGCAATTGACTCAAGTTGTTGTGGAGGTTCTTGGAGTTGAACCTCGTCTTCATCTGACCCTCCTTCTACCTCAGGAGTTTCTGCAGGTTCAGTACCTGCCACTGGGATTGTTCTATCAAACTCCACCTGTTGTGGAGTATCCTCCACCTGTTGTGGAGTACCGTCTGACTGCTCTACTTTCACCTTTTTTAACATGGTAGATTCATCAAAAGTGACATCTTTGCTAAAGATTATTTTCTTTGATTCTGTACACCATAGTCGATAGCCTTTAACACCTGTGCCGATAGCCTTTAACACTTGTGCTTATCCCCATGAAAATGGCTTTCTTAGCTCTTGGATCCAGCTTCGATTCCTTAACATGATAGTATGCAGTGGAACCAAACACACGTAAGGAATCATACTCATTAGCAGGTTCTCCACACCATACCTCTATAGGTGTTTTACCATCAATAGCAGTCGATGGTAATCGATTAATGAGATGGCATGCAAATGGCAAAGCCTCAGCCAAAATTTCTTGTCTCACCCAGCATTAGACAACATACACTGAACTTTCTCCAGCAACATTCGGTTCATGCGTTCTGCCACCCCATTCTGCTGCGATGTATTTCTAACTATGAAGTGTCAAACAATGCCTTCATCTGCACAGATTTTATCAAAAGCATCATTTTTGTATTCTCCTCCATTATCTATTCAGAGACATTTGATGTGTTTGCCAGTCTGAATTTCCACCAAGCTAAACTCAAACACTTTCTCTATAGAGCGTGCAAGAACCAGCTTCCAGTAGCTGATGCACTAATCAGGAGGGGTATGAACATTGATTCTATTTGTGGCGTGTGGGGCGATGGTGTTGAGTCCCTTTTACACATTCTAAAAAGATTATTCCTTAGCGCACCATGTTTGGCTACTGAGTCCGCTGTGTCTTCATGTGACATCCTACCGAGTCGAGTCATTGCATAGAGTCGAGTTGAGTCGGGCTGAACCAAAATCCGGTTCAAGCCATTAGAGTCTAGAGTGGGTTCACATAATCCCTGATCTGACAATCTTTTCAAAGGATTTTCATACCTGCATGTCCCAAACGCCTATGCCACAATCTGGTTTGATTTCCAATTCTTTGTCATCACTAGAAAACAACTGTTGCTGGATCGAATCCAATTAAATTGTCGATCCAATAATTGTATTACCCTGATAGTAATACAAATTATTCCTTCTCCGAACTCCTTTCATCACCACAAGTGCACCTGAGATGACTTTCATCACTTATCGAACATCAGTATTGATCTTTCCCCAAGATTGCCCAAGAAAGTGTACGGTGGAGATGGTGGGTCCTATCTTGCCTGGTGTCCATCAGAGCTTGCCATGTTAAGTGAAGGGAATATTGGAGCAGCTAAACTTGCTCTTGAAAAGAATGGCTTTGCTGTTCCTCGTTATTCTGATTCTGCTAAGGTTGCTTATGTTCTTCAAGGTATTATTTGTTTTCGTTTCCTTCTCTAAGGAGCTTTCCTACCGCTGACTGTGAAATAATTTTAATTGCAAAATTGTTTATTTTGTTAATCTAATTACTGGTTCCAAGAATTTGTTGTGTTGGAGATATGTCTCTAAATTAAATAAATTTCATTAGGGAATGGTGAGGCTGGAATTGTCCTCCCCGAGAAGGAAGAGAAAGTAATCCCAATCAAGAAGGGAGACGCTATAGCCCTTCCATTTGGAGTTGTAACATGGTGGTACAACAAAGAAGACACTGATTCAACTCTGGATCTGAACGGGAATCTAACCTTTTCATTTCCCCCTTTCTTTTTGGCTTCAGTGAACCGGCCTCCAAACTACCAGGAGCTTCACTTCAGTTGCCTTTTCACTTCTTTTTCTATCTTTCTCAGTTCATTGGCTGTAAAGATCAGCACCAGTTCATGGCTGTAAAGATCAGCACAAACTTCACTGAAAGTCACATCTTTATTCCCATAAATTAGAGTCGTTGTAAGATGCTCAAATTCATCAGCAAGAGATGCTAGCAACAACACTGCCAAATCTTCGTCTCCAAATATCACATCCAAATTAAACAAATCACTCACCAATTGATTAAATTTTGTGATGTGTTCATTCATAGTGGTACCAGGAACATAATCAAAGCGATACAATTTCTTCTTCATGAAGAGTTTATACTGATTGTTTTTCTTCAAAAATTTCTCCTCCAATGCCTTCCACAATTTGTTTGCAGAAGTTTCTTTTGAGAAAGCATATTTTTGCTCTATAGAAAGACACGACCGAATTGTACCACATGCCAAACGATTGATGGTCTTCCATTCACTCTCCTCCATCTCGTTTAGTTTCTCTTTTTCAATAGCAACATCTAGACCTTGCTGAAAGAGAGCGTCTAGAACTTCACTTTGCCATATGCCGAAATGACCGGTGCCATCGAAAATCTCCACTGTAAATCTTGCATTTGATACAACATTTCTTACGAAGGTTGATGCTGTAGCAGGTGTGGTATGTCTGTCATTTTCTGCTTTAAATAATCTAATAGCTAATTAAAATTCAATTTTTCAAAATGCGGAACAACACCAAGGAACCATTTTTTATGTGGCAAGATCAGACTATGCTGCAACCACAGTGCAATACTTAGTAAAAACCTTGGCTCTGATACAATCGTTGTTGGAAATTGGCTTTTTCCACCAAGCAATTTGTGAATTTACTATTTTTTAAAAATTTTTTTTAAAATGTACTTACTTAACTACACTAAGGTAAATTCCCAGATAAAGTGGAGAGTCACAATATGGTTCTTCACTTAACCCACTTGGCCTAGACAGAATTTACTAGGACTAATTTAATTAGACAATAACCCACCAAAAATATTTCCCAACTCCAATAGCTATTAAAATAAAAATAAAAGACAAAAGCAATAAATAAATGAAACACCAATTTTAACGAGTTCGGCCAATTTTGCCTACGGTCCCCATCGGACATTACCAAAATTTATATGTTACTAAAGAAATTATACAAATTGAAGAGAAGAAAAAACTTGTCTAACCCACTTAAGAATTGGAAGACAAGTTTTAGGAGATGAATTAACTTCAGGAGCATTAGGCTCGCTTATTAGGCCAAACCACTCCCCTATTTCCCTTCCCTTTCTTTCGATGTTGGGGATTGCCAAGCCTAGTCCTAACCAATATCTTTATAAAGTCCCAAGGACAATCTAGAAAGAAAAATCTGCCAAGACCGGAAAATTAATAATTTCTTAGTTTAAAAACTCTGTAGGAATTTGTTTTCTAGGAGAAATTGAAACTAGGAAGCCTTTAAACTGTCCAAGAAAATTTTTTTTTTTTACGATATATCTTGAACTTTGAAAACGTTGTTATATTTGACTGAATTATTAATCATTGGAAAGAATTGGAAGACAAGTTTTGGAATGAATTAAACTTCAGGAGCTAAGCTCCTTTTATAGCCAAACAACTCCCTATTCCCTTCCCTTTCTTTCGATGTGGGATTTGCAAGCCACCTAACCAATATCTTTAAAATCCACAAGGAAATCTAGAAAGAAAAATCTGCCAAGACCGAAATATAATTTCTTTAAAAACTCTTAGAATCTTGTTTTTTAGGAGGAAATGAACAGGAAGCCTTAAACTGTCCAAATCGATATATCTTGAACTTGAAAACGTTGTATATTTGACTGAATTATTAATCATTGGAAGTTGAAACCAACTATTTGAAGACTAAATTTGCTTCTGCCAAAAAAATACATTAACATTAACATTAACATTAATTATCTTTCTTAGCTTTCATCGTCTAATAAAATCAACCTCTTTCATATGTCTGACACTTGTATTCTTCAATCCTTCGTAGATGTTAATCAATTTGAAAATTATTATTATAATTTGAAGATTTGTTCTCATGAAAAAATTGCTATAGATGGCGGTGGATGAAACAATGACAAATGACAATAGCAAGTGGGAAGCTTTCTTCTTTGTCATGGGTTGATAGATAGTGAGCCTTAGATGGCCTATAACAGGAGGGCCAGGCTGCCCTGCGACTAATGTAATGCTTTTTTTTTATATATATTTTAATTGTCTGGTATCCGAAGGTCATTATTCAGTCTAATCAAAATTTGCATTAAGCAGATATACAAAAGAGAAACAAAACACTTTTTTTTCAAATTTTTAAAAAAATTATATACTCATGTTCCAAACTCGAGATCTCTGTTAAAGAGACACGAGATGGATGGTACCTTTGGAAGCTGTCCTGGTTAATGTTAAATAGAGGTGTTTGACCTACTTTCTCATCCTAGTGCTGAATTGCCGTGTGTCCAAGTGGAAACGGGACACGCAGTAAGTGAAATTTGATTCCAGAAGAGAAAAGACAGATGCACGCAGAACAATGAAATAAATAGGTTGGATTCAGTGAATTTGTCCTTAATGGTCACATTTTTTAAGCACTTTCATTCTGCGACTGCTTGTGTTGGCACCAATATACTAGTGCTTCTTTATCTTCTTTCGTAATCCAACAGGAAAAGAGAAACAAAACAACACATTTACACGTACACAGTCACTTTATATGCTCAGACTCCTCTTTTTCCAAGAAATTCCAAAGATAATTGTGACAATGAAGAAATAAAGTTGGCATTATTCTCGAAACCAAATTCTCTCAAACAGGAAGAAATGGAGAACAGTCACTTGCTAAGAAGAAATGGTCATATTCGACTAATCAAAATGCTAGTTTTATCAGCATCATCAAAAACAAAAACCAGCAAGAAAGATTCCTTTCATTCAAGTTACACAGAGAGACGGCGCAAAATTATTTGCAACATCATAAATGTAGCAATAAGACAAAATTTATACATCATTGCCACACTAATCACTAAACAAAAGATGTTATACATTCCCAAAGTGCACAGTTTACTGCTAACTAACAATTTATCACCTGGCTACAACAATATGATTGCCTACAACAATACCTATCCTAAAGGACCCAAACCCAGAGTCATCTCACATTGGGGAGAAAATATAATTATGGGAAGTATTATACAAGAACACGACCTTCAAGTCAGATGTATCTCTCTGACATTCCTCCATTCTCTTCTACCTCCAACTTTTGTCTTCACAAAGAATTCCCTTTTCTCCAGGCATTTTATAATCAGGAGTATGAAATATGCTGCATTCATAATGAAAAACCAATCCCATTATTCTCTCTCCATCGCCTGCCCATAGTGGTGGCCTCCCTCATCTGTTTCAAGCAAATGACCAGTATTCAGAATCAAGAAAGGAAATAAGCTTTGGATAATTAACTCAAACGACTAGAACAAGTCTCAAATCCATGATTGTTTTGTTGAAATCTAAGCATCTATAATTTCTATATTTTACTGACTATCACAGGAACTGGAATTATGAAGTACTTCCTTGGTAAGAATCAAATTGGTCATCTCAAAGAACAAGATGGATAATTATGAGATTCAAATGCTGTATCGATACAGGTAATGCATTGAGGCCGGCAAATGGTGAGGAATACGATACTAATGCCGTGTTGTCTTTGCCTATATCCCAATATAAACCTAAAGACTAAAATCCAGTCTCAGCAAAAATTATCCAGTGAGTCCAAACAATGAGTTCATCCTTAAACTAAAAAAGAGATATGAACAAAGTGGTTTAAAGAATAATAGAATTTTCAGAATTCTATGGAGCCAGCAAGTATTTGACTTCCTCTAGAACTGTGATTATTCAGTTGCCAACTATGCTTATATAGGATCCACAAAGAATGCATTAACAAGAGGTGCTTCAAAAGGATCCTAATAACAAAGCAATCTTAAAGTTGGGTTGCAATGTGTCTAGGCATGTTCTGAAAAATGATGCCATAGAAAATGATAAGTACCACTTTCACCATCAGAAATATCTGCAAGCCTTGAAATTGCATCAATAAGTGCTTGTTCATGCTCCTGCATTGAGAAAATTACCCAGTTTTTTTTTTATGAAATTTCTTGAATAAGTCCAGAAATGGAACAGACAAAGAAGCCCGCTTGATTTACTGTCTTACCTTCAACACTTTCTTTGCTTTCTCAATCTCAAGAGGATCTGGATGATTTGTGCCAAATACTCTCTCCACCTGTCCAAATTCACCAACAAATATATGATCTCGCAAGACAAATTACAAAGTAACAGTTCCTCTAGTTGATCAACCAACTTCACTTACTTCCTTGATTAGAGTATCAGTGTGAAGAATTTGTATATCATCTGGCACCTTCTTTCCAATTCCATTCTGTGATGGTAACAACTCTTTTCTGGATTGTCCCTTTGTGACACCTCTACCTCTTCCTACACCTGAAATACTATCCCGGCCTACAGATCTATTCATTGCATGGCCTGATCCACCATAACCCCCTCTATGAGAGATTCCGGGGTCCTCACCTTCCCATTGTATATCCTCAGGAGAGATCTGCAATAGGAAAGAATCAGTTGAAGGAAAACTGAAAATTAACTCATCAGAAGAAAAGAACATTCTTCATCATTCTATGACATTGATACAAGGTGATGACTTGGAAATTCCCAATGACTCTCTTCAGAAGGCTCGCAACAGCCTTATAAATCCAGGCATTTCTTGTGTCAGCTTCCAATTATCCATTTTCTTATGAGAGAAAATCATTGCTCAGGTATCTGTCTGCAAATGACTCATTTTTCGTTTCGTAAAATATGCTGACAACCACCATATCAAGAACCATTAGTTTAACATTAAACTAAAAATGGAGGGCAACAACAATTTGCTGTTTTTGAGCATTCATTATACAAAAGCCCAAATTTTGCCGCCTCTTTTTTTTTTTTTTTTTTTTACTTGGTTTTATGTATCATCCAGGGATTTCATGATACACTTTTGAGCACCTTGATAGTGCTTTAGCATATGTTCATTACTCAGTCTTATCATCTAAATATATCACTTGAAACATTCTGTATCATCAATGTATTTATAATCATACCCAGAAAAAAAAAAAAAAAAAAAAATATAAAAGTTTAGAGGTTCATCTCAAAAGATATATCTTGTATAATATATTGATCAAAGAGGAAAAAGGGAGGGGAAAATGGGAGAAAAAGAGAGAGGGGCGGGGGGAGGACGGGGAATCAGTGGTTAACTTGGCATTCTTTTTTAAATGAGGGAAAAAAAAAAAAAAATTAATTATTTACAAAGAAAGAAATTAGGTATAACTAGGTTTGAGAACAATAAATTCCTCTATACTGACTCAAGCAAAATTTTAAATCCCAAGCTAAAAAGTTAATGCTCTCCATTCAAGTTGGAAAACATTCCCAAAAAGATTCTGTTAAGACGCTTGCGGAGCCATAAAGCCCCACAAAGAACCACACCCCCTCCCCCCCAAAAAAAAAAAAAAAAAAAAAAAAAAAAAAAAAGCACCTTGTCTCATTAAAGAAATTAGTCTTGACCCTTCATATTCTCTCTAAAAAAAAAAAAAAAAAAAAAAAAAGCACCTTGTCTCATAAAGAATTAGTTGACCTTCATATTTCTCTCTTGCGGTTAAGTAGTGCATTCATGAAATATGTCCATACAATTTTTATTATCATATGCATACGCTTTGCCTATTATTACTTGCAAAACAATTTTGGCCAATATAGTTTATGAGCCAAAATTGTAGTGCATAAGAACAATTTAAATCAGAAGAAGACAAGGCAATAAACATACCTCAGAAAGGTTAACCCATTCCCATGTCTCATTTGTTGCTCCAATATCATACACCAAAGCATGTCGTCCCTGAAAATAGTTGTGCAGTTCAGAAACGTATGAACTTGAAAATAAGAATTCAACATGAGAAGAGCATTACACACCTCAACAGGGTTATAATCAGTTATTACAGCTTCATAAAAGTTATTGTCATCAGGCCACCTAGTCCTAACTCTCTTTCCAATTAATGACTGTAATGTAGCTCCATCAGGAGCAGCACCAGAAGAAACCCTATTAGCTACTTGACCCCTTCCAGAAGGACCTGAGGATGGGTATGGAATGGACTTCATTGATGAAGCGCCAGGTAAGCCCTACAAAATATAAACAAAATATAAGCAACTAGAAAACAAAAACGAGTAACATGCAAACTGTTTGTGTATCAAACAAAATTTTGTGGCTCTTAACCCACAGGTTTTTGCTTCTTGCTCTTTGATCCCGTGAGAGGTCCACGTTTAGCAGCTGATGAAGATGGCTGGAGCGAAGCAGAAACAGTTTGTGGGTGAAACGACGGAGATGGTCCACCAAAGGATTGAGAAGGAACTGATGAGGTAATTTTCTGTTTCTTCCGAGACGCAGAGACAGTGGGGCTGGGTACTGGATCATGAACAGCTTGGCCTGTACCCATAACGCCAGATTGAAGCCCACCTGTCTGTCTCCACTCCCTAATGGTATTGTTCCAAAACAGTATCAATTAAAACACACAGTTAGATTTGACAAATAGGTCCAACTTGTTCAAGTAAGATAAAAATAATGGGATTCTATCAGACCTTATCCTCCGTATGACATCATCTGCATTAACCCGGCCAAGAAGCTCTCGGTGCTCCTCATTAGATAATCTCAACTCCTTTCTAAGCTCTGTTATCAAACTTTCTTTCTCCTGAAGAAAATACATTTCATGTAGCAGTCATTTAAACCTGATCAGACAAATTTACAATTATTAGATTCATGATACGATATGACAAAAGGTACCCAAGTAATGGCATCAGCTTGAGCTTTAAAGGCTCTTAGAACTGAACTGTATGCTTCTTGCTCAAGCTGGTGAATCTGGGCCACCATGTCAGTTTCAGCATACATCCTAGGGTATGGCATAGAAGCTGCAACTGGTCTTCCATTCCCAGCCACACGCCCCCCTCTAGGGATTCTGCTTTGATGTGATGGGGGTAAATCATCATCAGTTCCTGAAATTAATATATAAACCCTGACATCAGTATCGCAACTTGAATGGAATTAACAGGAAAAAGAAAAAAGCAATTTATGCGCGGAAAACAAAAGCAGCAGTAATTAAATACTCTATTCATTTACTGCTAGGGAACCCCATGAACAAAATTATTTTTACAACTAGAATATTTCTTCAGAGTTGACTTGCACGCAAACGAAGTGTATATGTTGTCTCTTTTTAATAAAGCCGACAAAAGTGCTCGAATCCCAAAGAGATGGGAAACTTTTCAGAAAAGAAAGCAGAAGTGGTAAATGAACAATCACCGACAAAATTATGAGGCATGAAAATCATCAAATGCATTCCTAACCATCCAAAAATATACATTAATTTATCAGGAATGGAAAAAAAAAAAAAGGAGAATAAAAGGAGCACATAACCAGTAGCCAGCGCACCCAGAAAAGAAACTTTAGTATAAAGAATATCCAGCCCATCAATAAACCTGCTAGTACAAAAGCTTGTTATATCTATGCTTAAGATAGTTCTGGTAAACCAGTTTCTCCCCCGCCCGCCAAAAATAGCGTATTGTTACAGGCATGCTTATCATCAAAAAAAAAAAAAAAAAAAAAAAAAAAAAAAAAAAAATGCTTATCATCAAAAAAAAAAAAAAAAAAAAAAAAAAAGAAAAAGAAAAATTATTTCCTCTCGTTATTTTTCACCCAATGCAAAAAAAAAAAAAAAAAAAAAAAAAAAGAAAAAGAAAATTATTCCTCTCGTTATCACCAATGCAAGTAACAAAGTTAAAAGAAACAATTCCAATTTGAAATGAACCTCTTTCACCTATTATGACCAGTAAACATTCTCAAATGACTATTTAAAACTCATCAAGTTTGGTATGCTTGATCCAATATCCCCAAAGGTCCAAAAAAGATGCAAAAATGGTGACCTCACTTACTTCTAGCACGTTAAAAATCAAAAACCCTGAAAGAAGTAATTCAATAAGATAGAACCAAATGCATCCTACTTATCAAGGTGCAACTCCCATCCGTCAAACCAACCATCTGTTGACTGCAAATGCATGGGAACTCCATAGTCTATAAATAGACACATAACTCCCAAAAGTCCTTAATTATAAGAGTTCCACATAAAAGAATCCAAATCGTTTGCTTTTCTCTTGCTAAAGGCGAGATATTTCACTTGCACACTCTAGTTTAACCAATCTCATCATGAATGTAAAAGCAAAGATTTATACTCTTACAAATGACAAAGTTACATATACAGTCACACTGAAAGTCAAAACTGCACCTTGTTTACAGACAGCACATACTCAAGTCCATGACACATAAGTTTTAAAGATGACAATAAAACCAATTAAAGTCAAACATTTCATATTTGCTAAATTCCATATTGGTTTTATCTAATCAAGCAGCACCAATTTGTTGAGGACAAACTTCTGAAGCAAGTATGAAGGTTAAGGAATTGGGCTGTGCAAAAAGTTGCTTGTGTATTTTTTTTTTTTCCCGCAACATTTCCAGATCAGGGTTTCATCTTAGCTTCAACGAGGAAAAGAATTATCAGCTGGAGACTTAAATTTATGCAAAACTGTAAATAAATGTTCCAACACCATAGGAAAAGATGGGCATGCAATAAAAATAACTAGAAACGGGAATTCCAGGTTCAAATACAAAGGCATTTATTATCTATTGATATTTATCATGGATATAGGAACCAAGATCCTACCGTTTATACCATAACAAATTCAAGATTTCTCATATATGCTTGCACATGAGAGAGCATTGAAGCAGAAATTGAAGGTCACTTTTAGTTCAAACTTTCAAGCTCACATCCAAGGGCAATCTAAAGCAATCAAATTACTATTTCCCAACATCAGTATCTAATTCCTTTATTCAAAGCCCAATACAACTAAAAAACCTAATTTGTTAGTCCAAATCCAAAAATCCGTACTTCATAGTTTAAATTTCAAGACCCCATAAATATAGCAATGCAAATAAAAATCCAGAGACATCTTAACCCTAATCAATCCACAAGGAAAAAGGAAAGAAAAGGAACGAAAAGATACGATTTTTGAGAGCTAAACTCACCACTGCTATCATAGGGCTCGTAGTCCATAGCCAGCTTGATACCGGAAAGACTAATTCAGCTCAAAGAGCAAAACACACCAAAAACCCTAAATTTCACAGCCAATCTTGAATTTGCGACAAAGATTGTTGGTAAGAAAGTTTTTAGAGCTCCAAATAATCAGCTAAAACAAAAACGATGACGTTTCCGCGGATGCTCCTGGACAATTGGCGCTTCATCAAGAGCAAGAAAACAAGAAAAAAAAAAATGAAAATTTCAATTTCAATCTAAAATCAGCTCGAAGAATGAGTTTGAGCTCAGAGCTGCAGAGTGACTTGATAATTTAGTTTAAAAATTAATAAAAAAAATATTGAAAAAAAAAAAAAAAACTGCAGAGTGGGACTTGATAATTTAGTTTTAAAAATTAATAAAAAAAATATTGAAAAAAAAAAAAAAAAGAAGAAGAGAGACGAGCGCGACTTAAAAAAAAAAAAAAAAAGAAGAAGAGAGAGAGCGCGGACTTGAAACAGATTTATCAACTTGTTTTGTTTCGAATTTATATATGGGTTTGAGATCCGTTGTTTTGTTGTATTGTAATAAGACCACGTGCGTGGGCATAAAGTGGGGTCCAGGAAGTCCAATAACTGTGAAAGGATCCATTGGGCCTTCCAAAATGTTAATTAATTACATTCCAAAAGTAACCAATGGGCCTGAGCCCATTTAATAAAGTAATTAATTAGCATTTGGCAGTTTAACAATGGTTGGCTAAATGAGAATTTGGATACCAGCAGATTAGTATAGGGATGGAACCAAAGTTATTAAACCGGCGATCCGGCTAAAAAACCATATCGATGAGTTATTGGTTTAATTAGTGGTTCAATATAGTGGATCATAAAATATTAACAGTAATATGTATTAATTAAATAATTATAATTTAAAGTAATTGTGATATAATAAAAATATCAAAAAAACCAATCCGGACAAATCAATCTGTACGTAAGGGCGGCCGGTTCAATCTAATTCTCTTATTTAAATGATTCGATCGAATCCGGATGGAACACACATTTTATTAAAACCATGATGGTTTGAATTCTTTAATGTTAAATTTGTATGTCAAATTTAATTTTTTTTTCTAGACTTTATATTGCGTCTCTCTTTGTTATTTTCCTTTTGGAGATGGAGGAAAATGTGATCAAGAATATTCATGTTGTGAAATGAATTTGGGATATTGATTGTTGTAGAAAAGGGAAGAATTTCACTTAGGTTGAGAGCTTCTGTAACTTATATTTTTCTATAAAAATGGTAGCTATGAAATGCGTTTTTCCTTCACCATTTCCATACTAAGCTTAATGATATCTTGCATGAAATCATCTGATTTGACATTAATTTTGTTTTTACAATTCATTTGCATGTTTATTTTTTGGTGTTAATTGCTGTAAACAAATTAATCTAATCCATAATAGCTAATTAAGAGCTCAGAATATTAATTAATGGCTGAAGTGGTAGCAGCTGAGAAGATTAGATGGCTACCAGTTCCAAGAGTACAACAACTTGCAAGCCAGCAACTTGAGACTGTGCCTGTTATGTATGTGATGGATGACATCCACGACATCATCATCACCGTTGATCCCAACCAGTCGCTTTGTGTGCCACTGATTGATATGACCAAGCTGGAAAACCCAGAGTCCCAAGCTATGGAAGTTTATAAGCTTCACTCTGCATGCAAAGAGTGGGGTATATTTCAGGTAATTAACATCATAAAATTAAAGATTAACATAATATTTTTACCATTTAATCTTGTTTTTCTTTGCAGTTGATAAACCATGGAGTTTCAGATGAATCACTAAGAAACATGAGGAAGAAAGTTAAAGAATTTTTTGAGCTTCCATTAACTGAGAAGGAAGGTTGGGCACAGAAGCCAGGAAGCAGTGAAGGGTATGGTCAGCTCTTTGTAACATCAGAACACCAGAAGCTCCCCTGGAATGACATGGTCTTCCTCAAAGTTATTCCCTTTGAAAGCACAAAATTTGAGTTTTGGCCTGCAAAACCTCATCAATTCAGGTTTTAATCGAAGCTAATAATCAATACGTTATGTTTCTAAAATTAAATTGTCAGTTAATATTTGGACATGGTTGTGTATGATTAGAGAAACATTGGTGAGTTACATTGAAGGCATGAGAGAGGTTACAGTTTCTATAATGAAATATATGGCTATGGGGCTAAAGATTATAGATGAAGAATTTTATGAAACTTATAAAGAAGGGACATATGACATGAGGATGAATCTATATCCAGCTTGTCCAGAACCTGAGAAAGCTATTGGGATACACCCACATATTGATGTCCATGGGATCACTCTCTTGTTGGAATGTGCTGACAGTCCACAAATTCCAGGCTTACACGTTCTTAAGGACAGCCACTGGGTCTTCGTTCAGCCTATAGAAGGTGCCCTTGTGGTAGACATTGGAGGGATTATGGAGGTAAAGAACCATTTTTTTTTCCTTAATTATGAATACTGGGGCGATAAGTTAATCAATTAAACTTCACTTGTATACAGATAATGAGCAATGGAATATACAAAGCACCACTGCATAGAGCAGTAGTAAACAAAACAAAGGAGAGGCTTTCAATAGTAACTGTATGCAATCCTAGTCCATCTCTCAGTATTGGTCCTGCCAAAGAACTTACCATGTCTGGAAGCCCAGCATTGTACAAGAGTGTGACGATTGAAGAATATTTTGAGTGCTTTTACAGTTCAAAATATGGGATCCCATTCATTGATAGACTCAAAATATGATGTTGTAATATTATGACAGCAAAAATAATAATCATGATGATCATGAACCTAAACTTTCTAATGAATCTGGTGATAATAATGTAATATAAAGACAATTTTAAATAAAGACAATGGATCTTTTTGTTTTTAGTGATTTGTTTGTCTATCAACTTTGGTGTCTGTGTGTTATACATACACACACACACACATATATATAATATGGCGTCAAAATGTTTTTAGTTATTTGATTGTCTATCAACTTTGGACTTTGGTTCTGTATATATATATATATAGTATAATTATATATATTTATATATATATATACAGGACCAAGTTGATAGACAATCAAATAACTAAAAATGTTGACTATAAAGAAATGATTAAGAAATCTCGCAAAGCAAAGAGAGTAAGACCTAGTGGAGAGGCAAGATGGCTGAGAGAACCGATATATATATATATATATATATACAGAACCAAAGTTGATAGACAATCAAATAACTAAAAATGTTGACTATAAAAAAATGATTAAGAAATCTCGAAAGCAAAGAGAGTAGACTAGTGGAGAGGCAGATGGCTGCAGAGAACCTTCAATGGTCTCTTCCAGTTCCAAGTGTTCAAGAGCTTGTACTTCAGCAGATTCAAACTGTGCCGCCTAGGTACATCAGAGATGACCTCTTCATTTATCCTTCTGATGATCATCACTCTCCTCGACCTCGTGTGCCGTTGATTGATATGACCAAGCTGGTCAACCCAGATTCTCAATCTTCTGAACTTCAAAAGCTTCACTCTGCTTGCAAAGATTGGGGCTTGTTTCAGGTTAGGCATTGCTTTTCGCATTGTTCTTCTTGATTTGTCTTTTTTAATTTGGAAAGATTGGAAAATCTTCCTTCAGATTGGTTAGATTACGTCTGTTACATAGCTTTTAGTTCTTGAAAAGTTAAAATCTTTTTCAAATCCTAGCTTAGTTCTTGTTTAAAAGCTCAATTTGGTTTGTAACTTAGAAGAAACATATCAATAGAATATTAAGCAAAATCCCAAATGGGTTCATAATTCTGTGAAAGCCACTATCATGGTTAACATTTATATTTGGAGTCTGTAGAAAATTAACGGCTTGATTCCCAAAAATGTTTTATTTAGAAATTATTTACCAAGTTCAAAAATTGAAAAGATTTGGAATTATCTTTAAGTTCTGAATTCAATGAAGGATAATTAATCCGTTGAAGGAGAAAAGATAAAATTTTCTATCCTAGGAAAGAAAGAAAAGCAACTCAACAAATTCAAAGCTTGTATCTAAGAGGATTCAATTTAATTTGCAGTTGATAAACCATGGAGTTTCAGATGTATCACTGAGGAACATGAAGGAGCAAACTCAAGAATTCTTTCAACTTCCCTTAGAAGAGAAAAAGCGGTGGGCACAGAAACCCGGAAGTCTTGAAGGCTATGGCCAAGCATTTGTAACCTCAGAACAACAAAAGCTTGACTGGAATGACATGATCTTCCTCAAAGCTCTTCCTATTCAAAACAGAAATTTTGAATTCTGGCCAAAAAAACCTCAAAATTCAGGTATTAACTAGGTCATATTACTCAGCACACACTAGTTAATTTCATATAATAAGTATTATTTTCTTTTATATCAAAGGTTATTTATTAGTAAACACCACATTACGTTTGTGCACTAGGGAAACATTGCACGACTATTCTGAAGATATCAGGCAGGTGGCAGTTTCTATAACAAAATTCATGGCCAAGGGGCTTGAGCTTAGTGATCAAACTGAGGAATTCTATCAGGGTTATCAGCAAGGAACATTTGATGTCAGGTTGAATTGCTATCCACCTTGTCTTCAACCAGAGCGAGTCATCGGAATGATCCCACATGCGGACATGTCTGGTATCACTTTCTTGCTTGATGTTGATGATACACCAGGATTGCAGATTCTAAAAGATGGTCAATGGGTTTTTGTTGAACCTATTGATGGTGCCATTGTTGTCAACATTGGCCAGATTGTAGAGGTACATATATATGTTGTACTTGCAAATGCCCTAGAATATTGAACTAATATAAGACTAGATAAAATTTTTCAAATCATGCAGATAATGAGCAATGGGGTATACAAAGCCCCAGATCACAGAGCAGTGGTGAACAAATCAAAAGAGAGGCTTTCAGTAGTTACCTTCTGCTATCCCAACTCATCTGTCAAAATTAGTCCTGCCAAAGAACTTGTCGAGTCAGGCAATAAACCTTTGTACAAGACTCTCACATTGGCAGAGTATTTTGAGTGTTTTTATAATCGAAAGCTTGAAGTTTCATTCATTGATAGCCTCAAAATCTGAAGGCCAATAGCAGATTTACTTGGAACCATGCAGTGTCATGATTTATAGCGAGTTATAGATGAGTGCTGTGCTGACCTTTTTAGATTGTGACCAGCCTAATTTGGTGCTGGCCTTGTTGATTCATTAATATCTAATTGTACTTTGAAAAATCACTTTTGATTAATGTTAATGAAAAATTTCCAGGGGAATAGAGTTTATATTTCTTGATGTTTCTATGATTGTAATGATGAACTTGGGTCAGTTCTATTCCGTATTTTCAATATTGATTCTGGCAACTTCAGACAGAGATAGCAACTAATAATATCATTAATAACAATTTCACCATAGTTTTTTTAACTAGAATGTAAAATGAGCAACACCAATGACATCAGACATCAGCAGACACTAAATTTAGCTAATAAATCAGCATACGCATTACAATGTTATGCTCTAATAACCAACGTACATGTCAAAGAATAACAAAAATGAAAAAAAAAAAAGAAGGCTTTTCAAAGCCAATTATTTTCCAATACTAGAGATTCATTTAGTAAGAAGAGCTAATTCTTTTATTTCTGTGTTGAAAGGTATTAGCATCTGTGTCAAAATAAAAAAAATAGAGATATTTCAGGCTGTAGGCTTTAACTATCTCTTTCAAACTTAATAATATGGAGATGCTACAAAATGTATACTTGTATCAGAAGGTTAGTATGAATCCTCTAGTTCTTCTACAGGAGAACTGTGGAGACCATTCGATGGAATATCTTCTTGGAATGTAAAATCTGAATTTGTGGTTTCAGAAAGATCGGTGTTGTTTGTTTTTCTTTGCTGATCTAGCATGTTCTTGAGCTGCCTTCCTTGTTCTTCGATCCGCAACTGTAGATTTCTTTGTATCTGAAACAGAGAAGACAGAATTATTATATCAAATAAAACCATTGAAAATTAGAAATAAGATTAAAAAGAAAGAAACCAAAACCTCCAACTGTTCATGTAAGCGCCTTTGAACAACAAGCTGCAATTTCAGTGTTTCAGCAATCTGCATGCCTCTGGAGATGAAGAAGATGACTCATTTAGTGTCAAAGTCTGCAATGTCACTCTTGCTTTGGGCTTATCCCAAAAAAATTAACAAGGAAATTTTGGATACTTATATGCTTACGTTTTTTGGTCAATTGATATATCATTTGTAGAATTTCTCTCAGATTTTCCTGCAAATTATCGAGAAAATTTGATGGCTTACTCAAAACGTACAAGGCAAGGCCCATCTCATTTTAGAGTTATAGAGATACATACAATCTAAACCTATTAACAAGAACTAATGGAATATGTTATTTAAACAAGGGGAAACAAAAGGACATTAACGTAAGGACAATTAACATAGAAAGAGGTATGAATTAAGGAATATACCTTCTGTTGATTCCGGAATATATCTACACATGCGATATTTCTGTAAATAAAATTGCAGAAAGTTACAAGAAGTTGATAGTTAAATGATAAAGTATGGTAAAGATCCAAACAAAATTATATGAGTCAAAACCTGCAAGTGACTTTTAACATGAAAGATTGTTAATCCTTCAACTGCCATCATCTTGAGGATCAACTTTGGAGTAGCTTCTGAAAAAATGACAGAAAAGAAAAAGTTAATTATAGACAATAATCTTTATTCACTCATTAGCCATTCATTTAAATTAAGATCATCAATTGTAAATCATGAAGATTTATTTTGTTTGGTAACTATCACTTACTTTCAGCTCCGCCAAGATGATTTACACATTCAACAAATCGCTTATGGAGATCTTTAGTCCATCTGATACGAGTTTTACGTGCAATATTTGCTGATCCTGATGCAACCAAATACACAGACTGCTGCTGTTTTAGTTGCTGCAAAAAGGAGTTTGGTTTTGTAAATTTAGAGCTGAATAAATTATAACCAACCTGCTTTAATTAGAGCAGACATCATATTATATATTTGAAAAGAAAGATCATATATATAAATTAGAGCAAGAAATCATATTATATATTTGAAAGAAAGATCAATATATATATATATATATATATATATTATCTATATATATATATATTATATATTATATTATATATTATATATATGAACTCACCTGATAATTCTGATGATTCTTGAAAGTAATATGGTTTTGCCTTACTTGATTCATGTTGGCCGATAACTCTTTTGCTGACTTTTGCAATAATGGAGGAAAAAGATCAGTTCCTGCAAAATTTCGATACGAAGCCTGACAAAAATTTTCTCTGCTTATTGGATTCTGATTCTTTTCTAATCTAAAGTTGACAGCTGATTGGAAATGAAAATTTTCTTGAGTCTGCATAACTTTCTTGCGAGTTTCGGCCATGTGGGAAGATCTAGAAAAGCTATCAGCTATATAATCACCATTTCCAAAGCTCATGAAGCCTTCTAACTCCATTGAAGTCCCTATTTGAGGGATTGGCAAGTGAATTCTCATGTTCCAAAGCTGCAGCTGCTTAAAAGGAAACCTTTGCAAAGAAGATGAGTTTGGAGATTTATTACAAGAATCGTTGTTTAATGATCCCTTCTTGTGTTGTTGGACTTCCCTTTGTTTTTTGAGTGCTCATTTATATACATACATACATACATACAAATAATATATATATATTATATATAATATATATATATATATATATATATATAATACACACATATATGAAGCACAGCAAGATACACACATATATGAGCACAGCAGATCTCTACTTAAAATATAGATATAACAAGAACCAACAATAAATTAACTTTTGCTTTCTTGATAAGTTGGTCTTTTAAATAAATATTTATGTTGTCTAATTTTGCCTAGAAGATAAGGCAGCTGGCATTTTAAGAGGCATAAAATGTTAGCAGGATATATCAGAAATACAGTAAGAATTATTTCTGATTAGTTATTATAAGTGGACAGAAAAGATTCTTTTTGTTTGTCTTTAAATTTATTTTTAACTTGCAAAGCTTCAGAAACAAGATGGTTTATGTGTCTCAAATCATCCTTTTTAAATAGTTCCAAATTGAATAGGGATGAACAATGATATTTTGGTACATCCAAAGCTCCTTGGATTTATTTAGTAATTCTCAATATGAAAAATACCACTTGGGACTAACTAGCCAAATATGGTCTTTTTGCAAAATTAGTTGTTTTAGGTTGTGTTTGGCAACAGCTTACAAAAAGTATTGAGTAAACGTTGAAAGCTATTTTTTATAGTGTTATAGGGTTTGAGGTAGCGATTTATAAAAAATTAACTCATGTAATGTTTAGCTTTTTAACGTTTCATGATAAGCTACTAAAATAACTAATTTTCCCAAACATATCTTACTAGCATTTAGCTGTTTGAATAGTTTTTCAAAAAATTTAGAACGTTATTTCTAAAAATAAATTAAATCCCTATGTTACTGAACCGTATAAAAAATAGTTTCTAACGTTTTAACTAGAACTTACCTAAAAAGCTGATACAAGCGTAGAGTTGGTTGTGAATCTCATGTAAAACTGAAAAATTATTCTCTGAAATTACTTTCACCATCATCTGGAATTTGAACTTTGAAGAATAAGCATCTAAGAACCTACCCTGGATCATGGAAGCAATTAGATTACAGGAAGAAACATTACCTTCCCGGGAAAGTTCAGTCTTTCTTGTTGTTTAGGCATTGTGGTCTCCAACATGGACAAATTACTATAATTAGCTTTGTTTTGTATGTATATGTATGCGGCTTAACGAATTTTTGAAACCATTCGATAATTTCAAATGGACAGACTCCATAATTATATAAAATTGTCATTTACAAACAATAAACAAAGAACATCTGACTTATTACAGACTGAATACTATTCTTGCATGATAAGGACATGTCCTATCTAGCAGCACGTTGTTATCCATTAATTAACAAAAATAAATAAATGAAGAAAAGAAAAGAAATGTTGTACTTTTGCCATTCTTTTAAATATGACCCTTTAGGAGTTTGAAGAGGCAAATTAACTACAATGCTCCATTGTTGCCATTTTTTTCATTTTTTATAATTTCTTGCTCATTACAATTGGCTTATGGCTATTTTAATTGGTCTTAAGAGGGTTTCTAATGTAGTATTACTATTTAATAAATAAACAATTTCATGTAATGACAGTGTTGGGGTTAATTAACTAATTAATGTAATTTTCCAAAAAATCAGGAGCAAGTCCTAAAATATTAGGTGGTAAATGGATAGTAAGTAGCTTATATTATTTAATAAATCATACTTGGAGATTGAATAAGGTTTTTGTTAACAATTGACTTGCACATTCTTATATAAGATTTGTGTTATGTCCCCATTAATACACGTGTAGGATCTCTGCATGCACCACCAAAACTCAAGTTTATATATTCCCAGAAAAACAGTGGTTTGAAGGGACATTTGGATTGGATTCCCACTAATTACTATTTGTAAGATGGACCATGTATAGTAGTGGCACTACCACCAACCCCTTCAATTCTAATGGAGAACTGTATACAACAACAACCCCTTCAATTCTAATGGAGAACTGTATACAGCAACAAGCCAGTCACGGACCCTGAAATTAAAGTCAAAGGGACTAAAAAGAATTTGAAGAGTTAAAAGGGATGGACTTGAAAAGATTTACTATTTTAGAGGATAATAAAAAACTTTCAATATTTTATGAATGATTTAAAAAAAAATTGTCATGGGAGATGGGGTTGGGGGCTCCATCAATGAATAAAGTATTAATTTCAAACTAATTGAAAATTTAATAAATCGTGTATTATTCATAATTAATTAAGTAAAGTGTTACGCATACTATGATTTATAGTCGAAAAGAATTGAATCCGAAAAATGACCGTTGCGAGTGCTTTTCATTATGAATATCAATATCTTGAATTGATGATAAAAACACTAGTAAAAGTCATGCCATTACTCTAAACTTTTGATTTTCCCTTTGTTTTGCTGCTTCTGTATATAATTCTTGAATGTTTTTTTTTTTTTTTTTTTTTTTTTAATCTTGAAATGTTTTTTTTTTTTTTTTTTTTTTTTTTTTTTGCTACTAATTTGTTAACTGCAATCCCGTTTTTTTTTTTTTTTTTTTTTTTGCTACTAGTAACTGCAAATTTACTATCTTTTGATAAATATATGTATGTATTTAAATAAAGAACAATTGATTTTGTTTGGTTGTTGAGAAAATTTTGAAATTTGGATAATAAAAAATGAAAATGGATGTCGATTATACAATGGTTAGTTTAGTTTCAGCAGATTGAACTAAATGGGGAAGGACATGGTGGCACAGAAACCTGAACAACACCTTCAAGCATCTGTGTCACTGTCCTCATGGAGGGTCTTAGAGATGGATCCTCTTGGATGCACCATATTGCAACCATCACTAGTTTTTCCAATCTTTTTGAATCATTTCTTGCTTCTTCTTCATCCTCCACTAGCTTGTCTAATCTTTTCTGTTTATAGCAGTCATAGGCCCAATCAGCTAGTATGACTTCCTCTTCATTCTCCCTTTCCATATCAAGGCCTTTCCTACAACAAATAATCTCTAATAGCATCACGCCATAACTATACACATCTACCTTTGCAGTAATTGGCATGTTCCTAAACCATTCGGGTGCGACATACCCTCTAGTCCCTCTAATGACTGTTTGTGTGCGAGTTTGATCACTCATCAGAAGCTTAGCCAATCCGAAGTCTGAGATTCTTGCAGTGAATGTGTCATCTAGGAGAATGTTTTGTGGTTTAATGTCACAATGGATTATCTGTGTGCTGCATTCTTCGTGCAAATATGTAAGTCCTCTTGCAATCCCAAACGCCATTTGTAATCTTTTGTTCCAGTCGGGTCTTGATATTCCAAACAGGAAGCTAGCTAAGGTTCCATTGCTCATGAACTCATAGACCAGAAGTTTGTTTAAGCCTTCATCGCAAAATCCTAGCAATCTAACTAAATTCTTGTGATGCGTTCTGGCTATTGCGCTCACTTCTGTTTTGAATTCTTTCTCGCCTTCTTGCACCATTCTATCTAACTTCTTGACTGCAACATAGTTTTTTAAACTTGATAATATTAACACTCCTTTATATACAGTGCCAAAAGCACCTCTTCCAAGCTCTTCCCTGAATCCACCTGTTGCTTCTTCAAGGTCTTTATATGTAAAAGTGCGTTGATTTGTTTCCAAAATGTCAGATGTTTTAGTTTGTTTCTGTCTGTTTTTGTACGAGTAAAATGCAAACAAGGATATTGCTCCAACAAGCAGGAAGTTAAAGAATACTGAGCTACCCAAAAACACTGCTCCCACTATAATAAGAGTTTCTCTATCATTCTTCTTCGTGTTGGAATTCTGAAGAGAAGGCTCATTTGAAGAAACATCAGATTTAGTTACCTTGATGAAAGCCTTTCCATAGGTGTTATAATCCAGCCTCCCTTTTGAAAGAGGCAGCTTTTTTTTCCAACAGGTCCCCTCCTTGATAACAGCAACTATGCAGTTACAATCAGAAAGGCACAATCTTCTGCAGTCATCTTCATTTAGCCCCTGCAATTGTTCATAATTTGCAGAAACTGGCCAATATGCATTGGGTAGTTCCCGAATTATATACAAATCTTCCGGCTTTGAATTGTCTTGCTCACAATTTGGAATTATGTTTTGCTTGCAGCCATTTAATTTGTTGTTTGGATCAGATAGGGAAAACCCAGGAAGACACTCACAAAGTGGCCTTCGTTTATCATCAAGTCTGCAGTAGCTGTTATATCCGCAGGGACCACCGCCCAAATCGCCATTGATAGCGGAGCAAATATTATTTGGGACTGACCAGATGGCGGACCAGGTCTGCCCCCGGCTTCCATTTGTTTGAGCCCTGGGATGAGCATATAATGCAAAGATTCCATCGACATCAAGCGTTGCCCTGAAATAAAATTCTCCATTGGAGACTGTTCTGTTCTCTGTGAGGTTAACGACACTTCCATTCCTGAGGAAAACATTTAGATGACCTGATTCATTAAAGACCATTCTGTAGCCAGAATTCATTTCATCAACACTGTCTGTATTGCTACGGAAATAAGGTTCGTAAGGAAAATCAGTGGGCAAGCCAATTGGACGGAGCACCAGATTGCCATCTGTTTTCATGAAGAGCTGAAAGCTTCCCTTAGAGTAGTTGCTTTCTGTTTGATGAGAAAATAGCTTTCCTCCAAGTTCCAATTCTTGTGTTGGCAAGATTGTGTCGGTTGGGTTCTTGAAGCTCTCCCATATATATTTATCATCTCTTCCTGCAAGAATGAAATTACCATCATCTAACATGGCAGCGTATGCCACTCGGTCTGTGGTCGAACCGGCGTTCCAAATTTCTTGGCCTTTTGGGCCAGTAAGTGTCAAATTTCCATTATCAGTAAGCTGAAGTCTTGATCCTTTTGGAGCTAGATCATCTCCATTTGCATACCAAACTAATGTCTTTTCTGGTATCTTATCATACCAGATTGCTAGCAAGAAGAGGTCTTGATTGTTGATACGGTGAAATCCCAAGGCAAAATCTCCAGAAGGAGATCTCCAAGAAGTGCTCTCAGAAGCAATAAGAGATGATCCTAAACTAATATTAGCATTTTGTGCTGCTAACATAAGCGGAAGAGAGAAGAAAGAAGAGAGCAAGCTGGTGAAGAAACAGAAAAAACATTGGCATAGAATTTAGTTCTTAAGGTAGCAAGAGTGTTTTTTTTTTTTCCTTCTTTTTCCCCTGAGCTAATGTGATGAAAGATGTAACTGTTTCTAGTGGAATTATAAAAAGGACGAGTTGAAAGGCTTAGCTAAGAGACAGTCAAATTTCTACTAACAGGAAAACACTTCTATGTGATTTGAATTAAACCAAGTAATTGTTATTTTTGACACGTATTTTGCTTGTCTTTATTACCTCTTTGTCTCAGTTGTCAATGGCTTGGATAAAATACAGCATCACAAACTTGACCTTTTACAGAGTCTTGTCCAAGTTGAACTCTGGCCTGAGCAAGCCATGTTCCATTCTTTTGAATTGTATGATAGTCTTGGTCAAAAAACCATTGTGTTCAGACCTGAAGGTGATGGTCCAACAAAGATCTAGACATCTTATATACAATTAATCAGTACACATAATGTGTCGACCAATGACTTCCTTAAACAGTTCATGTTTAATCAAAATTTACTTCAAAGCTCAATTTGATGTTGGGCCTTCAATTTCATCTGTTTTCATCATTATTGCCATAATTACAAATATTATGATAGATCACATCACTTCTCATTTGAAACCTTTAATCCAATATACATTCACATGCAAAAGCAAAACTGTAACAAACTGCAGCAAATTCAACCAGGAACCTGCCTCTCCATGGAGATTATTTCCAGAATAATGCATGATTAAGTCTCCTCAATGTAGTAATTACACTTTGGGCTCGGAAAAAAAAAAAAAAAAAAAAAAAAAAAGTGTAGAATTACACTTTGGGCTCGGAAAAAAAAAAAAAAAAAAAAAAAGAGCCAAAACGATAATAATCCTGCTTGCCCAAACAAGTAAAATGGAAGGACAAATTAAGAAAAAAAAAAAAAAAAAAAAAAAAAAGGCCAAACGATATAATCCTGCTTGCCCCAAACAGTAATGTAAGGACAAATAGAACATTTTTCTTACCCAACGATTGAGGCACGCAGAAAAGTATACACATAGTTTGCTACTTAGTCCAGAGAATAATGGCAAATGTTCTATGGAAAAAATAAAACTATAAAAAGAAAGCACCCAGTGCAAGTCCAAAAGCCATATATTGTTAAATATTATGTATCATTGTGTCTTTGAGGAAGAACTGCAAAGGAAGGGTATAATGGTTCTGACTTCAGTATTTCCTTGTAGCTTCCAGAGAGCATAGACTAAAAACCAGCCCATCCAGCAGGTTGAGAAGCTGGCTGACCCTCCACAACCTTTGTCCCTGCTAATTGCTGAGAACTACGAGAACTATTTCCTTCGTTAATGAGTCTTGAAGTCTGGGTACTGGCACCAGGTACAGCTGAAAAACTATCTGCTCCAAAACCCCATGACTCAAATTCAGAAGATGCCTGAGCAGCCAGCTTTTTCTGGTTTGCATTTCGGGTCCTAACAGATAGAGGACTATTGCTCTTTGAAAGAGATGACTGATGTGTCTTGGGATCCACTGCAAATGCTTGCCATGCCTTCGTCTCTGGACTTGGAGTACTCCAGTCAGACTCCCCTTGCTGCACCAATAATAAATACTATCAACATGCTTAATTATATTTTTAAACAAATACTAAAATAAATCACCAACAAAATGATACCTGAGTAGTTGTCAAAGGTTGAATTTTAGGGGAGGTTTGATACTTATTTGGTGGAGTTCCAGCAGCTACCGCCTGCTTGAGCTCCTGTATTTCTTGCCTTTGAGATCGGCAAATGGCAGATAGCTTTTCATATTTCAAAGTCATTTCTGCCTTCTCCAAGTTTGCCTGCTTCAGCTGGTCTTTAAGTCTCTCTATTTCAACATTCAATTCTTCTTCCTTTACTGATCTGTTATTGCTAACTCTAGAGTTCAGCTTATTGCTATCAAATTCAGCAACAAAAGTATTAAAGGCCTGGTCCTCAAATAAAGATGTGCTCTCAGTTTTTGATGCTTTTGGCCTCTCCATGCCACGGTCCATGTCTTTTTGGAAGAAATTTATTTCAAAGTCCTTGGAAGTGCCATCCTCAGATGTATATGACTTGCCATGGACATTCTTCCGAGTGGCATGAGTTTGGACATTTTCATCTTTTGCAGGGCTTGAATTTTTGGGTAAAGTATGATTCTCCAGTCGACTCCTATCTTGTCTTGATGCATTAGGTTCTTCATCAAATTTAGGTTTGCTCTTCTCTTCAGCAAAGAATGACTCCTTTGCATGGTGAGATGCCCAGAAGGCACCAAGCTGTCCCCCACCTACCCCTGCCCCAGATGAAGGTGGAGGCGGTGGACTTCTATGAGGCATTACATGTGACCTATGTGCAAGTTTTGAAATCCCTGTTAATTTTCAAAAAGAGAATTAAAAAAGTCAATTCTGTAATAAGAGAAACTGCCAAAAAACTTAAACTTTATCTTCCATGACATCTCCCCAGAGGGAAGAAAAAAAAAAAAAGCATCTAATAATGCGACAACGGCACCAGGTAACAGCCGCTAAAATTAATTCAAATAACTAGTTCTGAAAAAGAATCAAAGTCTCAAGTCAACTAAGATTCATTTATTCAAGGAAATGCCTTCACCTTCATGTGTGTCAGTAGACTGCATATCAGGTGGCCCATCAGGCAATGACTTCTGCAGATTAACTGGTAACTGCTCGTTAACACGAAACCATACCTGTCACCATGGGAAAAATCCCAGCATCAGTGAACAGAACGTTAGAATCTCTGCAACATACTTTGTCATGGATACAGTGATCTAAAACTAACCTAAATTCATGGAGATGAATTTCCAATCAAGCAAAGCGCTTGCCTGCGTGATGTCTGGTCTGTCATCTGGTGAAGCTTGAAGCATGTCCTTGATTAAGTCTGTCAGTGGTTTGCTATATTGAGGTGCATCTGGAATGCGATAGTTTCCATTCAATATTTGTAACTTTGATTCCCCATCAAATGCATTTTTGAAGTAGCAAATACGAAAAAGTAGACATCCAAGTGCCTGAAAAATGAAATGTCAAATCAGTTTTCACTTTTCAGTAGGAAAAAAATATTTAAATGTTTCAGAATTGCAACAGTGACAAACAGCAATCCACTTACCCATATGTCTACCTTCTCACTGATAAAATCTCTTCGTAACAGATCCCACATCTAAATCAAGCAACACAAAACAAAAGAAAGACTCTAATCAAAACAATGTTACCACTAAGTCTCAGAAATATTATTTTCAAAAGCACAGTTCTTCATTCAACCTCAGGGGCTCTATAGGCAGGTGTTGTGTATTTCCGAATGTTATCTTCTTCAATTCCCATTTCTTCAGGCTTCTCAAAACGCTTGTGGTTGGTACTGGTACTTCCAAAATCACATAACTTCCACAATCCATCAGGCCCCAGTAGAAGATTCTCAGCTTTCAAGTCCCTAAAGATTTAAAAGATGAATGAAGCTGATAATAAAATATTATCTAACATATGGGAAACAAGTTGCTCATTTTATCAAACAAGGCCATGTGAGAAGGAGAAAAAGGATTCATCCAACTAACTTGTTAAACCAATGAGAGTTTCTTAAGTTGAACCTTATCATACCATGAATACATTGATGTATCCCTATTTAACTATTCAGACACACGCAACCATTACAAACTTACAATAAATGGATACAATTGAACTATCTATCTTAACAACATAGGCAATATCAGAAGATAATAAGAAATGATGCAAAGAAGATAAGCAACCATTACCAACCATATCTATTTAGTCTATATCACCCTGCAGAAACTACTGACAAGAAGAACAACATCAATCTCTAGAAAGAGAATAAAAAAGCTCCACACTAAAATAAAAGTTTCTTTGAGAATGTGTTTAATAAGAGAGAGAAAAAAATATGTATAGATTAATGGAAAGAATGAGTTCGCACTATAAACATTGAAGTCTAATATTCAACATCTTTTACCTGTGAGCAATAGGTGGAGACTGAGAGTGCATAGCAAAAACTCCATTGCATGCATCTCTGAATATAGAAAGCACCTGTTTCTCCTCAAAATATCCTGCTCCCCTGCTCTCCAGCACACTAACCAAAGACTTCTCACAAAATTCCAGCACAAGGAGAGCTTCCTTGGTTCTCCCCATATCAAAGATGGCATCTGCATAGAGCGTTACGATATTGGGATGTCCTTTGAGTGATTTCATTACATCAATCTCCTTCAATGCCAGTTCTAGTGACTCTTCGTCGTTGCATATCATGTGTTTTAAAGCATATTGCTTTGATGCATGCATGGCATCCCGAGCCAAGTAAACACAGGAAAAGCCTCCTTCAGCAATGACATTTCGGACATGAATCTTGAGATTGCCGACATCCAGAGAGCGACCTTCAAGCCCTGCCGGTTCCTTTTGTGAAAACGGTTTGAACCTCCACATGGTTGGTACAAAGAAGACCAGAAAATCACTGCATATACAATGGAAAGAAATGAAATTGACAATTATGCACGTGAAGGAAGACAGCGCACAATCCCAAAATTAAATCCATAATTAGGCTCATATAAAACAATCTAGCTTCATTTCTGGCATGAACCATGTCACATTTTTGTTACACAAAAAGTCAGGATCAATCAAAATAAGAAAATGAAGTATGCAGCTGGACAGTCACATCCCGCATAACTTTGTAGCATCTTATACACAAGGTCCATAACCTGCTCAAGATCAATTGCTCTATGGAGTTTAATGACACTGGGGCAAAAAAAGAATTGCATAATCCAATTCCATTGAGTTGGTTTTAGCACAAGAATTTAGTTCAGGGAAATAAAAAAAGCGCGCGTGGGAATACATTTCAGGGTTATTCAAATACATCACCATTCATTCAATAATTTTAATAGCACCTACTTAGAGATTTCAAGGCATCTAAGCATTGAAAGCTAAATACAAAGCATGCAGACAAACCATTCATATAAAACCTTTGAACACCGTTAAACAAGATCCAACCTTTTCATTCTTAGGTCCAGCATAAGCTCTAACACTACTAAAAAATAGGCTGTTAACAATTAATTCATTCAGATCAATAATCAATCAAGGAACAGAACGACAAGCTAAAGCCTTTCACATTATAAAAATGAGCTAACATGAAATCTAGATCTACTATTTCCTAATTCAAGATCCATTATTCAATTCTCAAGAATCCCAAAACAACAATTATTCCAACAGGATCCACCTCACAATCCAATCACGAATCAAAAATTTTTTACATTCTCCTAGAAATGAAGAAAACAACTAACTAACTAAGCAAAATAATAATAATAATTAAACACTAACCAAAAAAAAAAAAGTACCTGGTAGAATCTGATTGCTTCGGGAGAGCTAAAGGAGAAAAAGAAAGATAAAGCTTCCACTATAAGCTAATGAGAATCTAAAAAGAATACGCCATTGAAGCTCAACTCTCTCAGGTTAAAGGACAGATCTGAATCGTTTACGCGTTAGATCTCAAAAACCATACAAAGAGCGGCAAATGAGAAGCTAAGAGAACCGAGAAAGTTATATATGTATAGAGAAAGAGGAAGAGAGAGAGAAATGGTAAGTGGTGAATTTGTGAGAGGTGAAGGAATTAGAGACTTGTTACGTGACCGTGACGTACCCGCTACAGAGAAACAGATTTGCTAAAGAGACAGGAGAAGGTTTTAATTGTTTTCTTAAAGTTTACTCTCACTGGCTTACATCTGGAGGACGCTTGTCTTATTAGTACTACTATTATGGATTTGCTAGTTATTATTATTATTATTATTATTATTATTATTATTATAATACTAATTATGTAATACTGACTAATACACCACTGCCACTACTACTAGTACATTATTAGGGATTAGCATTATTTATTGTTTGTTATGTTTTGCTAGTGATGGATGATTCAATATGGTCAAGCCTTTTGAATAAAATTGAATTTTCAATTAGAAATGGCAAAGTACAACAATTAAATTAATATGAATAATATATATATATATAGTGCATTATATGCTTTAAAAACTAAAACTCAACGTAACTGAGGGGTTAAGAGATTCGGGATTAAGAAATTCATCAAGTTGTGGATTCGAGCCCCTTTCATCGTAAAATTTCTATGAATTAATTTATGTTTTTTGAAGTGAACGAAAAATAATCGGGTCTGGATAGAAAAATTCACATATTTTTTTTACAAGTAACTCTCACCTTTTTTAAATATATATGAAATTAATTTTATTTTATTAGAACCCTCGTAAAAAATAAAAAAGAGCAACACATTTATAAATAATTTAAGTTTGCTGTAGCCTTGAAGAAGGAAAATCCCAATACTAATGGGTCATTGTCAAGTTTGTTGTGAAAGCAACCAAATATGATATGGAGAAACATTTTTTTTTTTTTTTAACTCTTGTGTCTAGGGGTCAACATTCTGTTTAATCAATCAAACCGAATATATACTATATTGATTGGAACCGGATTCAATGCTACCAAAGTTAGTTTGGTATCAATCGAATCGAATCAAATCAATTTGAATTTAGTTATGTTATTCTCAACAAAATCAAATCTTTTGAGCATATGATTGGTTAGCTATAAATGCCTAAATTTGAAACCGAAAGCCATTCGTTAATCATTATTCAAACCGAACAATAACCAATGTTTAAAAACTAATCAATAACCAATGTTTAAAAACTAATCGAACTAAATCGAAATGGTTTGATTATTTGATCCAGACCAAATATTGCTAGCCCCTAATTGTCTCATTCTCCGTCTATGTTGTAGAAATGGTCCTTTTTTTTAGAAGATAGAAATGCTCAATTTTGGTTATTAAATTTTCATAAAATATCTAATTTACTAAAAAAAAAAAAACTTTAAAGTTTATGACCAATTTATCCATTTTTTGTAAAAAATAATAAATTATTTGATTATCCGCTTTTAAAATATTTTAAAAACTTAAATTTATTTAAAATTTCCACAAACAAAGAAAAAAAAATATATTCAACCATTTGTTGAAGATGGAGAGCAAACACTTAATTTTTATATATTTTTAGTCTTTTTAAGGTTTTGTATTTTTTAAATTTCTTATTATTTAAAAAATAAAAAATAAAAAATAATTTAATTTTATAAAAAAGATAAATTAATCATATGTATAAATTTTATATTTTAAATTAAATATAGAATAAAAATCATTCACAAAAAGTAAATAAATTAAAAAAAAGAAAGCAAAAAACGGTGTGTTTTGCGCTTTGAAAAAGGAACAAAGAGGTCTAAACCCTAATGCACTTCAAATCATTAAACCCCAAATATCTCTACCTCTCTCCTTCTCTAATGGAGCAGCAGCGAAAGAACCAATTGTTACCGCTAAACTTAAACCAGAAGGAGAAGCAACAAACAGTATGCGAACAATGCAAAGAGAACCCATCGAACTACAAATGCCCAGGCTGCTCTCTTCGCTCCTGCAGCCTCCCTTGTGTCAAAGCTCACAAGGAACGCACTGGCTGTTCGGGCAAGCGGAATCAGACCCAATTCGTCCCTCTATCTCAGTTCAATGATAATCTGTTATTATCTGGTATTCTTCTCTTCATCAAATATGATTTTTTTTCTCTCTCTATGAATTAATCTGATGCTTGTCAAGCATTTTCTTTTATCTTTAGCTTGTTTTTCTTCAAATTGTGAATTCTCTCTACATAAATCAGAGGCAGATAAGTGTTGGCTGAAGGTGTTTTTGTGTATGGATTGTAGGTTATTGGTTTTGAAAGAGCTTTCTGTTTGTTAAAGGAAGGATTTTTTTAAAAAATTATTTAGTTGATTTATGGTTTATAATTATATTTTCCTAAATGAAGTTTTGCTGACAAGTTGATGCTATTTCTGCGCTTTCGTGAAATTTTCAAATAGATTACAATTTGCTGGAGGAAATGAAGAGGGTTGCTGAATCTGCTCAAAGAATGAGAACAAAATTGTGTGCATATCCTCATTTTAAGTTACCAGCTCATCTTCGAAGCCTTAGGGGTGCTGCTGCAGGCCGCAAAACAAAGCTTCTTTTTCTCCCAAGTGGAATGTCAAAGAGGGAGAAAAATCAATCTCGATACAACCAAAGGTTATCATCAATTTTGTTAAAAGCGGGCATATGTTTAAATGTGGTATTAATGAATTTTATAATCTTTTAACACTTCTGATGTATCAAGTTTTTTGAGAATATTGATAAGTTTCCTTGGTATCTCATGCTTATGCTTGCCTCTGGTATAAATTAGCATTGTCGTAAATTCTTATTATTTGGTTGATATCATATTATAAAGCTTTTCCCTCTGTTGTTTCTTTTAGTATTATCTAAATATTCAAATAAATAGCTGCTTACCACCATTCCTGTTATTTAACTTTACTTGTTGTAAAGGTGGTTTTTAAAATTAGTACTAAGATGGTTTTTTAAATTAGTTTTCGAATATGCAGTAATACCTGTTTCTTCATTGTTTTGTTTCAGGAAGAAATTTATATCTTGGACAATTGAGTGGCGATTTCACGCTACAGCTGTTGTTTTACTTGACCATGGGTAAAGTTTTTTACTGTCTGTTGTTATTACTTTTCGGTAATCTCTTGGTATTTGTAACCAAGGTAGCTAATCTGCCCAAGAACTGTGGTGTAATTTTTGCTGCAGAGTACATGAAGACAGAAACCTTTGCTCTATAATTGAGAAGCATCTAAAACCTGGGCCTTGGAGTAATCAGTTAACGCAATTCTCTGAGGAGCATCTGGAATCTCTCAAATTTTTTATCCGTAAATATCCAAAGGTATATATATATATTCATACTACTTCCAGGACCTATATGCAAGAACTAAACTCATGTTTTACATTTGATAGTTCACTCAACCAAACTGATTATACATTCAAACAAATTGGGTTTAATAATTTTTCTCTATTGTGTCCATTCGGGGACAAGCATTTTTTGAGCTGTAGTGATAGTGATACTAAGTATCGTTTTGTTTAATCACAGGGACTAATGTTTTTAGTTCAACTTTTTAACCAAACCAATCTTTTACTGCTTACATTCATTTTGCTTTAAGGATTTAATTTTTATGTTTTTGTTTTATACTGAATAGTTAAATTTAAGTTTTTGTTTTGTTTCAGGGACCCAAGTCACTCTTTCATGAGGTGGACATAAAGGCCCCATTGAGGCAACAATTAGCAAAAGTAGTTATTTTGGAGTACCCTGTTATTCATGTTTTTCTCCCTTCACACAAAATTGATTTTGAAGTTGTCAAAGTTGTGGATCTTGTCAGTCAGAGACCTGACAATAAGAATTCTGTTCACAATGATCAATCAATCCCAAAAGGTGTTGTCTTCAAGGAAGAGGAAATAGAAGAACATCATGGCTCTTCAGATCCTCAGGTTTATGATTTCATGAAGAATATAACTTTGAGTCCGCCGCATGAAATCCCTCATCATAATGTGTCTGAGAAAGCATTTGATGGCTCGTCTAATGGCTCCATATTGGCGAGAGGGACAACAGGCAATGATTCACATTCCAGCTCCAAGAGCATAGAACTAGGAATTTTTGATATGGACTTCGATTTCGACCCAGGCTTGATAGATGCATACCCAGATCTCATTGGGGAAGTCAATCCCGATTACTTTCTTTGTTTGGACAGTGAATTTCTCAAGGAAGAGAAGATAGAGGAAAGCAAAGATTTCCCAAGTTCACAGGGAATTTTATCACTGCAGGAGGAAGTAGAAGAGGGGGAAATTGTGGAGTAATTGATACTCTGTATCTGTGTCGCAATTTTATTGATGTACCTTAAAGGAGCAGCTCCTTTGAAGTGTTTTTCGACTCTAGGTTCGGTTCTTCAATCCTTTAATATTAAGGTTGCGGAGCAGAGTTCATGTCTGATTGTGAGGCACACATGCATGCCTGCATATGAAGCTTATGGATGCAATCTGAAATGTACATTTGGACTGCCACATCTAATTACATTGGAACATATGGTTTTGATATTGGCAGTCTGTTTTCATGCTTCCACCTTTGGAAACTGCCTGCCTTCTTAATATGCTAGAGCTACATAGCTGGTGAAACTAAGATGTTGGTCATCTTTCGTCTCCAGATGTTCAATGGTTTAACTATTTTATTCACTTCAGTTGCAAAATTCCATGGTAGAAAGCACTTGGTTGTCATTCAAAATATCTTACTCTGTATTTTTGAGCCATGATATATACGTATACTGATCAGTTGATATATGGTGCTTGTAAATTGAGTGCTAAATATTAATATAATTTTAGAATTTTATTTCAGTGCCAAACTTTCAATAAATTTACTATTTTACTACGTAGTTTACGATTTATAATAATAATAATAATAATAATAGGAATTATAAAAGCCTACAAGCAAAACTACGTCGATTTAGCTTAGGGTTGCATTTTCAACAATACAGAGAAAATAAAATTCCTCTTAAACAACAGCTTACTGCGCCTTCTACTATCCATTTGCAATTCTCCTTCTGCCATTCCCAGTCTTGTTCTTTCTATACTTTCACGTCGCTTCCGTGCACGTCGACTCGGCAGGAGTCTTGCTCTTCAACCGTAGTGCCACTGCCAGGTTCCTCCATTTCCATTCTCGATTTTATTTATTTATTTTATTTTCTTTTTCGCCATAAGATGTCTTCGTTTCTTTACGTGCAGGTTTAAAATGGGTTACTTTGTTATTCAAAGATTCCTGTTAAATGAATGAAGCTAATTAATTTTTTGAAAATGTGTATGTATTAAAAGAGAAAAAAGAGAAAGGAAATTAGATATTTTGTGTGAGAAACAAGTCAATTTGGAACTCATAATAACTGTAATACCAACAGATGGATATTTTGAGAAGTAGGCTAGCTAAGGCTGTCAAAATCCTGTTGGTTTTATATGACAACTAACTAAATATTATTGTATTTATTTTGATTTAATAAAATTATTACAGAGAAATGAATTCCAAGTTCCCACTACTGATTACTGAATTGAAATATGCAGAGGATGCAAATGCTAAAATCTCTGTATTACTTTTCCAATTAGGGTTTCTCTGCTCTTCCCTGTTATTTACTCTCTTTACTGAGCTTTCATTCTCTGCAAAGAGAGATTGAAAGCAATCATTTCGAAAATGGAGTCAAACGGAACTGACGTTGCTCAAATCCTCGACGAGATTAAAACATTGAAGGCAACGAAGACTGACATAGAAAATAGAATTGCGGCTCTCGAAGCTAAGCTCCGTCACTTGAATCTCCCCGACGACACCGTCTTTTCAAACGATTCTTCTCTTCCAGTTTCCATCGTCGATTCTGGTTTCGGCCACGGTTTATCGTCTGATACGATTTACCGTTACAGTCGTCATCTCTTACTCCCTTCCTTTGGAGTTCAAGGTTCTCTCTCTCTCTCTCTCTCTCCTCCATTTCCAAATCGTCGATTCTGGGTTTTCGGCCAACGGTTTTTATCGTCTGATACGATTACCGTACAGTCGTCATCCTCTTACTCCCTCCTTTGGAGTTCAAAAGAGTTCTCTCTCTCCTCTCATCTCTCTCTCTCCCTATATAATATATATATATATTATATATTATATAATTGGATATTTAAACTTTTGATCGGTGGGTAATCCTTTTTGTATATATATAATTGGATATTTAACTTTATGATCGGTGGTAATTCCTTTTGTTTGTTGAATTATAGCGCAGTCAAATCTGTTAAAGTCTTCTATTTTAGTTGTTGGAGCTGGAGGGTTGGGGTCGCCTGCTCTGTTATATCTTGCAGCTAGTGGTGTTGGTAAGGCATGCTTAGATGCTTTTCTTCAGGCCTAATGTTTGTTCTTGGTTTTGAAATAAGTTCTCTAGCAATAATGTTGGAGTAATACAATGTTTTTCTTATAGCACATATTGATTTAATAGAATTACAAATGCATAATTTTAAATGCAATGCATTTTTTATTTCTTTTCTTTAATTTCAACTGTCTTATGCTTTTCTTATAGAACATCTTGATTCAATAGAATTACAAATGCATAATTTTAGATACAATGTATTTTCAATTTTCTTGTCTTAATTTTCTCTCTCTTCATATGCATTCATAATAATGATAGAAATTTATTTATTTTTATGTATTTCTGTAATTAAAAAACTTGAAAGGAACATTAACAAAAGCATGAAAGGATGAAGAATATGTACTGTGCACTAAAGTGAAGAAGAAAATGCTTCAATTTTAGCACTTTTTGTAATTCTATTGTCCCGGAGTTTTAATTGAGATAATCATATAGACAATAGCTTTTGATAAATAACTCAAAATGTGCTTGTGCAACCAATACATCAATGTAAGTTGTTTGTGGGTTGAATACTAGATAATTAAATATGCTAAGTTTTCATTGTACTTGAAATATTCCCTACTTTTCGGGAATTCCCCTTTTCTTTTTCTTTTTTTTCCCCTAAAATTTTTGGACTTACCTTGCAGGTCGGTTGGGTATTGTTGACCATGATGTTGTTGAGTTAAATAATATGCACAGGCAGGTATAAAGTTGGAACCGTGAACATTGAAAAATCATCGTTACTACTATTATAGTTGTATTCTAGTATTCTATAATTGTAATGTTTTTATGCATGTTTTACCTTTTTTCTATTTGTCTGTCCACAATAAGAACAATAAAAGGGCTACTAAGACTGAGAGTTAGGTTTTATCTTGTGTGCAACTTTGTCTTTTGTTGTTGAACCATCATCTTGGAGTCTTTGAGTACTTGTATTTGCATGCATTTTTCTTTATGTTTTGTTCTTCTCAATTACATCTTTTAATTGTGGCTCAGGCTCTAATTGTAACTAACTTGTATTGTTATTTTCTGTACTCCAGGTTATACATACTGAGCCATTTATTGGTCAGCCCAAAGTGAAATCTGCTGCTGCTGCCTGTCGCTCGTATGTGTACTTCCAAATCATTCATCTTTTGTTCTTAAAATATTTGATCTCCAGCTGCATGTCAAATATCAGATCCCTCATTAATTTTGCATTAAGAACCTATGGAGTAATAACTTTCAAGTTGAAGTATTAGATATTATATGCTGTAAACGATGAACTCAATCATTCTTGTCACCGCTGTGAATCTTAGAAGTTCCTATTCTAATTGTATGGTTTTCTTCTGTTTAATCCGTATATTTGTGTTCAGGATCAACTCCACCATTCAGATTGTGGAGCACCAAGAAGCTTTACGCACACACAATGCCTTGGAAATATTTAGCCAGTATCCTTAAAATAATGAATCTGTGTTATGTTTTCTTTTCTCTTTCTATCCATGCTTTACATTTTATTTTCCTCTCTTTTTTCCTTTTTAACTGTCAGGACAACTTTTGTGGTCTCCATAACTACCAACTTTTTAGATATGACGTAATAGTAGATGCAACAGATAATGCCCCAAGCCGTTACATGATCAGTGATTGTTGTGTGGTGTTGGGAAAGGTATTAGCAACTTAAAGTGCTTGTTATAAACTTATAATGATTTTGCAAATACTGTCAGAAAGTGTTGGGGTAGTCTTCCACATGTATGTAATTAGGAATAATTTGGACTTGATTCATGTAATTTGCAGCTTTTGTTGGTGTTACTTTCTTTAATTCCCTTAAATCTAAATGGATTCAATAATCATGTAAACTGTGTGGAGTCCAAGTGATAGTTACTCTTATTAAAGCTGATGGTCTGCTTTTGTCTATAAATGGTCCCAATTTCTTTTCATATAAACTGAGTGAGTTGCATGATATTCAATCGTCAGTGCTAATCCTTTTTTCTTTTTTTTTTATTTTTTATTTTTTTTATCTTTCAACATTAATCACTTCCTGCTTGTCTACATGCAGCCTCTTGTTTCTGGTGCTGCATTGGGATTAGAAGGGCAGGTATCCTCCTATTGTTGTCATATCAAATAAGAAATCACATGCACATTCCTCTGTATCTTAATATGCCTTGAAAACGCTGGATCTGACTCTATCAAATATATATCCTAGCTCACAGTTTATAATTACAAAGGAGGTCCATGCTATCGATGCCTTTTTCCAACCCCACCTCCTACAACAGCATGCCAAAGATGTGCTGATAGTGGAGTTTTAGGAGTTGGTATGTTACACAAATCATGAACATAAGTTTTGTAGAAATTTTAATTTTGATTGCTGTCCAGGCTTTGCATAGGACATTGCTTTTGTTTATGTTAGAGATCTATGAACTTTTAATTACTGTCTTGTTTACTGATATGCTTTATGATATTCTGCTGAACATAAGCATACTCTGCTACATGGTTACTTTTCTTATCGATTAATTTATTTTGCAGTTCCTGGTATCATTGGTTGTCTTCAAGCACTTGAAGCCATAAAAATTGCTAGTGACGTTGGTGAACCTCTATCAGGACGGATGCTTCTATTTGATGCATTGTCGGCACGAATTCGCATTGTTTGTTCCATCTTTGATTTGTTTAATGTTTTTATCTGTCTTTAGTTGTGTTTCAAGCTTATACGGGATTGTTGTATTATTGGTCAGGTCAAGATAAGAGGCAGGTCATTGAATTGTGAAGTTTGTGGAGAAAATGCAGCATTTAATGAAAAGCAATTTAGAGATTTTGATTATGAGAAGTTTACTCAGTCTCCATTGTCCACGGTACTATTGCATTCTTAACTTGTCTTTTTTTTCAAAATGCAACTGTGTTTTGATTGGACTGGGATTTGGATCGATTTGTTCCATTCCCAAAAGAAAGGCAAAGTGAGACTTTGCTGATTTGTCTTCATATACGTGTGTTTTTTAGATAAATTCAGTACCTTCATTCACAGTTGTTTTAAGATTTCAAGGTGAACATAGAGTCTCTGATTTCACAACTTCTATTTGGCGTGCAGGCTCCGCCAAAGTTGAACCTGCTTTCAGCAGGCTCCAGAATAACCTGTAAAGACTTCAATGAGAAAGTTGTTAAAGGGGAAGCGCACGTGTTGGTAGATGTACGCCCTGCCCACCATTTCAAGATTGTTGCTCTTCCCAATGCCTTGAACATTCCATTAACAAGTTTGGAGGCTAGGTTGCCTGAAATCTCATCCGCATTGAAGGAAGCAGGAGGCTGCAGAGGTACTGAATCAGAATCAGGCGTGAGCCTATACATAGTATGTAGAAGAGGGAATGATTCGCAGAGGGCCGTTCAAATGTTACACAGCAAGGGCTTTACTTCAGCTAAAGATATCATTGGAGGCTTGGAGGCCTGGTCCCATGATGTAGATCCAAAATTCCCTACCTATTAGAAGTTAAATGGTACTTAGTACTTCACATTCCTGTAATATTACTTAAAAGGGATTATTTGCTTGCAAGCTGTTCTCTATTTCGAAACATCTCCATTAGAGTAGAGGTAGCCCTCCTCAAATTCTTGTGGGACCGATCAAACCGGATATATATATTCGAATTTTGTGGGACCGAGCAGATCACATCGGGTTGGATATATATTTATCTATATATTTAGATATATTGTTGGAATTGGAAGATGCTTGAAGCAACAAGTTATCTATATTTTTATTAAAAAGACTTTGACATATCGATACAAAGTTATCTTTGACACAACAATATACACACACGTATTTGAATCTATCACGTGTCACATCAATTTATTTTATAACTAATTTTTTTATTTAGATGGAAGCAAAAGCTTAGAAAATCTAGCAAACAATTAGAGAGTTGATAATATTAAAAAAATTTTATTTGAAGGTAAAATTATAATACTACAAAATAAATTTTGGGTCTTTCACTTAAAATGTGAATGTCATAAAGGCTTCAACTTAGTTGTCTGATGGATAGGTTTCACCAAACAATTTGGCTAATAATAAATGCTGATTCCATTATTTATAAATAAGAATTAGTTATGATAACATCATACATAAAATTCCAACTTCATAAATATCTTTTAATCTTGGAAGATGCTTTAAGCAACAAATTTTCTATTTTTTTAGAAGCTGATTTACTATTTAATCCTTAAATTTTAATTGAAATTATCATAATATTCCTATTATTTGAAAAAAATCATTAATTTATACTTAAAATTTTATCAATAAAGTATTAATTAAAATAATAAGTAATTTCAATTTCCATAAAGATGGAAACACAGATTCGATTCACAAAAAAGACAAAAAAACATATTCCAAAAGAATTACAATTTTGGAAGACTCACTAAAAAAGGCACCAGTTTAATTCTCAAAAAGCATAATCACCTAAAAGGCCAAAAAAAAAAAAAAAAAAAAAAAATCACTAAAAAGAAGGCACCAGTTTATTCTCAAAAATAAAAGCATAATTCACCTAAAAGGCCAAAAAAAAAAAAAAAAAAAAAAAAAAAAAAAAAAAAAAAAAAAAAAAATACTCCACGGAAATCACTCACTCAAAATGGCAAAAATCATGGCCTAAAGAAATTACATCTTCTTGAAAAAGAAAATTAATCTTCTTGAAATATTTAGCCCATGTGTCTAAACTGTCTGGTAAATATTTTGGCCAATAATTCCAAGGGACCACCTTTTCATTGGAACTAATCATGTGGGACCACTATTCTAAGTTTTTTTAATCATGGCTATTACAATTATATTACCGAAATTACCCTTGGAAACTTGCTTTATCATCCTCCAATAATATTGGCAATCAAAGGGTGAAACTGAAAGTAATGCGAAGTGGGGTTTAGAGTTCAGAGACTGATTGATGGTGAAAACTAACTAAAAATGAAGATTACAGGCTCTCTATTCATATTTCTCATTTCTCTGGTTTCATCAGTGGTCTGCAGTGAAGATTCTACGGAGAGTTTGGCTTATGGTCACCATCACCGGAACAGTTTTCCGGCTGGATTTATATTTGGGACTGCATCATCTGCTTACCAGGTTTGTGCTTGGTCTCCTGTCCTGCTTGTTTATGGGCAAGTTGAATAATGTTGTTGTGATTAATGTATTTCTGATTCTTCAGATTGAAGGTGCAGCAAATGAAGATGGTAGAGGACCAAGTATATGGGACACCTTCAGCCAAAAATATCCTGGTTCCTCTCTCTATCTCTCCTTTTCTCATCATATGTAATTTGTACATTCCAAATTTATTATATTGTATCAAAATCAAAATTACAGATTGAATTGAAGTCTAAGAGTTAACAAATAATACCTTCCTAGTTTCAAGAATAAATGTCCATGTTTTTTCCCCTAATATTTATCAGAAAAGAAAGAAAATTAGAAAAGATGAATCTTACTGCCTGCTTGGTAGGAGAGAATAGCTCAAGAAAGAAAGAGAGGGGAAAGAAAGGGGGTGTCTGGAAATTATCATTCTACCCTTTGGGAACCTTGAAGACAGGCAGAGGCTGGTTAAAGGGTTTAAAAGAGTGGGCCCCACAAAAACTGTTTCAGTGCAAATTGAAGAGAAACCCAGGGGAAGCATGAATTTTCAGTGCTGTGGCCAAGATTAGGAAAGCAAATATCCTATGTCACCAATCAGTATTCATTTCCCCACCTCACATTTTTTTGTCTTTTTTTCCCCCAAAACAAAGCATTAGGCTTTGAGCCGTATATGGTGTAATTGTATATTAACTAAGCTTTGAAGCATCATATTCTCCTAATGGAATAACATAAAACTGTACTTTGACAATAGTTTTGGTTGGTTCTGTAGAGAAGATAAAGGACCACAGTAATGGAAACATTGCCGTCGATTCATATCATAGGTACAAGGTAAATATCCTTTCACATGCACATTTTGTTCCTACTTTTATATGTCAATATGTTGCTAGTATCACTACTCACGCCTACCTTGCAAGTCTTTTTTTGGGAATTTTTAATAGTGTGTTCAATCACTTTATTTTTGCTTGCATAAAGTGATGATTTTTTTGTATGGTGTGAGGACTCCAGGAAGATGTGGCTATAATGAAGTCCCTGGGTTTTGATGCTTACAGATTTTCCATTTCATGGTCTAGACTATTACCTCGTGAGTATTCACTACCAAGGTTTAAAGGTTTTATGGATAAAGGTTTAAACTTTAAAGGTATTCATATTTTAAATTCTATATATAGGTGGTCACCTTAATGGAGGAGTAAATCAAGCAGGCATTAATTACTACAATAATCTGATCAACGAACTCCTATTGAATGGTCGGTATTCAGAATTGGACATTTTGCTCTTGTATAAAACATTGTACTCTTGTTCTTTACATCTCTAATAAGTGAAAATAAGTGAATGTATTAGTTTATTTTGATGTGATTTAAATCAATAGTTGCTGCTATATCATGAAGGAATCCAACCTTTTGTGACTTTATACCACTGGGATCTTCCACAAGCCCTTGAAGATGAATATGGTGGTTTTTTAAGTGCCAAAATCATGTAAGTACTTGATTAATGGTCATCATCTTATGGTTGTTTATGTACAATTAAAGCTTAATGCTAATTGTTTGTTCAATTAAATTCCATATGCAGCAAAGATTTTCATGACTATGCGGAGTTATGCTTCAGCAAGTTTGGTGATAGAGTAAAGCACTGGATTACCTTGAATGAGCCACTTGTCTCTGCAGATGATGGGCATGCACGTGGCATAAAAGCACCAGGCAGGTGTTCAAAGTGGTTATCTCGAAACTGCACTGGTGGTGATTCAAGTACTGAACCATATATAGTAGGCCATTACCAACTTCTTGCTCATGCTGCTGCAGTTAAAGTTTACAGGGACAAATATCAGGTTCAGTTTTTTTTTTTCCCTCTACAGTTAAAAAAATAGAAAATTTTTTCCAATAGGTAATTTTATGAGCCTGCACCTCTTATATATATACATAGATGTCTCAAATGGGTCAAATTGGAATTACTTTAAACTGTGCCTGGATTGTACCCATGACTGAGTCAAGTCAAGACTCTAGTGCAGCATCTCGAGGCATCGCTTTCCAGTATGATTGGTAAGCATATACATCTTAGTCAGTTTTCTAAAAAAAAAAAAGAAAGTATGTCTTCTTTTCCTTTTACATCTGATTGAGTAACCACTGTTTTATTAGTGTTTTACGAATGAACTAGTCCAAATTAAATGTTCACTGGAAATCTATATGGAGAATATGCCTAATCCTAAAATGTTTCATTTATGATGATTTTTGAAGGTTTATGGAACCACTGAAGTCTGGCTCGTATCCAGTTGATATGGTAACTCATGTGGGAAAAAGATTACCTCAATTTTCTGCAGAGCAATCCTTGATGGTTAAAGGATCTTTTGATTTCATTGGCCTAAATTATTATACTTCAAAATATGCAACTGATGTTCCTTGCAAAAGTGAAAACTTAAGCTTTTCCACGGACTCTTGTGTTAAGATTACAAGTAAGCTCCTTTAGTGTTCTCAGTTCCTTTTCATTATAAGAAACCCCTACTTTTTTGGTGCTTCTAACAGATAGTAATTTGTCGCATCAGCTGAGCGAAATGGGATTCCTATTGGTCCAAAGGTAAGAATATAATTTAATTTGAACACATTGTCTAACAAAACAAAAATTTGAACCATTTGACTACTGGCCAAATTATATTTCATAATATAATCAACATAATTGAACTTGCAGACGGCATCAGATTGGCTTTATGTTTATCCTAGAGGAATCCAAGAACTTTTGCTCTACACCAAGTACAAGTTTAACAATCCAGCCATTTATATAACTGAAAATGGTAATTTGAATCAATCAGCCATTCAGGATGCCTATTTTATAAGGGAACTAATTTTTAGACTTGCTAGTTAATTTATAATCATCATAATACTTTTTGCAGGAGTTAGTGAGCTTGACACTGGTTCTTTATTGCTTGATGATGACATAAGAGTTGATTACTATAATGCTCATTTTTCATTCATAAAAAAGGCAATCATGTGAGCGATCGATATGCAGTTAATGCAATAATTTCTCAATCTCATTGTGCAATGACTAAGGATAAAGTTATATGTCTGGATTTGAACAGGAATGGTGTCAATGTGAAGGGATTTTTTGCATGGTCACTGGTAGACAATTTTGAATGGGATGATGGTTACAAAATTCGTTTTGGAATCATCTACATAGACTATACAGACAGATTGAAGAGGCACCCGAAAAAATCAGCCTTGTGGTTCAAGGAATTTCTTCATTTCGGGAATCAGACTCGACTAAAGAGACAAGATCTTGCAGTTTATTAATTAGATTGAAGAAAGAGGAAGTATGTTTTTCTGGAACTGAAAATTGTATCAAACTAAGTAAAAATATATCAACTTTCAGGACAAGTGTTCTTGCAAGTGAAGTAGCCTAAGCACATGTCTAAACAGGCAAAGTCAGTGTTTTAATAGGATCTTTTATCCATTTTCCATCGCAACCATTCATCGAATGAAATAGAATGAAATTACACAGAAATTACTAGATTAATATATAATTAAAGTGTATTATGTTGTTCGTGTGGTTCTACAATATTCAGTATCTCATTGTTTTACTGGCCTTGTCTGCTCTTTCCTACCGGTTGAAGTTGCAGCAGCAACAGGGTTGCCCCTCTTCTCAGCAGTTGGTCTCACAATCTCAGGGTACACAATCCTTTCATAGTCATTGACTCTGTTCGCATATCTTAAGTACAAAGCCACCACTAGACCAATAACCTGGAAAAAGACAAATATTTTTTTGAATATACTGCAAGAAATGTATTATAAATCTAATTTTCTTGATTTATTGTTACCTTTAGAGCAAGTGCTGCAATAATAACCCATCTGATGATTTTCCAATTCAGAGTGAAAAAGCGGTAGGTAGAGTTGAAGCTTCCACTTCTATCATTTGGCATATCCTGTGACATTGTACATAATATAACTATTCAATTAATTGGTCTATGAAAAAATTCAAATAGTTAAAAGAACAAAAAATGAAATTGTACCTTTTGCCGGTTGTGATTGAAGAACATGAAAGCAGCAGCTACTAGTTGTGCAATAAAGAGTAGAACCAAGAGTACAGAGTACTACTGACTGCTAAGAAATTGTTCACTTCATTGATAATAAGATAAAAACTTAAATAAAAAGATTGATATATATAGATCATAAGAATAGGATACAGTACACAGACAACAAGAGCTCCTTGTTGCAGCTCCTACGCATCCGAAACAGGAAATGACAATGAGGGATGCTCCAATTACCAGTAAAAGGTAAATAAACCTGCAAATTATTACTTTAGAAAATTAGTACTAACTATAATTAGACCTTCATTGTCTAATATTTATGTTGTACAGAAATGGAAATGAAAAAACGTGGAAATACGGAAACAATACAGGGAAACGACACTTCAAATATAATTTTACATGGAAAAGTGATATTTTAACCATGAACATGGATAAAAAACTTGTCCGCAATGCGAAACGCCAACGACTGGGAGTTTCCGTGCATCATAGTCTAATATAATGTGTAGTAGATAAACTTACCAAGCCACGGGAAGCCTATTTGAAAGCCAGCTAGATGCTTCAATAGCTAGTAGTGCTCTAGGTAAAGCTATCTGCTCATACTTCTTACTGTTATTATGAGAATGGCTCTCACGATCATTTTTCCAGTTGACCAAACAAAATATTCCATAAAACTCAATGGCTAGACCGATTAGAATGAAAATGAAGTTGTTTAATTTCAGCAGGAATTCTATAATAGATAATCTCTTTGCCATTTTGAAAGACAATTTCAAGAGAATCTGTCTAATAAACTCTGCATGAACAATATTTTGTTTCTTCAATCAGTAGCTATTCCTGTAGCCATTATCTCGCTCTACGAAGCTTCGGGGAGAGAAGGAAGAGACAAGAACGAGGAAGAGTGGTAGTTAAAGATTTGTCAAGTACAGTATTTATATCCTACCAACCATAATTATCCAATAAGAAACACATTGCCAATGTCAAATTTATAAATTCCTGAGGTGTACAGCTAGCTGTTCATTTCTTGTAGTCCTAAATATATATATATATAGGTTCCATGAATTTAAGCTGGCAAAAGAAGGATTCTTTCTTTCCATTTATATATATATATATATATATATATAGGTTCCATGAATTTAAAGAACGGTTTATACCTTCTCCTTATTTTGTCATTTTAGTTTCCATCATTAAAATTTGATGATTATCTGATAGTTTAATGCTAGTTCAAAATAATTTCAGCAAATATTCACTATGTACCCTTTTTGCATTAGTTAAAAAAAAAAAAAAAAACTAGTTCAAATAATTTCCGCAAATAGTTCAAACTATTGTCCCTTTTTGGCAATTAGTTAAAAAAATAACAAAAAAACCAAAATAGGACCAATGTTTATGGTTTCGTGATAACTCTAAAGAGTTACATCAAACGCTATGTTTTTGCCGAACACAGCTCAAGGAGTGAACTAATTGTGATGCATGAATGTTACGAGATCAGCTTCTGAATTGGCTACCACATCGTATCAAAGTGGAATTTCACTATTCTCAGTTAAAAAAAAAAAAAAAAACAAAATAGGAACCAAATGTTATTTGTATAACTTCTAAAAGTTACATCAAACGCTATGTTGCCGAACACAGCTCAAGGGAGTAATTAATTGTGAATGCATATGTTACAGACAGCTTTGAATTGGCTACACATCTATCCAAAGGGAATTTACTATCTCATGCTCCATGCAAGGGATAAATACAAAAATCCACCCATTTTCATAACAGAAAATGGTAAGTAATTAACTAATTAATATACAAATTCTTTTTTTTTTTTAGATGGAAATTAGCAAGCATTAACATAGCTGAAACTGATCATATATATAATTTTCCAGGTCTTGCTGATATAAATAATGCTTCATTGCCAATAAAAGAAGCTCTCAAGGATGGGTTGAAGATAAAATACTTCCATTCCCATTTGACATATCTCCTAAAGGCAATCAAGTGAGAGCTTTACTTAATTATTGTATTATATCGTAATTAGTTAATTAGTGAAATTAATTAATATTTTGGGACGCAGGGAGGGAGCTAATGTGAAGGGATATTATGCATGGTCATTCATGGATGATTTCGAGTGGGATGCTGGATTTACGATTCGATTTGGCATGATTTATGTTGATTTCAAGAACAATTTGAAGAGATATATGAAACATTCTGCTTTTTGGTACAAGAAGTTCCTTCTGCACTAAATTAAATCTCTTTGGTCATGTCTTAGATTGTTGCTCTGCTCTAGCTAGAAATGAGTCAATAAAGAGAGAATTTTCTTAAATATATGAGACCTATCTCTCTTTTTCTGCCTTCTACCTTTGCATGCAGCTGGGATTTGTTTGCTAACGGTGCCATATATGCATATGAAATATGTTATTTTCAATTTTCAAATAGGAATTAATTGATCAAGTTAATTATTATTCTATCAAAATTGTGTATATATAGCGGGGGAGAGAAGCAGAAAACGAACAGTCTTTGTAATCCCATATCGGCAAAGTAAGCTAACAAGTGCCACGCCTGGCACTATAAATAGCGAAGCTCAACGCTAAACCAAGCATACCTTTCTCGGCCTTTTGGCTAAGATCAAGTGTAGTATCTGTTCTTATCAGTTTAATATCTGATACGTGGGTCATTGGCTCACATGATATTAAATTAATTTTTTGAGGGGGAAGGCCCATCACAGTAGCTTGCTACTGGGGCTTTCACAGCGTCGCCTGTGTGTTGCACTATTGCACTGGCCTGGCGCACCCCACCAATGCTTAGTTTAAAAAAAATATATATATATCAGTTGCTTCAGGGAAAAAACTATTCAAGATAGAAATAGAATTATATGGAATGATTAAACAGGAAATATAATGCCAATCAGGTGGGTTTTCACCTGGACTATCCTCTTGTGAAATGAATTAACAAAAAAAAAAATGTTTGGCATAGGCATCCAATGAATTGTGAGGAGCGAGGGCTCTAGTCTGTTGGTTTACCAGTTGTTTTCACCAATCGGTTTGGTTGGTGGACCAGTTATGTTCAAATTAATAAAAAGACAACTAATGGCAGACGTTTGGTAGGCAGTCAACAAAAATATAGGAAAAAGTTGCAAGGTTTCGTGGAAATAATCATAGCGGCCGGCAAAAATACCAGCAAAAGTAGCCATGCAGCGCAAGATACGCTTTTATGTAATGTATTTGGTTACGTCGCTATATGAAAATGTTCGCATCTGGTAGCGGTGGCCTGCAACAAAGTACTAAAATAACAACGTCGATAGATACTTGGTAATGGTTTTATTGATAGATTTAGAGCTGCCGATTGTGCTACTGAGTGCAAAATGACAAGAATTGTCAATAAATAAAACCATTGAAAAATAAAAAAAAGAATGTAAATAGCAACTATAGTTTAACAATTGACACCATTAGAGTTATTGTAATGACGAGTGAGAAGTTCTTCGTAATAGGGTTATTGTTCTTGTCCAACTTGTTGGCTATAACAGACCTCGTCTCTGCTTCTTTTAATCGTAGCACTTTTCCTGCTGGATTTCTTTTTGGAACAGCTGCAGCTTCTTACCAGGTTTTTTTTTTTTTTTTATATATTATTATTGTTTTTCTCGGCATTTTTTGCAATTTTCTCACTCTTTTGAGATATGAGACAAATCTTGTCTCTGAATTCATAACTGTTGTTCTTCATAAATATTTTTTTCATGGATCGAATCCTAAACCTTACAGTAGTCGTCTGCTTAACTCACGGTTTTTCTTTGAATTATTTTTTAGTATGAAGGTGCTGCAAGTGAAGATGGAAAGGGTCCAAGTATATGGGATACCTTTACTCACAAATATCCAGGTCTCTCTCCATTATGTTCACTTTCATGTATGCAAATGTTTAAATTTTGACAATGAACCTATTGTATCGTGTCACTTGGAATGAACTAATCATATAGCGGCTCCAACTAATTTGGAATTAAAGTTTATTTGTTGTTCTATAGCCAATAGATTTAACGTATCAAGCAAGTGATGAAAGAAAAAAAAAAATGCGCATACCTTATTTTCTCGAATTATTTCATTATTTTAATTTTTGAAGAGCAATTTAATCTTCATCTCTATCTCAATTTAACGGTGGTATCATATAATTGCAGGAAGAATAGTTGGTGGTGCTAATGCAGATGTAGCTGTTGATTTTTACCATCGGTATAAGGTTTGTGAGTAATAATTTTTAGAGTCCACTAAGTGATAGAGATTTTCTTGTTTGTGATATATTTATACCATAGATAATTGAATATTCTAACAGGAAGATGCGAAGATCATGAAGAATTTGGGTTTAGATGCTTTCAGATTCTCTATCTCCTGGTCTAGAGTTTTACCTCGTAAGAACATTATATGCCAATCTAATGTTATGATCGGAAAAGTGGGAATTGGTTAAGCTAATAAACTTAATTAATTATTTCACCTTCAATCGATCGATTTTGAAAATGAAGCTTGTGCCTTTATAGGTGGGAATATAAGTGGAGGAGTGAATAAGAAAGGCATCCAATTCTACAACAATCTCATCAATGACCTCCTGTCACAAGGTCAATATTTTCTTTTCTTTTTCTAATCTTCTTTTGGGAAATTTAAAAAAGAAAAATTTGAATTTGTCATCTCTCATAAAACATACAGGAATACAGCCTTTTGTGACTATATTTCATTGGGATCTACCTCAAGCCCTTGAAGATGAATATGGTGGCTTTTTGAGTCCTCAAATTGTGTAAGTAAAGCAATAATTATTAATTAAAGAAACAAATATAGTGCTTAACAATAATTCTAACAATCCGAACGGACACTTTCGAGGTTGATCACTATAACTTATATCATAGGTTTGATCCTCTGTAATGCAAACTTTCTCAGACCAGCCCTTTTGCTTCTAAGGGCGAGCGGAGACTAGTTAGATTTACTATGAACTGTAAAACGGACATAGACATGATCATCTCACGGAAGTATAAAAAAAAAAAATAATTTTTTGACCCACTATATACATCCATACAGGGATGATTTTAAGGACTACGCAGAGCTTTGCTTCAAAGAATTTGGTGACAGAGTGAAGCATTGGATAACATTAAATGAACCATGGAGTTATAGCAATACTGGGTATAACATGGGCATTTTTGCACCAGGCAGGTGTTCTAAATTTATGAACCCTCAATGCTTGGCTGGTGATTCTTCAACTGAGCCTTATTTGGTTGGCCACCATTTGTTACTTTCTCATGCTGCTTCTGTAAAACTATACAAGGAAAAATACCAAGTTAGTATTCTCAATTCTTCAATACCATATATCTAAATTCACCTGATGCATAAATTTAAGGATGTCACACGTCAAATCATGTAAATTTCATGGGCAAATTAATATATTTAACCCGACTAAATTTAAGAAAGTAACTCATTTCCTTATCTTGGAAAATGATTGGATTTTGAAGGGATCTCAAAAAGGACAGATTGGGATAACACTAATTTCTCACTGGATGGAACCATACTCTAATAGTAAGTCTGACCAGGATGCTTCTAAAAGAGCTCTGGATTTCACGTATGGATGGTGAGTATAATTATCTTTTAATTACCAGAAATGACATTTATTAATCTTAAATAAAATTATACTAATTATACTTTTTTTTTTCACTTAATCAACAGGTATATGGACCCACTAACCTATGGTGAGTACCCACAAAGCATGGTTACCCTTGTTGGAAATAGACTGCCCAGATTCACCAAAGACCAATCTAAAATGGTGAAAGGATCTTATGATTTTCTTGGAGTAAATTACTATAGTGCCTTTTATGCATCTTCTGTTCCTGCTACTCCTAATCCTGTTAATATTAGCTATTCCACTGATTCCCTCACTAATTTAACAGGTCAGTTTTACCTTATTGGTTTATTTATTATTTTGAAATCATGTGATATATAATAATTTAATCTTATTTGACAACATTTTATTACCAATATATATATATTTTGTAGTTGAGCGAAATGGAATTCTTATTGGTCCAACGGTATGTTTGGGAGAAAACTGTTTTTTTAAAAAAATATTTGAAGAAAATAAGGAGAAGAAATTAATTTTTGTTTGCATAATTGAACTTGCAGGATGGTTCGATGTGGATTCACTCATATCCAAAAGGTTTACAAAATGTTCTTAAATATACTAAGGAAAAGTATAATAATCCAACAATTTATATTACCGAGAATGGTAAGGAAAGATAATTATTTATTTATTTGTACATATTAATATGCTTTTTTTAGATTAAATGTTGAAATTCATCAATGTTTTCAGGTATTGACCAATTGGATAATGGCACCTTAACACTTAAGGAGCTTCTAAATGATTCAAATAGGATAAATTATTACAACCAACATCTTTTTTTCATTCAGAAAACCATTGAGTGAGTTCTTTAGCTAATGTGCTTTTATTAAATTTGCAAAGTCCTAATCCATAAATTTAACTTTATATTTTCGACGATTATTCTTACGGCTTTTTAAACTTTGATAAGACCTATTATGACACTTCATTTTCATATTTTAGTAATAATTATGCGTTCGTTGAAGTGGAATATAAAAGTGCAAGGTTATGATTGAATATCAGCAAAGTTATTTCATTTTAACGAGTTATTATTGAAATATAACGTGAAGTGTCAGGATGGGTCCGCACAAAGTTCAAGAGGGCCAAAAGGAGAATCAGCTAAAATCCAAAATCAAATTTATGTATTTGCATATGAAATTTTTACAAATTGAGACCGTGGTATTGGCAGGGAGGGTGTTAATGTTAAGGGCTATTTTGCTTGGTCGCTACTCGATAATTTTGAATGGGCTGCTGGTTACAGTATGAGGTATGGAATCCATTTGGTAGATTACAAAGATGGATTGAAAAGATATCCCAAGAAATCTGCTATTTGGTTCAAGAAATTCCTTCAAAAATAGAGGAATTCTATAGCGATCCATTAATTATCTTGTTGCCATGTTTCATTATTTGATAATCCCATTTTGGATTAGTGATTAAAAGCTTATTATAACAATAATAATCAAATAAAATCAGGTGCTATAAATTTTGCATCGTAAAGGTTAGTGTATTTCAAAAGATTCCATATTATCGAGAGAATTTAAAATTGTTTGATATTCGGCTATTGAAAAATATATAAAGAGGTTGTGCTCGCGCAAAAAGATTTTGAGCTAAAAATTCAATTCTAGTGCTTTATATTTTTCTTTTACCTTTGTAGCGAAATAATCCTTTTAGTACGATGCTATTCTGTACGTCTCAAATTTACATTTAATGTTTTTATTTCAACATTTTGTTCATTTTAATTATGAGATGTCTAAATTCAATTATTGCCTCATGATATGTTGGGGTCCCGGCAATAAAATTACGAGAATAATAACACACCGGAAAAATTAAAATATGACACAGATATTTACGTGGTTCACCCTTTAACTATTTTTTAATTACGACATTCTAATTCAATTATCTGCCTCATGATATTGGGTCCCGGCAATAAATTACAGATAATAACTACACCGGAAAAATTAAACATATGACACAGATATTTAACGTGGTTTCCACCCTTTAAATATTAGGCTACGTCCACGGGACAAAAAACCTGAATAGATTTTCTACTATTAAAAAATAGTAGGCTTCTACAGAGCGAGTATACAAAATAGCACTACAAAAAGTATTTCCGCAAATTAATCTTCCCAAATTATCCTCACTATTCTCTCTACCTGAGTTTTAGAACCCAATTCTAAAACTCAAACTCTCTCAAAAACTCTCTTCGCTCGGTTGTGTGTCTTGAGATGGCTGAGCCATCTCCTATTTATAGGAGAGGGTGGACGCGTTAATTACGCGTCCACTGAAACTGTAACGCGTCCACCGAATTCTAACGCGTCAACCGAAAATAAATTTTCTTCTTCCTTCTTATTTTTTTCAAATCGTGTGGGTCCTACCACGTTCTTTCTTTTTTTTCAAATGTGGGTCCCATTTGAGTGGGGACCGCACAACATGATAAAATAATTATTATTGTGGGAAAAGTCCATATTGTTAATGCTAACTTAATTAATGTCTAAATATATAAAAGCCATTTCTTTGCCAATTTAGTGCCTTTAAAATTATTTCTTTTGCTAATTATCGAAAAAAAAGTAAAAAAAAAAAATAGTATTATTGATGATATTGATGCTTATATTAACTCAATTAACGTCTAAATTAATTAAAAATAAAAAACAATTTTCTTGCCAATTCGATTCTATTCATATTTACATTATTAGATATATTAATCATTTAAAAAAGAAAATTGAATAGTTTTATTGTTCAAAATAATATTAATGATATTATTAAATATCATTAATAATTGAAAAAAAAATTAACAATATCTAATAATATTTTGTAATTTTTATCATAATTGTTTAAAGTTGAAAATAAAAATTTATATTTCATGCATAGATTTATTGAATAAAAAAATTGGATATTTTTTATATTTCTATCGCACCTTAGGCAATCAAGGACCAAGGGCAACATGCTTTTGTAAATTAATTATATTTTGGGGTTTTAATCGAAATATTAATACTCTGTTAACAGTTTGTAATTTAACTCCCCCAATTTGTTTGGGGTTAACAATTTATTTAATTTAATTTGATTTAAATTGCGGATTGGTCCTAAGTAATTTAAATTCAATACCTGTATGGGGAGTACATGATTTTGCTGTATAAACCCAAACAAACAAGAAATTCCAATTCAATATCTGTTTCAATCCCTATTTCAATTCAATTGATCATGCTGTTAAAAAACTTCAAATTTTGCGGATAGTTTTAATTGTACTCTAAATTCAACTTTCTTCTTTTAGTTTTTGAACTTCAACTTTAATTACAGAATATTAGAATAAAAAATAATATTTTATTTATTAAAATAAAAATTATTTTAAAATTGTGCCCAATATTAAAATAAAAAATAATATATTTATCTTACAAAAAAAATACTTTTTATTTATTTATATAATATTAACAAGAAGCAATGATTGTTTCAAAAAAAAAAAAGTATGGATTATCTAAAAATAAAATTATGCTGTAATGAATAAAACCTATTTTTATAAGAAATCTAATTTAAGTATAATTTCAATAAACCTTGACTAAAATTCTATGCTTAAAAAATAGCAAAACAAAAACCTAAACTAATATTCTATGCTGATAACTAATTAAAATTTATTATTTTTTACTTGGCTTTTATGAATTTTAAAAAAAAATCCTAATCAATATTAGTTAGGGTATTGTTAAATGGCGAGTTTTGGTTAACCTAACCATGTAGGTCCAATGAAAATAATATTTTATTTATTAAAATTTGAAATTAGGATACTATTATAATTAAAGTTGACCATGTAGGTCCAATGAAAATAATATTTTATTTATTAAAATTTGAAATTAGGATACTATTATAATTAAAGTTGAAATTCAATGTACTAGGAGAAAGAAGCTAGTTTTAAAATACAATTAAAACTATCTGTAAAATTTAGGGTTTTCTAAATGATTTAGCTACTGAGAATTTAAGAGAACTATATTTAATTTACATTTTTCCCAATAAGTTTTTGCTTAATTATAGGCTTAATTTAAGATTTTTTTGTTTATAGATATATATTATCTTATTTTTTTGTTTTACTTTAACAAAATAATCGTTAGCTGCAAAGAGTAGACATGATCGGTTTATTGGATCGGCGGTTTCTGTTTATAGAATTGAATCGAATAGACCAAGTTATTACACATTTTTGAACATAAAAAATAAAAAATTTCGGGTTTGATTTAGACCAAAATTGCCGGCTAACCGCTAGTTTCAAGCCATTTTCGCTTTGTATTTTAATATTCATATGAATTTTAACCAACCCGTGAATTGCCGATTTCATTTCAAAAATTTGAACCGATGATTTTGATATTATTTTAATTCATCTATGGTACGGTTTAATTTCAATACGAATCGAACCAGTGGTTATGTATAGCAAAGAGCATCTAATTATAATAATTATAATAATTATCTCCAAACCAACATACGGGGGAAAGCTTGCTATTGCTATTTCTTAACGTTGACAAATTGTCTAAGTAGTAATTTTCGATTTTGATAGGTGATATATAATATATAATACTTATATAAAATATATTATATAGGCTTATTTTTTTTTTTGTTTTATTTATATATTTTTTTTTGTTTTATTATTTTATAAATGTCATATATTTTAATCAGCATGTCGATCTTTCTTTTATATGCACATTTATAGATCTATATTATCTTATCCTTTTTGTTTTGCTTTAACGAAATAATAGCTTGCTGCAAAGGGCATCTAATCTATAAAATGGAGAAAGTTGTTTTTTTTGTTGTTTCTTTCCAATGGCAAATTGCCAGGTAGCAATTTTCAGTTTTGGTGATAGGTATATTTATATTTTTCTTTGTTTTATCATTATATATATGTCATATATTTTATAATTTATTAGTTGATTTAAATTTCTAATTGTAATAGTTTTAAGTCTTATAATTTTTTAATTGATCATGAATATTATTATTTTAAAATATTTAAATCTCATCAATGCACTATCAGGATCTCATTATTCCCCACATATTCCCACATTTACATATTGTATAGATATATATAATATATGTGTATTAAAAAAAAAAAAGAACCATAATAAGTCAAGGGAAAAAGTGCATTTTCCGACTACAAAATATATTAATTAAATAAAAAAAACATTAATTAAGAAACAATTTAAATTAATTAAGAAGAAGAAAATACTATTAGAGACATGGTTAAGATAAATCAAGAAGCAAGTTTATCTATGCTAGAAAAATATTTCGTATACGTAGATATAATTGAAATTAGGAAAATTACAAAATCCCACCTATATACATGGTAAGACAATTGTATAATTAATTAAGTTTTTGCTTAATTGTTATTATATATGCAAGACTATATAATATTCTTCTTTAAGAGTGGCAGATAACTTTGTCATATCTTGTAGAAGTTATCATCAGCTGAGTATTAATAATAGTATTATTACAATAACCTTGTCTTGTAACCATTGGACAGTTAATTACTTGTACAAAATATATTACTTATAAACTTAATTATAATTAATTACATTACCTATAAAATGTTGTTACGGATGACAGGGATGTGGGCATTCTGCCATGCGGTTAAAGAAATGCCTCTTAATTATTATTCGGATCTTCATAATTAAGGGAAGTGATAAAATAGGTTTTAGAGAATTATAAAAAATATAATTATTGTATTTAGCAGAAATAATTTACCTAATACGGCATGTGATAAAATAATTTTTAGAAATCGATAAATAGAAGTGAAATGGAGAAAATAATTAAGAAATCAAAATGTTGAAGCATGTGACTTAAAGATTAATAAAATAGGATATGATTTATTACAAAGAATAAAGTGAACAAATTAAATATTCATGACCTTATTAAAGCCACATATAAAACAAAAACCATAAACCTAACCAATTAAGAAAATGGAAACACGAAACATATGGTGTAAAAATGAGCAAAAGGCAACACCAATTAATCAGAAAAGCCAAGTCAACATTGAAAAATATTATTTTAATTTTTATGTTATCGAGTATTAAAATGAGTGATTTAACGCTCTTTCCTTATAAATGATAAATGAAGTCGAGAGTTGGATCATTATATGAATAACTGATTTGACATGAGCAAACTGAATCATTCAATGAAATTATTTCAAGTTTTCATAAAAAGTACATAGATAAATTTATATATTTAGTCAATCATCTTTTAATATTTTTGTTTTTAAATCTTGACACATTAATCTCAAACTAGAATTCGATTTTTTCATGAATTTAACATCAATAATTATACAAATTTAAACCAAAATTCAGAAGGAAAATCACAATAGTCATGGCAGGGATGGAGTTGATGTCAAGATATACTATATTATATGTGGGTATTTTGGGATGACATTGAATGGGATGCCCTGATATACTATATTATAATCTACGATTTTGTAAAAACGAGCTTATCGGCTATTAAATTTTAAAATTATATTGAGATACATGAATAATAACTTAACCTATTTCAATACAATTTATAAAATATAACTGCTAATTATTGAGTTCATTATCATATATGGTGGAGTTTATAATTTCCTTTTTTTTTTTTTTTGAATTTTACTTTTAAAAATAATGACTTTTTAACAAGAGGATCATGTATTATGATTATGGTAGAATGGAGTGAGCAAAAAGTTGGACGGCATTGACTGTCACTATTATCACACTGCAAGAAATTAGAAAACGATGAATAGTACAGCTCAATAACTTCAGCACATAAACGAATTCCCCATTTTCTTTCTCTATATAACAAAGACTAAAAAGATCCAAATGAACATCCCGCAGCTTCTACTATACTAAATAGAGCTATGGCAATTAAATGTGCTTTAGCCTCCATCTTGGGCTCTAACACAGATATCACTAATAATTTCAATAACAAATGTTTATTATATAAAAAACTGCTCATTATTGAGTTCAATTAATCATATGCATGGTGGAGTTTTTTATAATTTCCATTTTTTTTTTTTTTTGAATTTTAACACTTTTAAAAATAATGGACTTTTTAACGAAAGAGGTTTTTTTTTTTTTTTTTTTTTTGAATTTTACTTTTAAAAATAATGACTTTTTTACAAGAGGATCATGTATTATGATTATTGTTGAATGGACTGAGCAAAAAGTTGGTACGGCATTGACTGTCACTATTATCACACTGCAAGAAATTAGAAAAACGATGAATACTACAGCTCAATAACTTCAGCACATAAACGAATTCCCCATTTTCTTTCTTTATATAAGAAAGACTAAGAAGATCCAAATGAACATCCCGCAGCTTCTACTATACTAAATAGAGCTATGGCAATTAAATGTGCTTTAGCCTCCATCTTGGTCCATCTAGTTCTAGCCAGCTTACCGACTTACACCATTGGCAGCCGGTTGCTGCCACACAACCGAAGCAGTTTTCCGCCTGGTTTTATTTTTGGAGCCGGTTCTTCTGCTTATCAAGTATGATCTTTCTTTTCTTTTGAAAAAGAACAAAGAAATTTTCTTGACTAGTATTTTCTTTAACAGTCCGAAGGTGCAGCACTGATAGATGGCAGAGGACCAAGCATATGGGATACTTTTGTGAGGGAACAATCAGGTTTGAATAGAAGAAGAAGAAGGAAAAAAAAAAAAAAAAGAAAAAAAAAAAAACACTTTGTTGTTTATGCTTTGTAAATCCTTTTACGTGATGAGTAATGAAATTTATGTTTTTCCTATTCCATACTTTATCCCTTGCCTTTGTTATGTAGTTTAAGATATTTTTTGTTTTTGTCGTTTCTTTTGAAAATGCCTAAAGACCAGCTTTCCTACCCCAATTTTCTGAGACAGTTTTTTTTATGTGTTTTGAAAAAATTTTACCTTTGCGTGGCAGAAAAAATTAAGGATCGCAGTACAGGAGATGTAGCTGACGATTTTTATCACCGTTACAAGGTATTATTATGAAAAATTAAGCATAGTATACATATATATAGTATTTTTATTCCTCTATATATTTTGCTTGCTTGCTTTGGATTCAGGAGGACATAAAACTAATGAAAAAGATTGGTCTGGACTCCTTCAGGTTCTCCATTTCGTGGAGTAGAATCTTACCAAGTAAGAGAAGGAATTTATGAAAGATAAATTGGGATAGAATAATTAATGAGTAGAATTGCTTAATCCGGAAATGGTATGTAAGAGAAGGAATGTATATGAAAGAATGTAAAGGTTGGGTGACTAAGAATAATTAAGGTATGAGTCTGGAATCTTGAGATTCATTGGGCAAGAGATGGAGAAAGTAAACCAATATGCTAAAATAGGTATATATATTCTAGGTTAGGTGAGGAATTATTAAGGTGTAACACTTTTCTCCTTTTTCCTTTTTTTTTTTTATTTTTTTTTTTTTTTTTTTTTTTTTTTTTTTTTTTTTTTTGCTCAGAGGGGAAAATCAATGGGGGAGTGAATGCACTGGGTGTTCAATTTTACAATGACCTCATCAACAATCTACTTTCCAATGGTCAATTACCATTATCTTTCACTATATATATTTTTATTTTCCTGATTAATTACTTAATATGTTTTCACTAAAATAGTAAATTGAGCATGCAGGTATAAAGCCCTTTGTGACTTTACTCCATTTCGACCCTCCACAAGCTCTGGAAGATGAGTATGGTGGTTTTCTAAGCCCACAAATAGTGTAAGTGACAAATTTTCATATATATATATAAGAATATGTTCGGTAAAATTAATTTTGTAGCAGCTATTGAATATTTTAGTAACTGTTAACTGTTTAAATAGCCTTTCATCAACGTTCAAGTGAGTAACATTTCATAATGCTCTCTCTCAAATTCTTCTCACTATTATAAAAGATATATTGTGGTTACATGAAAAGCTGTTGCCGAACATGACCGAAGAACATTCTATATTTTTCATTTATTTTTAATATGTAACAATATAATATGAATGTCTCTAATTCGATGAATATATATATATATAGGAAAGATTATGTGGAGTATGCAGACTTTTGTTTCAAAACATTTGGCGATCGAGTGAAGCTTTGGGTGACCATAAATGAACCCAACATATTTGTCATCCAAGGTTATGACTCCGGTGTACTTATCAAAAGATATAATTTGTGGGTTACATGAAAAAGCTGTTGCCAGCGCGCCGTGTGAGCATGACCGAAGAACATTCTATAGTAATTTTTTCATATTACCTTTTGTAATATGTAAGCAATATCAAGATGGAATGTCTCTGAATTGTCGATGAATCATATATATAGTATACCTGCAGGCAATGATTTATGTGAAACGGTATGTAGACTTTGGTTTTTTGTCGAAGATACATTTGGTCTGATCGAAGAGGTGTAGAAAGCTTGGATGGTGTGATCCGCATAAGATAATGAAGAGCCCAAACATATTTTGTCATCCGACCGGTTATGCAACTCCGGTGTCTTTGGCACCAGTTGTGGTCGATCGCTTCCTACCCTGTCGGTAGAGGTCGAAATTGCGTCTGGCCGGAACGCACGGTCTGCAAACAGCTGTAAGGCCCTCTGACATTCGATGGCATTAGATCCACTCCACCTAGATCTTCGTCGTCAGGTGTAATACGACCTGACGCAGCTTACAGTCTGCTGAGACATCAAGCAATTCTGTTAAAATCGAGGGACAAGTAACGAGGGTAACTTAGAATATCTGGGGTTACCAGAGTAAACATGAGTAAAGAGTGGTAATTGCCCACTCTCCAGAGACAGCTCGAGATTTTTTCTTGGACTACTGAAAGTGGAATGAAATGTTGAGTATCCGCGAGGGATCCACGCAGTAGGTGCTATGGTCGTAGATGAGTGCGGTGACGTCTTATTAATTAGCAGTTGTGCAGAGGATTATATCGCAAAAGGGACAAATCGCGGAATTACGATTGCAAGCTGGAATGTGTAATATAGGTCATCAGTTCAAGTTACCATTGCCTATATGACTATCTTGTCTAGCCGCTTGGCTAACCTCTAGAAGTCTTGGGATTTTAAACTTTGGAATGGTAGCACTAAAAATCTATAGATAATATATATCCGAAATACAACGAGATGAAACTATACACACAGGTGATATCTCTTTACACTCCATTAATTAAGGTGAAAAATTTTCTTATAGTCGAAACTACTCGAACTCAAGAACTCTATAATATGAGAAATCAACAGACCACACTTGATTGACTGTAATTTCATTTTTTTATTTGAGTGTGACAATATTAGAAACTAGTAAATTTTTGCAGGATTGCACATCGCCAATTACAATATGGACAGGCTATCCCCGAAAGCATGAGAGAACTAGTGGGAAGTAGAATTTGCGAAAATTCACTCAAGAACATCCAAAAATGATAAAGAAGGGTCCATTTGATTTTATTACCCTAAATCACTACTCAAACATATTATGGCAGGAAACTGCTCCATCTTTGGCTAAAACGTGCATCCTTAGTTATACCTGCTGATCATTACGTGTAAATACAAACTTGTATGGTTCAAAATTTTTTTAAAGCTTTTAATTGATTATATCAATTAAGCTTTGAAGAAAAAAATTTTAATTAATAGCTAAATTAATACTAACATTAATACTATGCAATTTTCCGGTCACCGGCAGCACAGAAAGGAATGGAGTTCCCATCGGCAGCAACTCGTATATCTTTCTTTTTTCTTTTCACTACATTACGCGCATAAGGTTGGAAATACCAATGAGATAGGTTTTTTTTTTTTTTTTTTAATTGAAAAAAGAACATCGTACTAATTGCATATTGAAGGGTAAGTTGCTCAAAATTAAAGAACTTCAATTTACGAAGAAAAATGCATCAGAATTAAATTTTCTTGGAATCATAATGAACAAAGAAAATGTGATTAGCTGCTAATTATATGTTGACATTTTGCTTGGTGTTGCTTAGACTGTTTTGAGCTGGCTTTACATCTATCCAAAAGGATTGGAAGAGCTTTTGCTATATGTGAAGGAAAATTACAACAATCCTACTATTTTCATTACTGAAAATGGTAAATTTAATTTCCTATTTTAATCAAATATAAGGAAAATTACAACAATCCTACTATTTTCATTACTGAAAATGGTAAATTTAATTTCCTATTTTAATCAAATATAAGGCGAGGTTAATTTAATTTGGGTTTTAATCTGCATTAAATAGAACGTCCGCTTGCAGGAGAAATGGCTGACGGATGCCCATGCTTTGCCGCTTGAGAGGTTTGGCCTTAAAAGAATAGTAGGTTTAATGAATAAGATCGAGTCTGGCGGTTAGTAAGTATATCGACTTATATCTTATCTTTTAAGGGGCAATCAATGTAAAATTGTTTTTTAATTATTTTTTTACTTTTTAACAGAGATTGAATGGTAGAGGTGACTAGTGCAATTATTGATGAGTGTATTGCAGGAAGACAATCATCGTAATGGTCAACACTGATTTAATGGTGTGACAATTCTGCGCGGCAGGAGGCGCTGGTTAGATTTTAAGTGAAATCATAACGTAGTCATGAATGATGGTACGATTTCGGATCGTATGTTTTGAAGATGGGACTTTGAATGGAAGCGAGTGGCTACACGAATCCATGTTTTACGATTTGGTCAATCGAATTCCTATCCTTATGGTTCGTAGATTATAAGATAATAAGTAATCCGGTCACCGTCGTATCAGAGACTTGCCGGCTTGATAAAGAGATACCTCGAAGCTACTTGAGTCGAGCCCTATGTGGGTTTCAAAGAATTGGTGTTTCCTTGCAAATTAATTATGGTTTGAAGAGCCTCCCAAAACTTACTTTTTTACCTTCTTCAATGTTTCCAATAAAAAAATAATAAAAAAGATGCTTTGCTGTAACTTACAATAATAGTGCGGTTAATTTTTTTTAAAAAAACCCGAATTTCCGGGAAATTAGTCCCCGGCAGCTGACCCATTGTTGTTTTGTCAGTTGACAAGAAATGTGGCTCCGATTCATAGGAAAATTACAACAATCCTACTATTTTCATTACTGAAAATGGTAAATTTAATTTCCTATTTTAATCAAATATAAGGAAAATTACAACAATCCTACTATTTTTTTTTTACAGAGGTTAATTAATGGTTTTAATCTGCATTAATTCCTTGCAGGAATGGCTGACGATGCCTCTTTGCCGCTTGAAGTTGGCCTTAAAGATGGTTTAAGAATAAGATACCTTAGTAGTCACTTATCTTATCTTTTAAGGGCAATCAAGTAAATTTTTTTTAATTATTTTTACTTTTAACAATTAATTAATTAATTGGTGATATTAAACAAATTAATCACGATTTAATTGAAATTTTGCAGGAAGGGTGTTAATGTAAAATCATACTATATATGGTCATTTTTTGATGACTTTGAATGGAGCAGTGGCTACACCATTCGATTTGGCATCACTTATGTTGATTATAAGAATAATCTGAAACGATACCTCAAGTACTCAGCCTATTGGTTCAAATTGTTCCTTGCAAATTAATTATGTTTGAAGACCTCCCAAATACTTTTTACTCTTCATTTTCCAATAAAAAAATAATAAAAAAATGCTTTGTGTAACTTACAATAATAGTGCGGTTAATTCAACCGATCGAATTAGTCCATTTGACAAGAATGTGCTCTCGTTTCTTTTTAATAAGAGCTCGATTTCATGGATATGTGAGTTGATTTGCATGGAAAAAATCCAAATTTCTTAAATAAAAGATCGAGCGTTTTCATCTTTATGAATCGAGAAAAAAAAAAGTTTAAATATATATTTTTTCATTCTTGCATTCTCTTCTTTAGTTGTACAATCCAACCACTTTCCTTTTGTATTGTCATTTTTAAATTATTATACCAATTAATGTGTCAAAATGGATTGACGCGTTGGTCGACACGAAATCGCCTAACACTAGACACGATTATAGTGAACATGAACACAACCTGTTTAACAATTGTGTCATATATTTAAATACGAACATGACATAAAAATTAAACGAATGATACATATATGATGCAATTAAATGGGTCATATATGAGTCAAAAACTTTAATTTAATTTAATTAAATATGTCATATACGGTTCAGAAATACGATACATATAATATGTATAACTTGTATAACCTACTTAATATACTTAATATTCTTAAATAAATGGGGTACACGAAATAGACTAGTCAACCGTGATACACTACGTTTAAACTCGAGTTATATATGGGGCATCCGTTTATAATGCAAAATCATTTTGACTCAACCTTAATCCATTTAATTTTCGTATTAGGCGAACTGTTTACCGTGTCATGACTCATTTTGACAGCCCCGGCCTAGCATATGCCATCTAATCCCCTCCGTAGTCCAACTTCAGTGCTCTACATTTTTTTTGTTACAATAGAGGTTCTATTCAACAAATTTAACTGTTTTAGTTGCTATTAGCCGTTTTAGTAGCTGTCAACTGTTTTAATAGTGGTTAGCAGTTAATGGTTAACGATTATACAGTGATTTAGAATAAAGTGTTTGGTACAAATAACTGTTTAATTAGCTGTTTAAATAAGGTAAAGAAAAGTGATAGATACAGGCGTTATAGAGAAATTATAAAATGTTATAAAGATAACGTTTTATAAAATATTGTCTCAACTCTAAATATTAGAATATATATTGTATTATCAAATACTATAATTAATTAAGATAGAATTTCAATCCTATTAAAACACTAAACAGTACTTCAAAATCCATTAGTGCAACAGAAATGCAACTTAAGAAGACCACAGAAAAGTCAAAAAAAACCATTCCACCGTTCCATCCATAATTTAGATTAATTTATAATAATTATATAGACAGTGACACATGCTGTATTTTAATATATTTTTCACGTGTGTGTCTGCCACTCAACTACCATTGTTCTTGGCTGATACTATAATTGATGTCTAATTGTTTCAACTACCCATTTTAAAAATCTCCCCTTATGGAATTTGACTTAAATTCTAACTACCCTTTCTTCCTCTTCTTTGTTTTTATAAATCTATCGGGCCCCATTGAATGTTTAAGTTCATCTGGTTATTATACAACTCCGTTTAATCGGAGCAGTTTTCCGGCAGATTTTATATTTGGAGCATCCTCAAGTGCTTACCAGGTAGCTAGTCTCTGCAACCATAGAGTTTTTTTTTTTCTTTTTTAAATTTCTTTTCCATTTAACTGCATTTCTTGCTTCATTGTATAGTATGAAGGAGCAACTCAGGTTGATGGAAGACGACCAAGCATTTGGGATACATTCGTCAGGGAATTCCCAGGTTCTACATCGTTAAAACGACTTATATTTGTAGAGAGAGGAATTAATTTACAATTTATCATATGAAATCAGTCTATGATTGCTTTGACTCGTGTAATTTTAATTTTCCCAGTCAATTTTTAAATATTTTTTCTCCTTTTATTTTTAAGATAATTTTTTTTCTCTTATTTCTCTTTTCACTAACTTCAAAATATGAGATATCTTATAGAGTTAAAACTCAAAACATGGCAGAAAAAATTGCAGATCATAGCAATGGAAATATAGCCGAAGAATTTTATTATCTTTATAAGGTATGTCTAAGAAAATTATGTATTCATCAATGTCAAAATATAAACTCCTTCTATTGCTAGTTACATATACATGTATGTGTGTTTATATATAGGAGGACATTGCTCGGATGAAAGAAATTGGATTAGACTCCTTCAGATTTTCCCTTTCATGGCCCAGAATATTACCTTGTAAGAACATCATTTCGTAATTGGTTAATTATAATTTTGGAATTTTAATCACTTGGAATGGATTTTTTTTCTTAAATTCTCAGATGGGAAAATCAGTGGAGGTGTGAACCAGAAAGGTGTTGATTTCTACAATTTTATCGTTGATGAGTTAATATCAAATGGTAATTTTTTTTATATTTCACAAATTGAATCCTTTTAAATTAAGATAATAACATTTTAATTATCATCTAAATATACTAGTATTTACATTTTGAGCAGGCATTCAACCCTTAGTGACTCTATTCCATTGGGATGTTCCTCAAGCCATTGAAGATGAGTATGGTGGATTCTTAAGCTCTGAAATTGTGTAAGCTAATCAGCTAATCTTTTTAAGAAAGGTTAATTGCAAATGGGAAATTAATTGATCAATTCTAAGACTTGTACAGGGATGATTATCGCAATTACGCGGATTTTTGCTTCAAAGAATTTGGTGATAGAGTAAAGTATTGGGTGACTATAAACGAGCCTGACATAGTAGGTCTTAAAGGGTATGCATCAGGCATTAATGCACCCGGTCGGTGTTCTAGCTACATCGGAAATTGCACGGTGGGGAATTCTGCGACAGAGCCATATATGGTGGTTCATAACATGATTCTTTCTCATGCAGCTGCTGTAAAATTATACAGGGAGAAATATCAGGTGAGGATAATTCTTTTTTATGCAGCAGAAGTTTTTGGGAAAAGACTTGTCCAAATCTCCAATTTTAGTAATTTGGATTCTTTTTAGGCTTCTCAAAAGGGTAAACTTGGGATTACAGTATCAGTTAGATGGATGGTGCCCAAATACCCCACAGTTTCTTGCAGAAAGGCAGCCTCTACTGCTCTTGATTTTTCATTTGGATGGTAAGTGTCTCTATGCTAAATATAAAGAAATAATCTTTTATCAATGGCGAATTCTGTGGATAGAAGTGGATTCAGGGAGAAATATCAGGTGAGGATAATTCTTTTTTATGCAGCAGAAGTTTTTGGGAAAAGACTTGTCCAAATCTCCAATTTTAGTAATTTGGATTCTTTTTAGGCTTCTCAAAAGGGTAAACTTGGGATTACAGTATCAGTTAGATGGATGGTGCCCAAATACCCCACAGTTTCTTGCAGAAAGGCAGCCTCTACTGCTCTTGATTTTTCATTTGGATGGTAAGTGTCTCTATGCTAAATATAAAGAAATAATCTTTTATCAATGGCGAATTCTGTGGATAGAAGTGGATTGCGTCTAGTGAATTTTACCTATAAAATTATTATTTTTTGGATACCTAATTTAATTATTAATGTTAATATGTGTAGGGTTGTTCATCCCTTAGTATATGGTGAATATCCTGAGAGCATGAGAGACTTGGTGGGGACTCGATTGCCTAATTTTACAGAAGAAGAAACAGAGATGGTCAAAGGGTATTTTGATTTTGTTGGAATAAATTATTACACTGCAAGATATGCAGAAGAAGCCACATCTTATAGTAGCATCTACCTAAGTTATACTACAGATAGTCGAGTTAATCTAACAAGTGAGTCCAAAGATAAGATTAATTGGTGGTTTTAACTAATTGATTATTCATCAATCTTGATTTTTTTTTTTTTTTATTCGATTCAATTTCATTCACAAAATGTTTGTAATTTACTGTCGGCAGCTGAGAAAAATGGGATTCCTATCGGTCCACAGGTATTCCTTTTTATATATATATATTTTTTCCCATAATGTACAATTTTAATTTAATTTTTAATACATAAATATTACACTAATTATTTCTCAATTTTTTGCTTAGGCTGCTCCTAGTTGGCTTTACGTTTACCCAAAGGGAATTCGAGAAATTTTGCTATATACAAAGAGTAAATACAACAATATTCCCATTATTGTCACTGAGAATGGTATAAACAGCAATCATTTAATAATTTTCCGCAATTTCTCATTTAACAATTTATGATGTCTAACGTGTGTATGTGTGTGTATACAATTTAATAATTTTCCGGCAATTTCTTCTTTAACAATTTATGAAAATGTCCTAATCGGTTGTATATATATCATATAATATATTAATAATATATATATATACTATATAATAGATATATTTTATAATAATATATTTCAGGGATGGCTGATCCAAATAATAGCTCCATTTCCATTAATGATGCTCTAAATGATAATTTGAGGATCAAATACCATTTTCTTCATCTATCATATCTGTTAGAAGCTATTAAGTAAGTTTCAATATTTGGGTTTCAATTTAAGGTACTATAGTTCTTCCTAAGAGAAAAAAAAAATAATAGGTATGATCTTTGGCATGCAGAGATGGAGTTGACGTAAGAGGATATTACGTGTGGTCATTTCTAGATGACTTTGAGTGGGAACTTGGTTATACGGTTCGATTTGGCATTAATTTTGTTGATTATGAAAATGGATTGAAAAGATATTACAAGCACTCTGCTTTATGGTTCAAAGATTTCCTCCAAATGGAGAATGTAACTTCCTCTTCTTTGTTGTATTCTCAATGATTGATGGATTAATTTCATAATACTATATATTCAATATTGTTTATTTAGTGATATAATTATGTTCTATAAATCCCTATCATTTTTGGATTTTGATAGTAACAACTTATGATTAAATTCATAATTATTGGTTAAGGTTTTCTTAGTTATGTGTTTTTTTTTTTTTGGCAGATTTTTCTGAATAGTAACAACTATATGATTAAAAAATTCTATAATTAATTTAGGGTGTAGAGGTTCCATTTTCTTAGCTTTATGTGTGTTTTTTTTTTATTTTTTTAATAAAAGAATAATTAATTAAGATTGTTGTTATGACTGGGAGGTGAGAAAATCAGAAGCTAAAAGAAATCATGAGGAGCTTAGGTGAAGAAATCTTACAAAAATTATATAAATTATTAAATGAATTGGGGAATATTTGGTAGGTATGGTAAGTAGGGCATTATTGAAATTAATTATAAGCATTTTATGCAGGAATGAGTACTTTTCAGCTAATATGTGGTAGTTGTTGAGTTATTTTCAGCTAGATCATAGATGTCATTGTATTCCATATTTCTCCATAAACATTGATGTTATTGTAATACTACAAATACAGTTGAATTCAAAAAATAAATAATTTCCTTTAATTAATCAATAAATTGAAATAACGGGTAATCTTTGCACTCCTGTGAGAAGACCAACCAGACAAAGTTCTTTTCATATTTTGTCTATTTTGTGAACTATAAGAATTGTAGCATAAACGAAATTCGTAACTTAAAAGGAATCCAAATCTTTTAAGTAACGCGTCGTGCAAGTTGAAAAATAAGAATTTATTATTGGAAAAAAAATATATAAGAAGTAATATTGGTTTAGAGAAAGAATGCCTATTTGTCTTTTGTTTAGCTCTGATAAAAGAATTGTTACCTTCCTACATAATTAATATTCTGCTAAATGACAGAGCACTTAGATTTTCATATATATATATATATATATGATGAAATAAATTAAGATGAGCTGCCATTTCTGAGATGTTAGTTCTCAATTCTGGTAAGTGTGAGTTCTTCTTCTTCCTCTCTTTCTTTCGACTTTTCTTTTCCTTCTCTGTTCTTTCTTCAATCTCTGCAATTTCTTCCATATCCGGTTAACAGGTTAGGTATCACATATAAATATTATAATAATGAAATGAGCATTAGAACCACTTAACACCTATCATCCTGCTCGGCAAAAGGCACGTTAATCTTGCAAAATATATCTAAACTTTCTTCATTTTCTTGTGTGCTAATCTTAATACTGTTCTTTTATTTTCAATTCACGATTGCTGTTTTTTTATTATGATTATTGTCTTGTTGACAAAATGAACACCACTTCTTTTTTTTTTTGTCTTTTCTTGACTTTGGGAGACGTTGAACCCCACATGTTCTGTTTTTTTCTTTTTCTGAGAGATAATGAACCCCACTGATATTGATGATGATGGTTGCAGGGATTTTGTACTGTACTGAATATGAAAACTGAACATTATCTCTTCTTCTTTCTCATACCAATCATACATTTGTGGGTTCTTACTGAGGGATTGGAAGCTTATAATCTCCATAACTCTGTTGCTCCAATCAGTAGGAATAGTTTTCCAAAAGATTTTATATTCGGAGTAGCTTCAAGTGCTTGCCAGGTAATTGATTTTATTTTTTTCCAGGAAAATGTTTCTGGTTTTACTACAATTTTCAATCTCACATTTGGTTTAGCTTTAAATTTAGAGTGAAGGAGCAGCAGATACTGATGGCAAGAAACCAAGCATTTGGGATACCTTTACCAAGAACTACCCACGTAATATCCAAATACAAAACCTAATTAATTCATTATTGTTTTAAATTATAAATATTTCATCAGTAGAAGACCAGAAAGCAGCCATGAGAGAAATTCATTTTCTTTTTGGTTGGTAAGTTTCATAATTAGTATTTTAAATTATATTATTTATAATTTGCTGATCCTGAAAATTTTGTGTAGGTTTGCTCATCCAGAAGTAATGAAATCTTTAGTGGGAGAACGACTGCCTAAATTTACTAAACGACAATCTGATATGCCAAAAGGGTCTCTTGATTTCTTGGGAGTAAATTACTACACCACATATTTTGTTGCAAACAACCTATTATCAATGCCAATAAAGTTGGAGCTCTGTAGTCAAACCACTTTTTCTGGTAATTAAGTTTATCTATGCTAGAAAAATATTTCGTATACGTAGATATAATTGAAATTAGGAAAATTACAAAATCCCACCTATATACAACCAATTAAGAAAATGGAAACACGAAACATATGGTGTAAAAATGAGCAAAAGGCAACACCAATTATATTAATAACTGACTTGACATGAACAGCTGAATCATTCAATGGAATTATTTCAAGTTTTCATAAAAAGTACATAAATAAATTTATATATTTAGTCAATCATCTCTTAATATTTTTGTTTCTAAATCTTGACACATTAATCTCAAACTAGAATTCGATTTTTTCATGAATTTAACATCAATAATTATACAAATAAATTCAGAAGGAAAATCACAATAGTTATGGCAGGAATGGAGTTGATGTCAAGATACTATATCATATGTGGGTATTTTAGGATGACATTGAATGGGATGCTGAATACATAATTTGATTTATTTTGCTATTATAATCTCCGATTTTATAAGAATGAGCTTATCAGCTATTAAATTTTAAAATTATGTGGAGATTAATGAATAATAACTTAACCTATTTCAATACAATTTATACAATATAACAGCTAATTATTGAGTTCATTATTATATATGGTGGAGTTTATAATTTCTTTTTGTTTTTTTTTAATTTTACTTTTAAAAATAATGACTTTTTTACAAAGAGGATCATGTATTATGATTATGGTAACATGGACTGAGCAAAAAGTTGGTACGGCATTGACTGTCACTATTATCACACTGCAAGAAATTAGAAAAACGATGAATAGTACAGCTCAATAACTTCAGCACATAAACGAACTATTATCACCACTGCAAGAAATTAGAAAAACGATGAAATAGTACCAGCCTCAATAACTTCAGCAACATAAACCGAATTCCCCATTTTCTTTCTCTATTATAACAAGACTAAGAAGAATCCAAAATGAACATCCCGCAGCTTCTACCTATCTAAATAGAGCTATGGAATTAAATGTGCTTTAGCCTCCATCTTTGGTCCCATCTAGTTCTTAAGCTAGCTTACCAACTTACACCATGGCAGCCGGTTGCTGCCCACTCAACCGAAGCAGTTTTTCCGCCTTCGTTTTATTTTTTGGAGCCGGTTCTTCTGGCTTTATCAAAGTATGATTCTTTCTTTTCTTTTGAAAAAGAAGGAAGAAATTTTCTTGACAGTATTTTCTTTAACAGTCTGAAGGAGCAGCACTGATAGGCAGCACTGATAGATGGCAGAGGACCAAGCATATGGGATACTTTTGTGAGGGAACAATCAGGTTTGAATAGAAGAAGAAGAAGAAAAAAAAAAAAACTTTGTTGTTTTATGCTTTGTAAATCCTTTTACTATGAGTAATGAATTTATGTTTTTCCTCTTCATCTTTATCCCTTCCTTTGTTATGTGTTTAAGATATGCTTTTTCTCGATTCTTTGAAAATGCTAAAACCAGCTCTCCTACCCGATTTTCTAACCGTTTTATGTGTTTTGAAAAAATTTTACCTTTGTGTGGCAGAAAAAATTAAGGATCGCAGTACAGGAGATGTAGCTGACGATTTTTATCACCGTTACAAGGTATTATTATGAATAAGCATAGTATTTACATATATATAGTATTTTTATTCCTCTATATATTTGCTTGGCTTGCTTTTTGGGATTCAGGGAGGACATTTATAAACTTAATGAAAAAAGATTTGGTCTGGCTCCTTTCAGGTTCTTCCATTTCGCTGGCAGGTAGAATCTTACAAGTAAGAGAAGGAATTTATTTGAAAGATAAATTGGGATAGAATAATTAATTGTTTCTGAATCTTAATTCATTTACAATGGAAAAGTTTACAACAATATCAATATGCTAAAATAGGTATATATATTCTAGGTTAGGTGAGGAATTATTAAGGTGTAACACTTTTCTCCTTTTTCCTTTTTTTTTTTTATTTTTTATTTTTTTTTCCAGAGGGGAAAATCAATGGGGGAGTGAATCCACTGGGTGTTCAATTTTACAATGACCTCATCAACAATCTACTTTCCAATGGTCAATTATCATTATCTTTCACTATATATATTTTTATTTTCCTGATTAATTACTTAATAAGTTTTCACTAAGATGGTAAACTGAGCATGCAGGTATAAAGCCCTTTGTGACTTTACTCCATTTCGACCCTCCACAAGCTCTGGAAGATGAGTATGGTGGTTTTCTAAGCCCACAAATAGTGTAAGTGACAAATTTTCATATATATATATAGTAAGTGACAAATTTTCATATATATATATATATTTGAAGAGTTTGTTCGGCAAAATTAGTTTTGTAGCAGCTATTAGATATTTTTGTAATTGTTAGCTGTTTAAATAACCTTTTATCAACGTTCAAGTGAGTAACATTTCATAATGCGCTCTCTCAAATTATAAAAACTATGCTGTAGCTACATGAAAAGCCGTTGCTTAACATGACCGAAGAACATTCTATATTTTTCATTTATTTTTAATATGCAACTATATTATATGACTGTCTCTAATTTGACGAATATATATATAGGAAAGATTATGTGGACTATGCAGACTTTTGTTTCAAAACATTTGGAGATCGAGTGAAGCTTTGGGTGACCATAAATGAACCCAACATATTTGTCATCCAAGGTTATGACTCCGGTGTCTTGGCACCTGGTCGATGCTCCCACCTTTTAGGAAATTGCTCTGCCGGAAACTCTGCAACTGAACCTTACATCGTCATGCACCACCTACTTCTCAGCCATTCAGCTGCTGTCAAATTGTATAGGGACAAGTACGAGGTAACTAATACTTCACCAGTAATTAAATGTACTGCATCTCCAGACGAATTTTTCTTGTAAGATCAAGAGATTTTTAGTACTACTAAGTGATAAATTTAACATTTGCAGGTTATCCAAAAGGGACAAATCGGAATTACGATATCAAGTCAATGGTATACTCCAAAGTACAATACATCTTCTGGCCGCTTGGCTACCTCTAGAGTCTTGGATTTTTCCTTTGGATGGTAAGCACTAAATCTCTCTCTCTCTCTCTCTCTCTCTCTCTCTCTCTCTCTCTCTCTCTTCTCTCTCTCTCTCTCTCTCTCTTCTATATATATATATATATAATATTAATATATATTATATTATATATATCATGGTCAGGACCGCATAACAAGATGAACTACACAGCAAGAGATATCTCTTTAACTCATTAAATTGTTTAAAATTCTTATAGTCGAAACTAACTCGAACTCGAAACCTCATATTAGTATGAAAAAAATCAACCAGGACCACACTTGATTGACTGTAATTCATTTTTTCTTTGACGGTGGAACAATCATTAGACTATATTTTTGCGGATTGCACAATCCCAATTACATATGGGAAGCTATCCCCGAAGCATGAGAGAACTAGTGGAAGTAGACTGCCAAAATTCACTCAAGAACAATCAAAAATGAAAAGGGTCTTTGATTTTTATTACCCTAATTACTATAACATATTATGCAGAAAACTGGCTCCACTTGCTTTAACGGTGCCATTCCTTATTATACTGCTGACACAACGTGTAAATACAAACTTGTACGTTCAATTTTTAAAGCTTTAAGATTATTACAATTAAGCTTTGAAAAATTTTATTAATTAATTATTATACTAATTAATTACTATGCATTTCGTCACCACAGGCAGAAAGGAATGGGGAGTTTCCATCGGCACACCGGTATTATCTTCTTTTTTCTTTCACACATCGGCCATATTGATACCAATGAGATAGATTTTTTTTTTATTGAAAAAAGAAACTCTACCTAATTGCATTTGATTTTTGTTTATATTAAAATTTTTCAAGGAAAGCCACAATATATTGAAGGGTAAGTTGCTCAAATTAAAGAACTTCAATTTGCCGAGAAAATGCATCGAATTTAAAATTTTCTTGTAATCATAATGACAAAGAAATGTTGATTAGCAGCTATTATATGTTGACATTTTGTCTTGTGTTGCTTTAGCTGTTTTGAGCTGGCTTTAAATCTATCCAAAAGATTGGAAAGAGCTTTTGCTATATGTGGAAGGAAATTTACAACAATCCTACTATTTTCATTACTGAAAATGGTAAATTTAATTTCCTATTTTAATCAAAATAAGGTCTTTTAGCTTTTTAGGAAAATTACAACAATCCTACTATTTTCATTACTGAAAATGGTAAATTTAATTTCCTATTTTAATCAAATATAAGGAAAATTACAACAATCCTACTATTTTTTTTTTACAGAGGTTAATTAATGGTTTTAATCTGCATTAATTCCTTGCAGGAATGGCTGACGATGCCTCTTTGCCGCTTGAAGTTGGCCTTAAAGATGGTTTAAGAATAAGATACCTTAGTAGTCACTTATCTTATCTTTTAAGGGCAATCAAGTAAATTTTTTTTAATTATTTTTACTTTTAACAATTAATTAATTAATTGGTGATATTAAACAAATTAATCACGATTTAATTGAAATTTTGCAGGAAGGGTGTTAATGTAAAATCATACTATATATGGTCATTTTTTGATGACTTTGAATGGAGCAGTGGCTACACCATTCGATTTGGCATCACTTATGTTGATTATAAGAATAATCTGAAACGATACCTCAAGTACTCAGCCTATTGGTTCAAATTGTTCCTTGCAAATTAATTATGTTTGAAGACCTCCCAAATACTTTTTACTCTTCATTTTCCAATAAAAAAATAATAAAAAAATGCTTTGTGTAACTTACAATAATAGTGCGGTTAATTCAACCGATCGAATTAGTCCATTTGACAAGAATGTGCTCTCGTTTCTTTTTAATAAGAGCTCGATTTCATGGATATGTGAGTTGATTTGCATGGAAAAAATCCAAATTTCTTAAATAAAAGATCGAGCGTTTTCATCTTTATGAATCGAGAAAAAAAAAAGTTTAAATATATATTTTTTCATTCTTGCATTCTCTTCTTTAGTTGTACAATCCAACCACTTTCCTTTTGTATTGTCATTTTTAAATTATTATACCAATTAATGTGTCAAAATGGATTGACGCGTTGGTCGACACGAAATCGCCTAACACTAGACACGATTATAGTGAACATGAACACAACCTGTTTAACAATTGTGTCATATATTTAAATACGAACATGACATAAAAATTAAACGAATGATACATATATGATGCAATTAAATGGGTCATATATGAGTCAAAAACTTTAATTTAATTTAATTAAATATGTCATATACGGTTCAGAAATACGATACATATAATATGTATAACTTGTATAACCTACTTAATATACTTAATATTCTTAAATAAATGGGGTACACGAAATAGACTAGTCAACCGTGATACACTACGTTTAAACTCGAGTTATATATGGGGCATCCGTTTATAATGCAAAATCATTTTGACTCAACCTTAATCCATTTAATTTTCGTATTAGGCGAACTGTTTACCGTGTCATGACTCATTTTGACAGCCCCGGCCTAGCATATGCCATCTAATCCCCTCCGTAGTCCAACTTCAGTGCTCTACATTTTTTTTGTTACAATAGAGGTTCTATTCAACAAATTTAACTGTTTTAGTTGCTATTAGCCGTTTTAGTAGCTGTCAACTGTTTTAATAGTGGTTAGCAGTTAATGGTTAACGATTATACAGTGATTTAGAATAAAGTGTTTGGTACAAATAACTGTTTAATTAGCTGTTTAAATAAGGTAAAGAAAAGTGATAGATACAGGCGTTATAGAGAAATTATAAAATGTTATAAAGATAACGTTTTATAAAATATTGTCTCAACTCTAAATATTAGAATATATATTGTATTATCAAATACTATAATTAATTAAGATAGAATTTCAATCCTATTAAAACACTAAACAGTACTTCAAAATCCATTAGTGCAACAGAAATGCAACTTAAGAAGACCACAGAAAAGTCAAAAAAAACCATTCCACCGTTCCATCCATAATTTAGATTAATTTATAATAATTATATAGACAGTGACACATGCTGTATTTTAATATATTTTTCACGTGTGTGTCTGCCACTCAACTACCATTGTTCTTGGCTGATACTATAATTGATGTCTAATTGTTTCAACTACCCATTTTAAAAATCTCCCCTTATGGAATTTGACTTAAATTCTAACTACCCTTTCTTCCTCTTCTTTGTTTTTATAAATCTATCGGGCCCCATTGAATGTTTAAGTTCATCTGGTTATTATACAACTCCGTTTAATCGGAGCAGTTTTCCGGCAGATTTTATATTTGGAGCATCCTCAAGTGCTTACCAGGTAGCTAGTCTCTGCAACCATAGAGTTTTTTTTTTTCTTTTTTAAATTTCTTTTCCATTTAACTGCATTTCTTGCTTCATTGTATAGTATGAAGGAGCAACTCAGGTTGATGGAAGACGACCAAGCATTTGGGATACATTCGTCAGGGAATTCCCAGGTTCTACATCGTTAAAACGACTTATATTTGTAGAGAGAGGAATTAATTTACAATTTATCATATGAAATCAGTCTATGATTGCTTTGACTCGTGTAATTTTAATTTTCCCAGTCAATTTTTAAATATTTTTTCTCCTTTTATTTTTAAGATAATTTTTTTTCTCTTATTTCTCTTTTCACTAACTTCAAAATATGAGATATCTTATAGAGTTAAAACTCAAAACATGGCAGAAAAAATTGCAGATCATAGCAATGGAAATATAGCCGAAGAATTTTATTATCTTTATAAGGTATGTCTAAGAAAATTATGTATTCATCAATGTCAAAATATAAACTCCTTCTATTGCTAGTTACATATACATGTATGTGTGTTTATATATAGGAGGACATTGCTCGGATGAAAGAAATTGGATTAGACTCCTTCAGATTTTCCCTTTCATGGCCCAGAATATTACCTTGTAAGAACATCATTTCGTAATTGGTTAATTATAATTTTGGAATTTTAATCACTTGGAATGGATTTTTTTTCTTAAATTCTCAGATGGGAAAATCAGTGGAGGTGTGAACCAGAAAGGTGTTGATTTCTACAATTTTATCGTTGATGAGTTAATATCAAATGGTAATTTTTTTTATATTTCACAAATTGAATCCTTTTAAATTAAGATAATAACATTTTAATTATCATCTAAATATACTAGTATTTACATTTTGAGCAGGCATTCAACCCTTAGTGACTCTATTCCATTGGGATGTTCCTCAAGCCATTGAAGATGAGTATGGTGGATTCTTAAGCTCTGAAATTGTGTAAGCTAATCAGCTAATCTTTTTAAGAAAGGTTAATTGCAAATGGGAAATTAATTGATCAATTCTAAGACTTGTACAGGGATGATTATCGCAATTACGCGGATTTTTGCTTCAAAGAATTTGGTGATAGAGTAAAGTATTGGGTGACTATAAACGAGCCTGACATAGTAGGTCTTAAAGGGTATGCATCAGGCATTAATGCACCCGGTCGGTGTTCTAGCTACATCGGAAATTGCACGGTGGGGAATTCTGCGACAGAGCCATATATGGTGGTTCATAACATGATTCTTTCTCATGCAGCTGCTGTAAAATTATACAGGGAGAAATATCAGGTGAGGATAATTCTTTTTTATGCAGCACAGGGAGAAATATCAGGTGAGGATAATTCTTTTTTATGCAGCAGAAGTTTTTGGGAAAAGACTTGTCCAAATCTCCAATTTTAGTAATTTGGATTCTTTTTAGGCTTCTCAAAAGGGTAAACTTGGGATTACAGTATCAGTTAGATGGATGGTGCCCAAATACCCCACAGTTTCTTGCAGAAAGGCAGCCTCTACTGCTCTTGATTTTTCATTTGGATGGTAAGTGTCTCTATGCTAAATATAAAGAAATAATCTTTTATCAATGGCGAATTCTGTGGATAGAAGTGGATTGCGTCTAGTGAATTTTACCTATAAAATTATTATTTTTTGGATACCTAATTTAATTATTAATGTTAATATGTGTAGGGTTGTTCATCCCTTAGTATATGGTGAATATCCTGAGAGCATGAGAGACTTGGTGGGGACTCGATTGCCTAATTTTACAGAAGAAGAAACAGAGATGGTCAAAGGGTATTTTGATTTTGTTGGAATAAATTATTACACTGCAAGATATGCAGAAGAAGCCACATCTTATAGTAGCATCTACCTAAGTTATACTACAGATAGTCGAGTTAATCTAACAAGTGAGTCCAAAGATAAGATTAATTGGTGGTTTTAACTAATTGATTATTCATCAATCTTGATTTTTTTTTTTTTTTATTCGATTCAATTTCATTCACAAAATGTTTGTAATTTACTGTCGGCAGCTGAGAAAAATGGGATTCCTATCGGTCCACAGGTATTCCTTTTTATATATATATATTTTTTCCCATAATGTACAATTTTAATTTAATTTTTAATACATAAATATTACACTAATTATTTCTCAATTTTTTGCTTAGGCTGCTCCTAGTTGGCTTTACGTTTACCCAAAGGGAATTCGAGAAATTTTGCTATATACAAAGAGTAAATACAACAATATTCCCATTATTGTCACTGAGAATGGTATAAACAGCAATCATTTAATAATTTTCCGCAATTTCTCATTTAACAATTTATGATGTCTAACGTGTGTATGTGTGTGTATATATATATAATATATATATTATATATCTAAAATATATATATATATATATATATATATTTCAGGGATGGCTGATCCAAATAATAGCTCCATTTCCATTAATGATGCTCTAAATGATAATTTGAGGATCAAATACCATTTTCTTCATCTATCATATCTGTTAGAAGCTATTAAGTAAGTTTCAATATTTGGGTTTCAATTTAAGGTACTATAGTTCTTCCTAAGAGAAAAAAAAAATAATAGGTATGATCTTTGGCATGCAGAGATGGAGTTGACGTAAGAGGATATTACGTGTGGTCATTTCTAGATGACTTTGAGTGGGAACTTGGTTATACGGTTCGATTTGGCATTAATTTTGTTGATTATGAAAATGGATTGAAAAGATATTACAAGCACTCTGCTTTATGGTTCAAAGATTTCCTCCAAATGGAGAATGTAACTTCCTCTTCTTTGTTGTATTCTCAATGATTGATGGATTAATTTCATAATACTATATATTCAATATTGAATATTGTTTATTTAGTGATATAATTATGTTCTATAAATCCCTATCATTTTTGGATTTTGATAGTAACAACTTATGATTAAATTCATAATTATTGGTTAAGGTTTTCTTAGTTATGTGTTTTTTTTTTTTAATAAAGAATAATTAAGATTGTTGTTATGACTGGGAGGTTTGAAAATCAGAAGCTAAAAGAAATCACGAGGAGCTTAGGTGAAGAAATCTTAAAAAAATATATAAATTATTAGATGAATTGGGGAAAATTTGGTAGGTATGGGTAAGTAGGGCATTATTGAAATTAATTATAAGCACTTTATGCAGAAATGAGTACTTTTCAGCTAATATGTGGTAGTTGTTGAGTTATTTTCAGCTAGATCATAGATGTCATTGTATTCCATACTTCTCCATAAACATTGATGTTATTGTAATACTACAAATACAGATGAATTCAAAAAATAAATAATTTACTTTAATTAATCAATAAATTGAAATAACGGTTAATCTTTGCACTACAATGAGAACATCAACCAGACAACGTTCTTTTCATATTTTGTCAGTTTTATAAACTATAAGAATTGTAGCATAAACGGAATTTGTAAATTAAAAGGAATCCAAATCTTTCAAGTAACGCATCGTGCAAGTTGAAAAATAAGAGTTTATTATTGGAAAAAAATATATAAGAAGCAATATTGGTGTAAAGAAAGAATGCCTATTTCTCTTTTGTTTTGCTCTGATAAAAGAATTGTTATCTTCCTACATAATTAATATTCTGGTAAGTGTCAGTTCTTCTTCTTCCTCTCTTTCTTTCGACTTTTCTTTTCCTTCTCTGTTCTTTCTTCAATCTCTGCAATTTCTTCCATATCCGGTTAACAGGTTAGGAGGTATCACATATAAATATTATAATAATGAAATAAGCATTAGAACCACTTAACACCTATCATCCTGCTGGGCAAAAGGCACGTTAATCTTGCAAAATATATCTAAACTTTCTTCATTTTCTTCTGTGTTTAATCTTAATATTGTTCTTTTATTTTCAATTCACCATTGCTGTTTTTTTATTATGATTATTGTCTTGTTGACAAAATGAACACCACTTTCTTTTTTCTTTTTTTTTTTTTTTTTTTTTGTTCTTTTTTTTTTTTTTTTTTTTTTTTTTGTCTTTTCTTGACTTTGGGAGACGTTGAACCCCACATGTTCTGTTTTTTTATTTTTCTGAGAGATAATGAACCCCACTAATCTTGATGATGATGGTTGCAGGGATTGGTACGATACTGAATATGAAAACTGAACATCATCTCTTCTTCTTTCTCATACCAATCATACATTTGTGGGTTCTGACTGAGGGATTGGAAGCTTATAATCTCCATAACTCTGTTGCTCCAATCAGTAGGAATAGTTTTCCTAAAGATTTTACATTCGGAGTAGCTTCAAGTGCTTACCAGGTAATTAATTTTATTTTTTTCCAGGAAAATGTTTGTGGTTTTACTACAATTTTCAATCTCACATTCGGTTTAGCTTTAAATTTAGAGTGAAGGAGCAGCAGATACTGATGGCAAGAAACCAAGCATTTGGGATACCTTTACCAAGAACTACCCACGTAATATCCAAATACAAAACCTAATTAATTCATTATTGTTTTAAATTATAAATATTTCATTTGAATTTTTCATGGGAATTTTTGTATGGCACAGAAAAAATATTCGATCATAGCTCCGGTGAGGTTGCTGAGGATTTTTATCATCGTTACGTGGTACGAACCTAAATAATTCTTGAAATTAAGAAAACATTACATATTTGTTCTTCTAATTAAGTTGTTGTTTTGGTTGATATTGTAGGGGGACGTTGCTTTGATAAAAGAAATTGGTTTTAACTCCTTCAGATTCTCAATCTCATGGTCAAGAATATTACCATGTAAGATCATTAAATTAAGAAAACATTAATTATCTCGTAATATAATAAGACAATAATTTATTTTATTTTGCTAAATTTAAGAATGGAATTTTATGATCTAACTGGAATAATATTTGGCCTTCAGATGGAAGAGTTAGTGCAGGAGTGAACCAAGAAGGCATCAATTTCTACAATTCTTTGATTGATGAGTTACTATCAAATGGTAAGATTTTACTTCCAAAACGCACGCATTCAATCGATTCAATTCAAATTGCTATAAACCGAATCAAATGTATATATTCATTCTATTAATCCTCCAATTAATTTGTAACTCAGAGCAGGTATAGAGCCTTTGGTAACTCTATTCCATTGGGATCTTCCACAAGCCCTTGAAGATGATTATGGTGGATTTTTAAGCCCCAAGATTGTGTAAGTCTAAATTTAATTAAACAATCTGTTTAACACTAATTACCAATAATTAAATAATTTCACTTCATTAATTCAAAATTTATAATAACATTTGTGCAGGAATGATTATCGTGATTATGTGGAATTTTGCTTTAAAGAATTTGGAGATAGAGTTAAATATTGGATTAGCGTTAATGAGCCAAATTATTTTAGTTGCTTTGGATATGCAACTGGAGGAACTGCACCTGGTCGTTGCTCTAACTATATAGGAAACTGCACAGCAGGAAATTCTGCCACTGAACCCTACATTGTGGTTCACCATTTGATTCTTTGCCATGCAACTGCTATAAATTTATATAATCAAAAATACAAGGTATGCAATTTTACTTCTAGCACATGTATTTATATAATAACCATTAATTAGCAATCTAAAAAGAATGATTAAATGGTTAATTAGGCTTCTCAGAAGGGAGCAATTGGGATTACTGTAACAGCATTTTGGAAGGTGCCCAAATTTCAAACAGTTGCTAGCAGAAAGGCTGCATCTAGAGCCCTTGATTTTACCATTGGATGGTCATTTTCCTTTCACCAAATTAACTCTTTAATTACTAAATTAATAAAAATGTTTATATTAATTAACAAATAATAATCATTTCCATGTGTAGGCTTCTTCATCCTCTAACATATGGTGATTACCCAGAAACAATGCGATCTCTGGTCGGAGATCGATTGCCTAAATTTACAGAAGAAGAATCAAAGATGATAAAAGGAGCCATTGATTTTGTTGGACTTAATTACTATACTGCAAGATACGTTGATGATGCTACATCTACCAATTTAAGTTACACATCAGATGGCCATTTCATTGAAACCAGTTACTATACTTCCAAATTTCTCAATATCTAAAATTTCAATATAACTCTTATTATATTTAATTGGTTTTTTTTTTTATTTTTTTTATTTTTTTTGCAGCTAACAAAAATGGAATTCCTATCGGCCAACAGGTTCCCTTTGATTAGCACATATATATATAGTTATTTATAATATATATTTGTCATATTAAGAAAAATTATATATATTATTTTTGCAGACCGGTTCGAGTTGGCTATACATTTATCCAGAGGGAATTCGAAAATTATTGCTGCATATAAAAAGAAATTACAACAACCCTCCAATTTATATCACTGAAAATGGTGAGTAAGCAGTCTCAGGTTCAGTTGAAATTTCTTAAATAATAAAATACAGGAAACTATTATTTTTTTTCCTTGGCAGGATTGGAAGATAATAGCTCTATTTCAATGAAGGATGCACTTAATGATAGCCTGAGGATAAAATACCATAAACTTCATCTATCATACCTCCTAGAAGCCATCAAGTGAGTTTTGAACTTTTGATGTTCAATAAATTTTTTTTTTTTTTAATTTTCAGTTATTTCATTATGATTATTTAGTAATTATAAATATATTTCTAAAATTGAAGTATTTATATATTATATTTCTAAAATTGAAGTATTTTATTATTTATATATATATGATTTTGATTTATATATATATATATATATATGATTTTGACAGGGAAGGAGTTGATGTGCGAGGATATTACATATGGTCATTTCTGGATGATTTTGAGTGGATGTTTGGTTACACCGTTCGATTTGGCATCACATATATCGATTACGACAATGGGTTAAAAAGAATTCTAAAATCCTCTGCTTTGTGGTTCAAGAATTTTCTCCAACAAGAAAATGAAACCTCTGCAAATTCTTTGTTTTCCTCACAATGACTTCAAATTAGAGAAGACGAAAATGGCAGATTCAGTCTTCTCAAAACCAAAAAAAGGGCTTCTTTATCTTGTGGTTGGAACTTGGAAGTTGCTTCTTGTTCCAAGGAATCTTTTTTAGGTATTAGATTCCTTTATATTCATGGATAATATATTGTAATTGCACATTATATTAATATAATATAATAATTAAAAATCTTTTTCTTTTTCTTTTTCTTTTTCTTTAACTAATAAAATTTCCTTAAACAAAAAAAGAAAGAAGACTAATAATTTCATCTAATTATTAGTTAAAGCAGCCCCGGTAGAGTGCATGCATCTTAATGAGATGTGTTCTTAGTAGATTTTAAAATTTTACATATTATAATACAAATTGAGAATATTAGACTTTCTGACCTACTTCAACTGTCAATGTCTAATCCTTATGAAAAGAATTTTTAACTACTAATGGGTTAGTCTAGATAAAAATAACTCAAGAATTCATATTCTTTAAATAAGAAATCGATTATTCAATTTTCGTGAACGGTGAAAATTCTCGCTGAAAGCATTTTCTCCTATTGGTTCGTGAATGGTGAAAATTTTCACTGAAAGCATTCTCTCCTATTGATCTTACTCATCTGACGTGGCACGAGCAAAATTAGGTTTAGTTCAACAAAATAAGAATATATATAGAATATTATATATATATATATATATATATATATATATATATATGTCCTAACTACCTTTCCCTTTTCTTTTTCTTATTAGGGTAGAGAACAAATGATAATTCTGTCCTAGTGCATGATTCCATTTTTATTTTACAATTAAATGATTAATCAACAAAGAATGACTTGTAAAATAAATATAATTATCATTTCATAATAACATGCACATGACTTTAATTATTGAAAGTGACAAATATAAACCACTAATTACTAAATCAAAATTAATTAAGAAGATTACAGTTGGCTTTCCTACATTTCCACTCATGCTTTAATTAGTATGGATTATATATTATGAGGGTCAATACTCGATACCTCTCGCCAATCTCATAAGTGAAAAGACTAATCGGACGACACTTGATTGACAATCAATTTGTAATATTTGTACGATAAAATTAATTATTTTGATAGCTATTAATTGTTTTAGTAACGTCTAGTTGTTAGCTATTTGAATAATTTTTTATAGAACGCTCAAAGTTAAACTTTACATGAGTTAACTTTTTATAAAAGACTAACATCTAAAAGTTAATTCAAATACTGTGTTACTAAACACTTTAAAAAGTAGCATTTTAGCATTTTAACCGGTCAAAACATTAAAAGTTACTAAAAAATTGTTGCGAAAACACAGCTTTAAACTAACAAATAAATAGTTTGGACTTGCAGGTTTTACCGGAGGTTGCACAGCATATAGCAATGGACTTTTTGGTGATAGACGCTGCCATTTTGAACCCATAGCATTGACCGAAACATGTTCATCAAATCCATGGAAATCTATTTAAATAATTTATAACTAAAACAATTACTTTGACATATCATATTCAACTCTTTTCTTGACCTTTAAAATTCCAATTCAAACTTAATTGGAAGCTACAATACGTAATTAAAACCCTGAAAATTCTAAGCAAGTTTATCTTTTCTGTTTTTATATATGAAAAAAGTGGAAGCTGACATGTCAATGAGCATGCAGGGAACTAGTCAGAAGTTGCTGATTCGGAATTAAAATTGTTTTTTTAAATCACTATGCTCAATGTGAAACTATAAAAACGTGTCGAAGTCTCATCATTCTTGTTTTAGAACAAGAACAAACACAGTCAGTATTGAAGGCTTCTGTTCTATTTTTCAGGGAAAGAATTTGAAGGTATGACCTGAAACTATGACTTTCTTTTCTTTTGCTTGATTTTCTTATTCCTTTCCTCTATCAATCTCATATCATCAGTACAATTACTACGCCATTATTGTTGTTTAAAAGGCTTCGATCTCATAATTATAGGGAATTTATCAGATGGCTTTGTGCAAGCAAGGAATGAAAAATCAACTTAGCCTTCTGCTCCTCCTCCTCCTCCTCTGCCTTCTCAATCTTGCTTTTTTGATCAGTTATGCAGAAGGAAAAAGAATATCTCAGTCTTTTACTACATTTAATAGGAGCAATTTTCCAACTGGTTTTGTGTTTGGAGCAGGATCAAGTGCTTATCAAGTAAGTGCCAAATTATTATTTCTTGATTTTTTTTTCCTTTTTTTTTAATTATTGTATTTTCTTTTTCTTTCTGCAACTTAATTAGTATGAAGGAGCAGCAGCAATGGGTGGCAGGAAACCAAGTATATGGGATACTTTCACTAGACAACATCCAGGTCTTTCATTAAGTTTCTTTTTCTAATAATGGTCAATAAATCCAATCAATGTCAAGAAATTTCATTTTCTTTTTTATGAAATTGAAACTTAATTAATTGTCCAATGCATTAATTATTATGCTCTCACGACAGAAAAAATTGCAGACCACAGCAGTGGAAATGTAGCTGAAGATTTTTACCATCGTTTTGAGGTATATTATCCTACACAGTATTTGATATTTCTAATCTTGATTTTTCTCTTATTGACTATAAATATAACTGAAAAATGATGTTCCAGGAAGACATTCCTCTGATGAAAGAAATTGGTTTAGACTCCTATAGATTCTCCATTTCCTGGCCAAGAATACTACCTGGTAAAAGAAAATTATTAACTTACAAAAATTCTTATTTATGATTTCATGTCTAAGTAGTAATTTTGGTACAAATGGAAATTTTTCTTGTTAAAGGGGGAAAAATTAGTAGGGGAGTGAACTGGGAAGGAGTCAACTTCTACAATTATCTCATCGACGAGCTTCTTTCGAATGGTAAATTAATTTCCAATAATCTCTCTCTTTTAATATGCAATTTTGTTTCTAACTCCTTTAATTTTGTTCAGGTATACAGCCACTTGTGACCTTATTCCACTGGGATGTTCCACAAGTTCTTGAAGATGAATATATGGGACTATTAAGCCCTAATATTGTGTAAGTGAAACCAAAAACTTTTTTATTTTTCCAAAATAGTATGCAATTAATCATCTTAAGATGAATCAGAAGTTGATTACAGTTTCTTTTTCTTGATTAGGAATGATTATTATGACTATGTAGACTTTTGCTTCAACCAATTTGGTGACAGAGTGAAAAATTGGGTTACTGTGAATGAGCCTAATTTAATGGCAATGTATGGATATGCAAAAGGTGATAATGCACCCGGTCGATGTTCGGATTATATCGGAAATTGCAGTTCCGGCAACTCGGCAACAGAACCATACATTGTACTCCACCACTTACTTCTTTGCCATGCATCTGCTGTTAAATTATACAGAGAAAAGTATCAGGTTAGTACTTAAATAATTAGTGTTCATCAATAAAATAAATGTTCAAGTTTTTGACATGAGTAATGAATTTACTATAATTTTAGGCCTCTCAAAGGGGAATTATTGGGATTTCAGTATTTACAAAATGGACAGTACCAAAATATCAGAATATTGCCAGCGGAAAAGCTGCAGATCGAGCTCGCGATTTTTTATATGGATGGTGAGTTCTGTTTAGTCAGTTTTCTTGAGAAAATAGAATTTAGAATATATTATTATGTCTTCGTACTTGCTAAGAGCAATATATGGTTGGTTTTTGTAGGATTATGCATCCAATTATTTATGGTGACTATCCAGAAAGCATGAGATATTTGGTGGGTAATAGACTACCAAAATTCACAAGAAAGCAAGCAGAAATGGTTAAAGGATCCTTTGATTTCATCGGAATAAATTATTATACCGCAATGTATGCAGATGATGTTACATCTTATAGTAATGTCAATCTGAGTTATACGACAGATAGCCGAGTTAATCTAACAAGTAATAATCAAACAACTTCTGAACTCTCTGATATGAACAAGGAACATTCATTTCCATCGGCTAATTACATAACATGCAACTTTCTTTCTTTTTCTTTTGGTTTCAGGTGAGAAAAATGGGATTCCTATTGGTCAATCAGTAAGCAATCTCTCTCTTTCTCTCCCTCACACACACACGAATGTAGACTACGAATTTGAACAGCACTGATTAAACAATTCTTCTCTTTATATTGGTTTTTGCAGACTGGTTGCAGCTGGCTATACATATACCCAAAAGGAATTTATGAACTTATGTTGTATTTAAAGAGGAAATACAACAATCCAATCATTTACATTACCGAGAATGGTAAAACAGAATAATCAGTATAAATTTCTTTATAAACATAAATATTGGTTAAATGGAATTACCGTAAGTTCAAGAAATGTTGTTTCTTCTTCTGGTTTACAGGAATGGGTGACACTGGCTCATTGCCTCTTACCGATGCTCTTGAAGACCAATTAAGGATAAAATATCACTATCTTCATCTCTTATATCTCTTAAAAGCTATCAAGTAATGTCCCCATCGAATTCAATTTTCAGTTGCCAAGAAACTTTCAGTTGTTCATATTTTTATGATACTGATGATTTTGCAGGGAAGGTGTTGATGTGAGAGGATACTATATTTGGTCATTTCTCGACGACTTTGAATGGGATTTGGGTTATACTGTTCGATTTGGAATCACTTACGTTGATTATAAAAATGAATTAAGAAGATATCTCAAACATTCTGCTTTGTGGTTCAAAAGACTTCTCCAAAATGAGAACAGAACATCAACATCTTCTTTCTTGTACTCTCAATGATTATACTGAAATTATATTAATTGTAAAGTTTTATAAATTTCATTTGTAAATTCATTCAAAATTGTAATAGAAAAGAGAAGATTAATTGAAAATGTAATTAATTAATTAATAGAAAAGAGAATCTCTCCCTTTTTAATAAATAAAACTCATCTAACAGGCTTGATTTTCGCATAATTAACACTTTTAAAATCAGATTGGATATAGAACCGGTTTGATGGCTGGATCACACTCGGATAGGATCAACTCGATTCAATTGAATTTTTCCTTTTTTCTTTTTATTTTTTTGAATTAGTATAAAAATTACAAATATATAATAATCAATTACAGTTTGTTGAATTAGTACTTGTTATTTACATGATACATGAAAAAAAAAAAACATGTAACTTAAAATAATTTATTTTGAAATTATTCTTGAACATTAGTACCTTAAATTATTCTTGAACATTAGTACCAAGATCTTGTTATATATACATAAAAACTAAAAATAGATCTATTGAGAACTATCTGCATTTGAAAAATAAAAAAAATAGAGAAAACATATTTTAATTTGTTTCATAATTAATAGTATTAATTCATATTTCACCTACAAAAATGTTAATGAATTATTAAAATGTTATTAGTCATTTTAATCCGGGTTTGTAGGTTCCATTCTGTTTTTAAAGTCAAATCAGATAAGATCAATTAATGGTTCGAGTGTCGACGCTAGAACCGCCTGTCTAGTACTTGCTCCAAATGGAAGTAGAGATTAGCAACTAGCTTTGTGCTTCAAATACCGAACTTCCTCCGATAGATATGCACATATATATGGACCATTCTTTTGCTGGAGAAAGCGAAATGTCACGAACAATGTACAGCACGCCTTTAATGCTCTGCTCGAAAGCGAAATGTCACCAACAATGTACAGCACGCCTTTAATGCTCTGCTCGAAACTTTTCCTTTCATTTTTCAACATATTAGACATCATAGATAAAACCATATGAAACTAGTAGCAGAAACCATATGAAACCATAATATAACAATAAAGAATCAAGAATGAAAATTCAGCTTTGTTTCTCTATCTACCTCTCAAATCTTGCTGGTTTTCTCGCTTCAGCTGGCAGCCAAAGTCCTCTTGGCTCTGTGTCTCCACTTAACAGAAGTAGTTTCCCAGATGGTTTTGTGTTCGGAGCAGGATCAAGTGCTTACCAAGTAAGTATAGACAACATTTTTTGCATATTTTCTTTATTTTTAGCCTTATTTGCATTTACTAGTAGTTAGTAACCGTTTCGTCTGCTTCTTAGTATGAAGGAGCAGCAGCAATGGATGGCAGGAGACCAAGTATATGGGACACTTTCACTAGAAAACATCCAGAAAAAATTGCAGATCATAGTAATGGGAATGTTGCAGATGATTTCTACCAGCTTTATGAGGTATTTGTTGAGCCTGTCATTGATAATTTTTCTCTTATTAATAAGCATATCATTGTTAATCTCTATGTTAATTACAGTATGACATTCCTCTTATGAAAGAAATTGGTTTAGACTCCTTTAGATTCTCACTCTCATGGTCAAGAATATTGCCTGGTAAATAATCTTTATGAAATCAATTCTTTATTTATCGTGGAAAATAGCATCCATTGATGTTAAATATGGAATTTGATTGATTTTGATTTGATCTTCAGAGGGAAAAATTAGCAAGGGAGTGAACTGGGAAGGTGTCAAGTTCTACAATTCTCTAATCGATAAGCTCCTCTCCAATGGTAACTAAGGCTCAGTTTGTTTCCATAAAATAACTTGTAAGAAAATATTTTTCACAATTCCATTGTTTGGAGCGTTCAGGAAAATACATATTTCTTGATTAAAGGAAAACTTTCAAGAGAGTAAAATATTTTTAAAAGATTGACAACCTTATTATAACTTTATAAATCCATATTTTTTAATTTATTAATCATAGATAGCCACTATCACCACCAGTCACCATTCATTAACAGGCAATCGACAACTTTCATAATTTACCTTTTTTTTTTTTTGCATTCTTCTCATATTTAATAATAAAATTTTTAAAATACAAAATTTTTATCATTATTAATATTTTTATGATCTCATGAGTTAAAATTTTTAATAATTTTAACTAATTTTCAATGCTGCAACAATACTTTTTAAAGGCAAATTATTTTCTGAAAACAAAAGGAGCCTAACACTACGATATTTTTCGCACATCACAAGCTAAGCATTTTCTTCAACTTTCTTTATAATCAATAAACAGGCATACAACCCTTTGTGACCTTATTCCATTGGGATCTTCCACAAGCTCTTGAAGATGAATACAAAGGATTGTTAAGCCCTGAGATATTGTAAGTAAGAAACTCATTTCAAATTTATCCTAATTAATTATAATTTCTAAAGTTAATTCTCTTTCTAATTAGGAATGATTATTATGAATATGCGGACTTCTGTTTCAAAGAATTTGGAGATAGAGTGAAATATTGGGTTACTATCAACGAGCCAAATTTAATGAGTGATTTTGGATATGCAATGGGTAAATATGCACCTGGTAGATGTTCTGATTATATCGGAAATTGCACAGACGGGAACTCTGCAACAGAACCATATATAGTAGTCAACAATTTGATCCTTTGCCATGCAAATGCTGTGAAATTATACAGACAAAAATATCAGGTTTTTCCATAGATAAAGCTGAACTTGTTTGATATTGCTTCTGTCCCAAAATATAAGTCATTTAAAATTTTTATATAGGAATTAAAGAAAATAATTAATTCTCTTAAATTATAATAAAACCAAATGTAACTTGTAAAAGTAGTTAGTGTATCTAAAGTAATATTGGAAAAATATCAAACAACTTATATTTTGGGACGAAGTGAGTACCTTTTACTATTTATAATGGATTTTTGATTTTGATAACAATTAAATTAACACAACTTAGACAAACAGGATTCTCAAGGTGGAATTATTGGAATTTCAGTTCATACAAAGTGGATGATACCTAAATATCACAATGTTGCAAGCCAGAATGCTTCCTCTCGAGCTTGTGATTTTGCTTTTGGATGGTAATTAAGTTATTCCTAGTCGATAATATCTGTATGCATATCCATATCCTTGGCCAAATATATATCTCAAATATTTATTTCTCACTTGTATTTAGGATAATTCATCCAATAACCTATGGCGATTATCCAGAAACCATGAGATATTTGGTGGGTAAAAGACTACCAGAATTTACAGAAGCAGAAATGGAACTGGTGAAAGGGTCTTTTGATTTCATTGGAATTAATTACTATACAACAAATTATGCAGATGATGTTAAATATTATGACAGTATCCATTTGAGCTATACAACAGATAGCCGAGTCAATGAAACTTGTAATTTCACAAACTCTAACCTTCATGAAACTGAAAGGGAACTGCATTTCTTTTTTCTAATTTTCCTTCTGTCTCAGATGAGAAAAATGGGATTCCGATAGGTCAACCGGTAAGCTCTCTTTTCTGTAATATATTCAACTCCATATTGTATATGCATGCATATCAAGAACTTGACAGAAATGGTTTTATGTTGGTTTAATTTGAAGACTTCTTGTAGCTGGTTGTACATTTACCCTAAAGGAATCTATGAACTTTTGCTGTATCTGAAGAGAAAATACAACAATCCTCGCATTTATATCACTGAGAATGGTAAACCAAATCCATTTTCTTATTTATAAATTTAAATGTAATGAGTTCAAGAAATGCTGCTTCTTCTTCTGGTTTACAGGAATGGGTGACAGTAGCTCATTGTCTCTTCCTGATGCTCTTGAAGACCAATTAAGGATAAAATATCATTATCTTCATCTATTACATCTCTTAGAAGCTATCAAGTAATGTCACCATTGAATTCAATTTTTAATCGCCAAGAACTTGATAGTTATTTATATTTTTATGATACTGATAATTTTGCAGGGAAGGTGTTGATGTGAAAGGATACTACATTTGGTCATTTCTCGACGACTTCGAATGGAATTTGGGTTACACTGTTCGATTTGGAATTAATTATGTTGATTATAGAAATGAATTAAGAAGATATCCCAAATATTCTGCTTTATGGTTCAAAAGATTTCTCCAAAATGAGAATAGAACCTCAACATCTTCTTTCTTGTACTCTCAATAATCATTCCAAAACTATATTACTCTCGTCGTCCCAAAATATTAATCGTTTTTAGTGAATATTTTATCTCAAAATATAAGTCGTTTTAAGTATTTTAAAGAGTAATAAATATTTTTTTTTCGATGTTACCCTTATTTATATCGTATATAATAACTACCCTTTTGGGAAGTTTCAAATATGTTCACTTTCAGACCTGAAACAAGCTCAAACTGCAACCCAAGAACTGGCTGAGAACAACTTTGCACAAACAGCCTATTTTATATATTCTAGTTTTTCATTTGTCTTTGTCTCTCATCTGTTGTGTAATTCAATAACTATAAGAGATGGGCTTCCTTAAAAGCCCAATAAATAATAATTCAGGAAAATGATAGGAGGCCCAATATGTTATCTTTAGACAAGGCCAATTTGATCCATCACAATTTAATTATATGGCTAACTATCATGGGTAAATTACTATTTAGTCCTTTAGAATTAGCTATAATTATAAATCTATCCTTTTTATTTGGTGCATATATTGATTATTATGTGAAGTTTAGCCTCATTAAATTATTTAATCATTTTCTCAAAAAAACAATCCTTTCTATTTTACATGCTAATCAAAATAGTAAATATAAAAGGAGCAAACGATCAAATATTATAAGGTACTTTATAATAAAAATACACTTTTTTTTTAAATAACGTGACTAAATAGTTTAATGGAATTATATTTGACTGTCGTAAACAATTTTAATTCTTTAGTCAGCCAAGACAATATAGATAGAACATAGTCCAAAGAGCCAACAAACCACTTTTAAGGTAATATTTAGAGTTTATAATTAAAATACTATCTCGTTATTTATAGTATTTAGTTGCATAATATTTAAACTAGTATTTAAAAATTAATAAAATATATCATAAAATGTTATCTTCCAACAATTAGTAAAACGGTTGATGATTGCTACAACAGCCTGTTAAAACAGTTAGTATTCCAAAATATTGCTTTGAATAGCCTACGCAGATCCCACTACTTGGGACAATGCTAACGAAAACTATCTTGGAAATTCCAAATGTCAACAAAAATAAATCGTTGACAACAAGTAAACAGTTAGACACCAACCTAGCTAATTGAAATGTAACTTCCCAGATTTACAGAACAAAGCTGAATCCTATGTAGTAGCTTGAATAATCCTATTCAAATCATTGTTTAAGCTTGTATGAGAGCTTTTAAACATGTTCAATTTTATAGGAGGAACCATGCGTATCTTTGTACAAGACCAACTTCACATCAAAAACCTTTTCTTGTTTGGACTGAGTCGAAGTCGTTCTTTGATAACTCGTTACTACGAGTTAGACACGCTAGTAAAACGAGATGGCAGAAACCCGAATTAATCGAGTTAAAAGATTTTAGATACCGGATGATTTTAAAAATTAAGAAACATGACAATAAAGTCATAAAATTAAAAAATGAAGAAAATACTAAATTAAAGTAAAGAATTAAAAAGTCGTGTTTTTTTACCATATAATTAATTAAAGCCAAAAAAAGTCTAAAAAGTATCGAAACTTGTATATTTTTCCTATTTCGTGCAAAATTTACACAATTTATTCTATTTTTCAATAATTTTACTTGATCAATTCTTTGAAATACATAAAAATTTCAAGTTTTCTTCCTATCAAATGTAGACTAGTTGAATTGCATTGATGTACTTCCAATAATGCAGCAATCCCTAATCTTTTTTTTTTTTTTAATTTTAATTTTCAACTCCTAAATAATTGATAAAGATACCCCAAAACAAAGGAAAAGAGCCCAAGAGAAGAAAAACAAAGCACATGGTTTATGCGACAACACTCACATGAACAATAATGGGCCTTTCCTTTGTCTTGCTTCATCAATTCAAAGCAATTTCTGTTTGTTTCCATTTCTTGTAGCCATCTCAATCTTACCCTACTTATCTTCTTAGTCAAATTATTCATCCAGCAATCCACATTACTGAAATAATGTGCCACAGAAATTTCATTTCATGTGGGTTATTAATTGAGGACCCTCCTTTCATTTGGGTAAATTCAACAAAACCCACTTATTTTTATTCTTGTCCAAATTGCCCTAGATTAAACAAGAATGAAATAAAATTAATAGGGATGAAATAATCCTTTCACTATAAGTATTATTGGTGCCTTCTGCTCTCCAAAGTGCCAAACAAAATGACCCACTGCATGTTTCTCTTCTTGTTTATCTATTCTTGACCACAAAATGTATGTCCACTCCATCATTGGCATTTAATCAGACAACAAGCAGCTAATAATAAGCTAGCTCTCATATCCATGCACAACTTGTGCTTCATTATGTTTATGTCTACAAAAAAAGGACACAATTACCCAACTGGGATTTTAGTTTATATATATATATAGCTACTAAACAAGATTATCTTCAATATAGAGAATAGAAAATTAGTTTTGTGGATCTCTGCTTATTTTGTTTAAAGATAAGATTTCTATTTCTAATTTTTATTACAGTGTTTTAACTAAAATTATAAACCTAGAGATCTTCAAAGCTAAATCTTGCTTGTTATCTTCTTCTTTTTTTGTCAGAATTGAACAAAGAATTTCAGTTTATCACATGGGCAAGCAACGGCTATATCAGATCTTTGTCAAACAAAAATAACAACAATGAAGAAGATGGTCTTAATGACATATAAATACGCTGTCTGAAGATAATTCTTTTTTCATCACTCAGTCAATTGGTTGAAAATTCTAATTTTTGGCAAGATAATGCATATTAGGGCATACCCTTAAATAGGAAACCATAAGCTGGCTTAAGTAAATCTGATATAAGCGTATACATATTCTGACAAGCTAATGGTAACTGGCCTGTGCTAGTCTCGAAGAGAAAGACTTACAGTTTATGGAGTAAGATTTTTTCTTTTTCTGTTTGGACTTGCTTTTCTGGTTCTACCCCAAGAATAAAAACAGGGAGATAGAAAGATGAGTAGTCAGTTTGTGAATGTGACATGAGCAAGCTATTTACCAACAGAGACATGGATAAATTTGGACCATATATAATCTTTTTGAGAGGAAGTTGTGTCCGTTCTTTACTGTTTCAACAAGCAAAATAGCTGTTACCTGTAATAACCACTAAAGACAAGCTATTTTCTTGTTCTATACTTCATCTAATTAGTTCATTTTAGACTTTTATCATATCATTTCTTGAATAAGATTTGTTGTTTCCCAAATCAAAAGAAAATATCTTTTTCGATATATTCTTACAACACTTATCATCAATCATAATCATAATTATATATGCACAAGCCAATATTTAACACCGGCTAGAATACTAGTATATTCCAATTTAAATAAATCAATTGGATTTAAACCTAAGACCTTCAGTTAGATGTCTTCTCGGGTACGTTATGTGCTAATAGTAATTTGCAATCAAAGGAAGGAAATATCAAATAGATTTTGGTGAATTAGATAATGGTTGTATTCGGGAACGTCATTAATTTAAGTAGATTTTAACCTTTTGACTTGAACGTTGTTTTTAATAGTGTTTGATAACACAGCGTTTGAACTTTTTAGAAGTTAGCGTTATATAAAAAGTCAATTCATGTAACGTTAAGTTTTTAGCATTTTATACGAAGTTACTCAAACAGTTAACAACTAAACGCTAATAAAATAACTAATAGCTACCAGAACAGCTAATTTTGCGGAGCAGACTTATTGTATAGGGCAAATAATGACATATGTTGAATGGATGAAATTATGAACAAAAGAGCTTGCAAACTAGATAAGGTACTGATTTAAAAGGGAAAACTACCAAAATTAAGAGAAACATAATTGCACATGGAGGAGGGACAATACCCACATGAGAGTAACATGTACCTATCTTTGCCTGCCTGAGTCAAATCAAAAGAAGCCTATTCAAATGTCAAAAAAAAAAAAAAAAAAAAAAAAAAAAAAATAAATACGAGAACCACACATTTATAGCTGTTCTCTATAGTTTAAACTGTAATATAAGGTGTATACCATATTCTGGACAAAGCGGCATGAGATGGGTAAAACTGAGAACAATGATAAATGATATAAAAAGAATCAAACATCAGAAAAAAAGAGAAAAAAAAGAAGGGCGTTGGGCAGGTGATGGTTTGTTGTATTTTATTTTTCTTTTTTCTGTTGTTGGTGACTTGCTTTTCTTGTTTTCTTTACTTATATTCTATATCTTCATTTTATTTTAGTGTTTCTTTATTATTTAAGGTTTCTCGGTATTCAAATTAGACAAAAGTAAGATCAAGGTGTTGAAATTAGAATGTTGTCGCTTATGTTTTTGAATCTTTATTTTCTTCATCCTAGTGATTCTTATGGTTGTTTATAAATTTTTTGGATCTTTTATATATTTTTTTTCGCCCGAAGAGAAAAGATTGAATGTTATACGTTCTTATACCCTCCTTCTCGCTCCCCCTCTCTTCTACAGGATATCAGTTATCTCTGTGTCTGTCTCATACAAATATGACGAGAGTAGAACGCGCTAAGACGAGGTATTTTCGTCGGTAGTGTAATGACCCAATCGTAATATAAAAAAAATAATAATTAATTCCATAATCATATTTAAATATTAAAGTAGAATTTGTGATTTCCCAAAATACTCACCCACAGACCTCATATCTCCTTTTTCTTTTTAATTTTTCTATATTATTTCCTTATAATCTATTACATTTTTATTTTCTATTCCACTCCTCCTCATTATTTCTCTCTCTCTCTTCTCGCTTCTGTATTGTTATCTCTGTCTCACCTATACAACGGCGTGTTAGTATTACTTGTATATTTTTCCAGATTTAGATAAATAATCATTGGATTTAAAGACCTGAAGACCTTCAAGTTTAAGTGATGTCTTCTCGGTGGTATTGTTATGATTTGCTTATATGTAATTTGACAAATCTAAAAGGAGGAAAATAATAATATAGATTTTTGGATTGAATTATGATAGATAAGTGAGTTATGATATTACAAAAAGGGAAACAGTCATTAATAGTTAGTGGTGTTATCTAACTTTCTTGCACTATGGAACGCGTTGTGTTTTAATAGGTGTGGATGTGAATAACACAGCGTATTGAAAAACTTTAATATTAACGAAGATTTAAGCAGTACAAATAATAATAAA